TGGGTTCATGGGTTCATGGGTTCATGGGTTTGGGGTTTGTTTGTTTTTGTGTCGGAGGTTTTGGGTTCGGGTGTTGGAGGTTTTGGGTTTGGGTGTTGGAGGTTTTGGGTTTGGGTGTTGGAGGTTGAGGTTTCCGAAGGGATGTGTTTGCAAAGTTTTATTGCTCTTAATATTCAACCATGCTTTTCAGTTGCAAGAAGGAAAGCAGAATAGCATGATCATACTGATCGATCAGATCAATCTTTAACAACTCGCTATGAACGAACGTGGTAAATCAAGACCAAACACGTAACTACATCTACAGGTAACAACTACCCCGAAAGCTGCGAACGCATTATTGTAATTGGACCGCCTCCCGGATTCGAAACGGCTTGGGCAGTCCTGAGGAAGCTAGTAGATCCGCGAACGGCAGATAAGGTCGTGCTCAAGCGGAATCTCGAGGACCTCTATGAATATGTTGACCAAGGCCAGCTCCCACAATGGCTAGGCGGATCAATACCCGACGAGGAGGTTCTACGCGACGACCATCCGCGGCATCCATGGAACGACCCCGCGTTCTTGGAAAAGGTACATATCATCATGTGAATGTTGGAAAAATGTTTTTACTCGTCATGATGCCAGCATCCATGATTCATTCGGTTCTCTGTCGTTTTGTTAGTTCTTTTTTGCACATGCTCATGAACATGATCTTCTTTTTGATTCCACTTAGAAAATATCCTGTGATTCGTAATTAGGTCGAGGATCACGGTGTGGTTGCCTTGTGGGACACCTTGCATTCCGATTTGTATAGTCAGCCGGATGTGGGCGAGGGCGATGAGAGCGCATCCAGGAAAAAGAAGAGGAGAAGAGGAGGCCTCGTTCGCGCAGCTTCCGCAGCGAAGCGCACAACAGAAAAGACGCTGATGATGCCTGCGAAAGTCGCACGGGTGTCCTTTTCTCAGTCGAAGAAGCAGACGAGACGGCTTCGGCGGGCACTCATAGCGCTGCTGCGCAAGCGGCGCAAACAACGTCGGACAAGCACTGCGGAGACTAGCAACGCCAGCACAACAGGAAAACTCGCGGCAGGTGACGCTTCTCAAGCGGAGGACGTTCCATCAAGGAACGCGGCCCGCTCCGCTGCTTCAAGCACTAGAAAAAGCGGCGCTTCACGCGGAGAATGCGGAGGCAGAATATCACGCAGCCGCCATACGAAGGACAAGGAGGAAGTTGCGCAGCGAAGCAGTAAGCAAGGCGCAGGTGGAGACGGGTCACCGACGTCTCCTAATGCTGCAGCGAAGCTAGAAGACGTAGAGGTCGACGCAGAAATTGCCGCCTACCGACGGAACGAGCATGAGGACATACCTAACGAACATGACACTCCCACCCCAGCACTGGCTTCTCCAGCCCAACTTCAGCAGCGACGCTTTCGCGGTCGGTCGAGTAGTCTCGTTAGAGCGATCCATCATTCGGAGAGCCGAAAACAATCGTCAGAGCTCGATCAAGCACCAGAGATCAGCGACGCGGACCGCACTAGAACAAACTTGCAGAGGCACCACAGTGAGAATGTTGGTGAAAACGGAGGAACGAGGGTCCTCTACTTGCATAATCTGAAGGGAGAAAAAGTGGACGACCTTCTTCTGGCCGAAACCTACAGCGAGATTCTCCGAAAGGTTGAACGCACGAAGAGACGAGCGAAAAGCAGAACAAGTAGTAAGGACAAGAAACGTTCCCCGGTAGCAGGCTTTGCCACTGTCAGCGACCACATGGGAGGTGCTACTTCGTCTACACGACCTCAATTGCCGTTACCAGATTTTCCTGAGCACACGTTGGAGCACGCAACGTCTAGGGAGAGTGCGGCTACGCTGGAGGAGGACGAAGACGAGCTTGGAAGCAGTGCTTTTACCTCTGGAGACGACGACTCAGACTTTGAGTTAGACGAAGCGGAACAAATGCTTCTGGAGCAACTCTCTAGAGCGGACCTGCCAGCGGGAACGACGGCTGCGGTCGAGCTCGTGACGTCTCCCACCACAGCAACGCATTGCATCAAAAATATGAAAAGAGTAGAAGATGATCTAGTGAAAAATCTTGCTGTTGATGTACCGCACGCTCCTCGGAGGGAGGGGAATGTTGATTTCAATAATCAACCTCCGCGTAGCATTGTGTCATCCTGTGGGCCAGAGGACCCGGATAGCATTGCAAGCATCAATAAGGCGACGTCAGTAGCGACAACGACGGCATCGTCGCTCGGGGCGAGAACGAGCACGCTGCTGGAGCAAATAAGTAGCGGAGGGGAGCAGCCGATTTCGGACGAGTGCGAAGACCCTGATCATTTTGCGGCTCCCAACACGGCTCGCGGAGCTTTTGCGTCTGCGACGCCACCGCAAAGCAGTACGGACCACAAGCAGATGGAAAAACCTGAAGGAGAGGCCACGGAATTGAGCAGTATTGTTCCTGCCGCGGATCCCGCATATTACAACTCGCCATCAAAAGTGAAAGCTCCACCGAGCATAGAGGAAACCGGTGTGACGCCGGGTGGTGGGGGAAATACCAGTACGAGTATATTTGGAATAATATTTGGAAGTTGCTCGTATGCCACCACGACCAACAAATTTCGCCCATCAATGAGGTCGTTTCCCGCGCCTGCAACAGCAGGCGGCAACGCAACTTGAAGAGCGTGCTGGAGTTGTTTTTTCCAGCTCAATTCTATTTTCCACCACCACCACGCGAATGGTCATTGTGTGCGATGACACCTAGCGCCTACTTCTGCTGATATATTAGGCTTCCCCTCGTGTGAACAACTCCAGTTTCTAGAATTGACTGCACCGCTCCGTGAGTCACTTGATTCCAGTACTTGGAGATAACGACAGGAACCAGAATCGAAATGCTCGTTCGCGCGTAGTGCACCTTGATGTTGGCTTCCTCGCTTCTACGAAACAAGTGTGATTTTTGCACGGTCACTGCTTTTGTTTCCGAAGGTATCCACTTACTTACAATCAGTCCTCTGAGCAAGTTATACTTACTTGAAGATGAGCATGATGCCTGACTCCTTGACATAAGTAATAAAAATGTGCCTGCTCGTGTGTCTGATGTGCGATGAATGTGCCGCCTCGCTAGTTTTCCAAAAAATGTGCTAGAGCTAGGTAGCAATACGACATATTATTTAAAGTTAATATTATTTTGATACGCGACTGGAATATATTTCAAAAACGAAGTAACCTGCCTACTTGTTCTACTACACCTTCATGCATGTACTTATATATAGATTATTGGGTTTACGCCTCTTTAAATGCACTAGCAATTCATTGTCTTGTTACATTCTGCTCATAATGGAAGACTGCACCCATGTTACTTAAAGACACTTACACTTTTTACCGTTAGTACCACTAGTGATATTCCATTGCTCCCCAGAGCACCACGCAGCTGCTGCACTTACACACCATTCTTTTAGACTATCTAACTAATATATAAATGTAAATTCTAAAAATTCTTCATCTAGGTCAGTAGTTAGTTTTGTTCAATCTATTGCCACTCAGTTTTTTTTGATGAACAAGTTTTCGAATTTGTAGTCGTATATTATTTTTCTCAACCGTATCTAATTCTTTACTATGTTGATAGAAAGTTACGCCAAAATAAACCAAAACGCAGCTCATCGTTTGACTTCATCCTGGAATAGTCTGTTTGATACCCTCTTGATCAACGGCCTTGCTCTTCGCCTACGAAGAATTGTCTGTGAGCACATACGGCCGGGCTGCTGGTCCGTTGAAAGACCTCCTCTGGTCCATTATGATTTTCCTCTAACTGATTGTAGCTCTCGTCCAATCTACCTCTCCGACGGAAGTGAAAGCGTCTCAGTCTCCGAGTAGTTTTGGTGTAGTAAATAATGGATGAAAGCATTGTCAAGTGTTTTCATCGCTAAGCTACTCACAGAAACAGCACTGCAACTCACGAAGGTTTTGCTCCGTCTCGACCGACGACGGCGAAACCCAACACACCAAAGACGAAGGACGCCTACTATTTTTGACTTTTGAATCTTGTTTGAAGTATGTAAGTACAACAACACATATTATAAGAAATGCCTCGCTTTAAGTTTATCCACATATTATAAGAAATGCCTCGCTTTCTACCACTGCGTTGTAGTTTGTTGATCTATCTTTCTCAATGATATACTTAGATTTTTGTCATATTCCAACCTCGAATATAGATCTTTCTCATATAATAGATTGAAATTCGAAAAGACATGCTTGATGCTGATGGATGATAAGGGAGGACCACACTATCCATATGCATTTTCCCACATAGGAGAAAAGGCACATCAATATCACACAAAAGCTGCACATAATTAAGAGGAAGGCACATCCACAGTATACCTATATCTATAACACGAGAAATCCGTGATGAAAGGACAGGTGTGACAAATCGGAAACGCAGCTTCTCGGAACTACAACACCTTGCAACATGCACGAAGTGCAAGAAAGCATCTGATGCTTGATATGAGGTGTATCGCATCGATAATCGGAGACCCTCCAAGTCCAAACGAAGAGTTGGTCGAGAATAACCCGCTGCTGTTTTTCGCAACCTAACTTCTCTGATTATACATCTTAGTGTTCTTCCCAGGTCGTGAGAGAAGGTAAATCAGCGACCTCGACACGAACATGAGAGAGTCTGAAATTACAATCAGGTGCCAGGACAGAATGGGAACGGAAACTGCCACCTCCTGGACGAGTATGTGAGCAACCATTTGGAGAGCGTATTGTCCTTTTCGGTAGAAGAACTACCTGTGTGAGCAGCCTTTTTTCTGCTGAGTGAGTGTGTTCGTATTTTCTGACGCAAGATACTTTTGCTGTTGCTGAGCAAGTGACTCTGTTGGAAGTCAAAGTTTTTCAACGACTGAGGAAGAGAGATATTCGACATTGAGCCAGTCTCTTGTAAAAGAGTCTACCTACTTCGAAATGGCGATATCTGTCTGTGTGCATGAGAGTGAAAAAACGTTTTGCTTTTTGAGGGATGTTGTTTTCTTGGTTTTAATTTGTAAATAAAGTCAATGAATGTGATTTTTTTTTTCAGATTCTTTTTTTCGTTTATTTTCCTCTTTGTTTCTAAGTCCTAATTTCTCATCTTGAACTTGATCATGATCACTCATATCTATCAGTGTCGACGCAAGGAACCCCGTGTGCCCGTCATTTTACACATAGTTTTTTCGGTTGCTGAGGTGTTCACGCTTCCCCCGATTTCGAAAACGCTGAGTCAGACAGTAGCACTTTTTTTTTACACGCTGGGGGATGTATCGAATACGATTTCTCTGCATACGATGATGAACGTATAATAGTTTGAAGATGTCAGTATCTCTATTTCAAACTAGAACGATTCTGGATAAGTTTTCATTTTGAGGACATAGAGGTAGGGTAATTTCCACGCTAAAAAATAGACATATTTGTAGTTCTTTCTTATTGCAGCAATTTTTGTTTTTTATTACTAGGGCAGAAGACGATCTTCATGATAAAGTCTTTATCTGCATAAATATCGCAAACGCATTTTTGATTTTTCCAAAAAAAATAGCCTACTACTTTCGTCATTGATTTTGTTATTAGCCTATACAAATTGTAAGTATAAAAAGCACTGAGATTCTATCGTTCAAGTATACTGGATTCCCTGAAGTTGAAAATGGCACATCGTGTCGAAGCGATTGCGGGCCAGGTGATGGCTGGTGGAGCCGCAGCAGAGACGATCACAATCACGGACAACCGTACTGGCAAAAGGTAAGAAAATGTTTTCTAGGATTAGTTGACAGTGGTCTTCGGCCGCCCACAACGACTTCAAATTTGTACACAGTGTTCATATGTTGAAACGAAGTCTGACTCGTATCTATAATTAGTGGGCCGACATACATCACGTAGCTCTCATATGATCTCTACCATTTCATCGTCGTGTGCCAATGTAACTAACGTCACGGTCACATCTAGTACAAGAACCTCTCACATTACACCGACAGCTACAAAGTTCCGATTAAGGACAATACGATCAAAGCTACAGACTTGAAGCAAGTGAAGAGTGCGGAAGGCCTCCCATTGAAGACCTATGATCCCGGTTACATGAACACAACTTGTTGCGTCTCGCGCATCAGCTATATCGATGGAGACAAAGGAATCCTAAGATACCGAGGTAATATTTAGCTACGAAGAAACCAAATCATGGTATTGGTAATGTTATAGTTCCTACCCTTCGCATCTAGCTGAGCTACATCAAATATTGTTGCGACTCTTTATCATACTTCCTCGTCTCCGTCTACGTACACTTCTTTCTAGGTATCCCCATCGAGCAGCTTGCTGAGAAGAGTTGCTACCTGGAAGTCGCCTATCTGTTGAACTTCGGCAACTTGCCTAGCAAGAAGCAGATGCAGAACTGGGAAACGTCGATTATGGAACATGCCCACGTCCATGAAGATCTGGTGAAAATGCATGCCACATTTCGCTATGACGCGCACCCTATGGGTATGATTACTGCGGCTTTCGCTGCTATGGGCACTATCTTCCCTGAACAGAACCCAGCGCTAGCCGGACAAGACATGTTCATTTACAGCCTTATGACAACAGAAACTCAAGCACTAGTCCTGTCGCGTATTACTTTTAGTTCGCAATGATTATCAGGACGTTCTTTTTGTCACTCAACGTGCTGGTCAATCACACAGCTACTTTTATCTACACTTCATTTTACAAATGAATCCACAGATACAAAAACCCTGACGTTCGTGCTAAGCAGATTGCCAGAATTATTGGCGCAGGACCAACGCTAGCCGCAATGGCCTACCGACACCGCACAGGACGGCCGATGATCATGCCCAATGAGAAACTGGGATACACCGAGAATTTCCTCTACATGCTTGATGTCATGAATGTTACGGCTGGAGGTTGTTTTCATAGTGGAAGTATCTATAGATCTTGATTTCAATCTTTCTATCTGATGATGATACATCATGAACATAAAGAAAGATGTTGTTGTTTGTACTAGTTCTTTAGGTAATATAAATATTAAGTAGAACAAAAGCTCTAGCTCTAATGATGAGGGACCGAATTACAAGCCTCACCCGACTTTGGTCCACGCTATGGACGTTCTCTTCCTCCTGCACGCCGAGCACGAACTCAATTGCTCTACGAGCGCGATGCGTCATCTCGCATCATCGAATGTCGATGTACTTGCTTTTTTTTGATTTGCGTCGATGTGCAAGAACGTTTATTTTTGAAAGAAGCGACTCCTGTTAACTACACTGAGCTTCGATGAGAACCTAGTAAGGAGCATAACTAAGTATATTTTTGAACTGAATGATGCTCATGATTGACATAAACATAATCAAAAACTAAATTCTTGAAGGTTTACACCGCGACCGCTGGTGCTTGCGGTGCGCTGTACGGACCGAGGCATGGCGGCGCTAACGAAGCGGTTCTGCGTATGCTCGATAGTATCGGAGACGTGAGCAAGGTTGATGAATTCATCGAGAAGGTGAAGAACAAGAAAGCCAAGTTGATGGGCTTTGGGCACCGCGTGTACAAGAGCTACGACCCGCGAGCAAAGGTAGTTCGCAAGATCCTCGATGATGTCTTCAAGCTTACCGGCAGCGATCCGCTGATCGAAGTTGCAATGAAGCTGGAGAAAATCGCTCTCAACGATGATTATTTCAAGAGCAAAAAGCTTTACCCGAACGTCGACTTCTACTCGGGACTCATCTACATTATGTCTCAACATTGTTCAAGCTCAACCTCGAGCAGATGAATATATTATTATGTCCTTTGGTCTTCCATGGTCCACCTCATTATTTTGTGGAAACTGCGACTGAGACCAGCCACTTAATATCTTATTGATCAACTTACGCCTTGTTTTGTTTATCGCTGATTAACTTTAACAAGTAGGAAAACAAAAGGCGGGACGAAGAACTACACTTCATAGAATTCGACCAGAGGGTCCACCTTTGAAATACTTGATTTAATTTTCTTTTTTCATGAAGCTCATAATTACTAGACTTAAGCGCCTGGCAGCACTCATCTCACTAGAATCCTCCACCCTCTGCACGCACTTCCCCCGCCATTGCGTGGCCCCGCTTACCCGGCCCCTTGCCTACGGAGTTGATCGATGGAACAGCACAGGCGTCGGGCTCTTGGCGGCCTGCGGCTATTGGATAGGCATAGGCATGCCCAGAAATGGCAGGCGCGGGAGCTTGCTGGCCTTCTGTTGGGTTTGACATCTTTGCGCTTGGGGAAGGCTGAAGCGTTCAGCTTCGATTATAGCGCGCTTGTCTGAGGTTCACTTTCTTGGATTTGGGTTTCTTAAATCCAAAAGCTTTCGACTTTACCAAGCTCACTCTTCTGGCATTCAATTTCTTGGGTTTGAATTTCTCAAATCCAAAAACTTTCGGCTTTGGTAGGTTTTTCTGGGATTAAACGCTTTCGCAAATCCAAAAACTTCCGACTTTAACAAGTTGAGCTAAAGTCAACTTCTCGGATTTGATTCGCAAGCACCCATAAGGTAAGCTCCTAAGTTCCTCAGTTCCTAAGTTCTTCAGTTCTTACCTCAGTTCTTGAGTTCTTGGGTACTTGAGTTCTTGGGTTCTTGAGTTCTTGGGCTTGTGAGTTCATGAGTTCGTGGGTTTATGTATGAGTTTGCAAGTTCATGAGTTTGGGGCGCGGGTGTCCGTCGAAGAGTTTGCGTTTGGGGGGTTTGTGTTTGGAGGGTTTGAGTTTGGAGAGTTTCAGTTTGGAGAGTTTGAGTCTAGAGAGTTTGAATCTGGAGAGTGCAAGTTTGGAGAGGGTTGTTGTTAAGTTTTTTTTTAGCTCTTACTTTTAAGCGCCTGGTAGCACTCATCTCACTAGAATCCTCCACCTTCTGCACGCACTTCCCCCGCCATCGCGTGGCCCCGCTTACCCGGCCCCGCCCATGCCTACGGAGTTGATGGATGGAACAGCACAAGACGAAGACCCGGGCTCTTGGCGGCCTGCGGCTATTGGATAGGCATGCCTGGAAATGGCAGGCGCGGGAGCTTGCTGGCCTTCTGTTGGGTTTGACATCTTTGCGCTTGCGGAAGGCTGAAGCGTTCAGCTTCGACTGTAGCGCGCTTTTCTGCGATTCAATCTCTTGGATTTTAATTCCTCAAACCCAGAAGTTTTCGACTTTCTTCTGGCATTCAGTTAATTTTTTGGGTTTGAATTTCTCAAATCCAAAAATTTTCGATTTTGCCAAGTTTTTCTGAGATTTAATGGCTTGGATTTGAATTTCTCAAACCCAAAAATTTCTGATTTTAGTGAGTTTCTCTGGAATTCAATTTCTTGGATTTGGTTCGCAGGCGCTCCTAGTCTTAAGTTCTTGAGTTTGTGAATTCGTAAGTTCGTGAGCTCATGAGTTTGCGAGTTCATGAGTTTGGGGCGAGGGTATCCGTCGAAGCGTTTGCGTTTGGAGAGTTTGACTTTGGCGAGGTTGATTTTGGAGAGTTCGGGTTTGGCGAGTTTCTCGAGTTTGGCGAGCTTGAGTCTGAAGAGTTTGAGTCTCGAGAGTTTGAATCATGAGGGTGCAAGTTTGGGGGGGGGTGTTGTTAAGTTTTTTTAGCTCTTTAATACTAGCCTGGAGCGCCCGATAACAGCCCCTCGCGCTAGGATTCCCCTCCTCTGGAAGTAACCCAGGGAACAGGCCAGGCAAGTCCTTAACTTTAAACAGTTTCGCGGAGATTCAGCCTCTTGGCATTGAATTTCTCAAATTTCGAAGCTTTCTGCCTTATTTTGTCGCTTTGGGGCGCACTACTAATTAAATTCGCAGGATTTGAATTTCTCCAACCCTGAAATTTTTTGATTTTAGGCATTTTTCCTGAGATTCAATATCCTGGCTTCGAATTTCTCAAATTTCGCAACTTTCCTCGTTATTTTGTCCCTTTGGGATTAAATTCGCTGGATTTGGATTCCTCAAGTCCCAAAATTTTTGATGTGTTTTGCGCCTTTTTCTGGAATTCAACTTCTTGGGTTTGGAATCCAATCTGTCAAATTTCGAGGCTTCCCTTATCATTTTGCCCCATTTTGGATTAAATTCGCTGGGTTTGGATTTCTCAAATTCCAAAATTTTTGATTTTAAGCGGTTTTTCTGAAGTTCAATTTTCTGGATTTGAATTTCTCAAATTTCGATGTTTTCCGTATTATTTTGCCGCTTTGGGATTGAATTCGCTGGGTGTGAATATCTCAAATCCCAGAGTTTTTGACTTTCCTTCGGCGGTTTGTTTCTCTGAAATTCAAACTCTTGGCCCGTTAGTTCGTGAGTTGGGTTCATGAGTTCAGGAGTTCGTGAGTTCATGACTGAGCTCATGCTCATGAGTTCGTGGGTTCCGGAGTTCATGAGTTCCTGGGCTCATGGTTTGTGTCTCGGAGGTTTGGGGCTTGGGAGTTTTTGTGTCGGAGGTTGGGGGTTCGGGTGTTGGAGGTTCGGGTGTTGGAGGTTGAGGTTTCGGAGAGGAAGTGTTTGCTGAATTTTGTTGCTCTTAATATTATTCTTGTGTACTTAGGAATGAATGCGAAGTGGAACAAGTAGATCTTCATAGTTTGACACTCTAATGCAAAGGCACTTGGCATTCCGACGGATGTTTTCACAGTACTGTTTACCATTCCCCGATTGGGAGGCTGGCTAGCGCACTGGGCCGAGTGGACAGAGGACCCAGATAACCGCATCTACCGACCCTTCCAAGTTTACAAGGGTACGTCTTGTTACATGGATTACCTCCTCCTCTTGTTCCATGATGATGATGGAGGATTGGATTTTTCTTTTTGACTCTGCATCTTCAACTTTATGCCCTGTAGTAAGTATGTTGTAGAAGCGTGCCGCTAATGTGCATACAATGCGATCGAGATGATGGGCCACTTCCTGACTCATCTACCTTTTGTGGTACGGGCCCCAACATTTCTTTTATACTCTTAATTAATATTGTTATTGTGTATCTTCTTCAATATTTTGTTGAAGATTGTTATCTAGATCATCTACCCCTTCTCGTTCAAGGTGAAGTCCTGCGTGATTATGAATCGATCGAGAGTAGAAAGCCTGCCGATCTGGAGCCCAAAATTGCGAGATCCGCCGTGAATCGTCGTCGCGACGTAACCTTGGGCAAAGTAAAGCCTCAATACTCGAAAATTCTCCACGGTCAGGGTAACTAAGGGTTATTTTCTATTGAGTCACGACTACTATGACCGATAATTTTTACAGAAATGCGCCAATTTGCTGCATATACATATTGGTGTTGCAATGATGAAACAAACAAGCCCTTGTTCTCGCTCGAACTACACACTGATTATCTTATGATCATCGTAAACAGAATAATTGAGTCAGTTGTACGTGATATCTGCAAAAGTTTCACTTAGAAAGAAACAAGAACGCGGGCTAGAGATCGAGCATTACTCTGGTCTCTTTCAACAAGGCGTACTTGTTCCTTCCAGCTTGGTTCGAAAAATAGTGCAAGTTTTCACTCCACATGAGGAGAGGTCAAGATCTCGATCCTGTTTGCCTACGATATTGTATCTAACAAATTGAAATTGTGAAGAAGTAGCACTAGGGGGCCTGCATTGCGTCCCGTTTGTATTGGCGCACGGGAAATTACGATATTTATATAAATATTTATAAATAGGTGTTTTTTTTTCCGGTTTGGGTTTCCCTTCTAGTGTTTTGTCGCTAGTATATTTTGAGGAATAGATGTCACATGGCGGACCGTCTTTGTTAGTATGGCTATGAATATGAAGATGCCAATCCATTTTTTATAGTTTCTTCACATAACTTTTTACGCCTGCCGAAGAACATTGTTGCAGGGATTTGGAGCTTCCTGCTTTGACACAGGACATCTTAATAGTCGTGCCAGTACAGATAATTTTTAACTTTCTTCACCACACCCACGGCAGCGCACAGGAAATTACTGACGGCTCACCACGTTGTTGCAGTGTTAATTTAATCAATTGAAGAGTCGTACGCGGGAGATTTAACTCTTGTTTTCATGCCTGGATTCGTTGACAGCGAGCACCGTTTCTAACAATTCATGTTACGGACCGCATGGGCTGAAGGTCAGTCGTTGGCGCCTCGTTCTTGTTGTTTCCTGTCTGTTTGGTGGTTCGTCGTGGCCTTGTGCCGGTTTCCTTTCTTTCCAATCAAACCAGGGCTAGGAAGGGTTAGTGGGTACTTGATCGCTCATTCTTGACTTTATCATCTAGTACAGAATGGAGTAGCGGCTGCGTCTGCAGTAAACACTTCAGTATCTTGTTTATTACCATTGTCATTATGGTTTGTTATCTCGTCATTCGTTTTTTTAGTCAGCGCAAGATAAGAACAAATATGAAATTGCTCTTGTCATGACCATGCTTTATCGATGAATTTGTAATGTTCCAGTGCGCCTTGATTCCGACTATCGTGTGCCTGCTTGTTATTAATCATGCAGAATGAGAATCTTGTTACAGGAGTGCTTAGTGCTTATACTCATGTAACGACGAGCGGGAGAACACCGAACTGGAGATTCTAGCGGCTTTCATCGCGGGGTGAGAGCAGTTGAAGATCGAGGTAGCCACTTTTATCAGCCTGGCCATGAAGAGGAAATCAAATGCAACTATTTTCCGCGATAATATCATATATTTATATATGATATGTGGCATCTTCCGAAATTTTCCGTCGTCTTCTAAATGGCGATTTTCGTCTATTGTTCATATTTACTTCTCATATATAGTGTTAATGTACACCATTAACACGAAGATCAAGCACATGCTCCTGCACAAGCGCCAACGACCGGACATCTAGCCATCTGGAATGGCAGTCCGTCGAATGCTGTTTCCTGGGTTAATGTATTTGTAATATGAGTGGCAAATGTGAAACGTCTTACACAGTATCATTTGGCGTGAAATATTCTTGTATGTATATGATACTTACAAGAGATTTCGCTTCATTGTATTTACAAGAGTCTTAGTTTTTAGTGATTCGAAGTCGAGTTCATCGTTATCAAGATGCATAATTTATTAAGGTGTACGTCGCTCACTTGATTTTTAGACTGTAAGAATAAAGAGTGAGCCCGAGCCCAAATTAATTTAGAAGAGACCACCCAAAAATCACAGAGGACGAAGTCTTAGCCTTGATGATTTTTTTTTTTTGCATATTGAGGATGAGCAAACAGAGGACCGCACAGCGACCAGATGAGAGCGATTCTGACGACATTAGGGATATTAAAGTGGTTTGTTCTTGCCGTATCAGACTGTAGTGGGGTTTGTTCTCTGGGTAACATCATGTTTCGCGACTTTCACGGCGATCTGGGTATGGGTGTGTCTTTTGATATTTTGAGAGGTATCTATGCAGATATTAATTAGGGACCACGGGATTCAGTCATTACCTGAAGTTTTTTGTAGTTTTTTCTTGTTGTGCGGTTCGGTCAACAAACAAAACCATGAACCCAGCACAGCATTTTTAATCATGGGAACCGTGAACGCGCGAAAAGGTTAAGAAAAAACGCAGATTTCAGACTACGTATTCTTGTCCACACATGACACGCGCCTAAAACGCACTTGGAACTTAGTACGACTAATGGACTTTCTTCTTTTGTTGTCGAGTTCTTAAAGCAATACCAGATAATGGAAAACAGTTCACTTCTTTGCCATCGTGGTGAAGAAGAAGAGGAAGAAGGCGCACATGATAAATGTTCGGAGTTTCACGTGTTCTGAGTTTGGCAATCACATAAAGGGCTGCTGCAGCGACGGCAATTGAATAGACTGGACGATACCCCAACTTCTGAAAGAAGTATAAAAAGAAAATGAAAAAGGTTTGAGCACGAAAACGTATTGCCATTTTTCATCAGAGAGAAGTCCGAAGCCGAAGATTGAGTTAGAATGAATGTTGTCAAACTATTGGCGCTCGAGTTGCGAAATCACATGAATAGTAAGAATCATTCTCAGGAGGAATTTTATACGCACCAGATGACTTCACCTTCAGCGTAATTACTACCTGCTGTAAAACACATTGACATGATGTACTAGTAGCAAGAGGCGGGTTTTTAGCTTGACCGCGATTGACACTCGTCTTGATGTGATGCATAAGCATAACTGATACATAATTCTAGTTCATTGTTCATATCCAAGATAGGAGCACGAGAACAAACATGCCGATGCCACGGAGAGGCTCGCTGTGCTCCAAGTTCTTGCGTGCGTGGGTCGTTTGGGATGCAAGCATTTCCGTTGTCGCAGTGCATGGAGCTTCGTCATCATCGTCCAGCTCTCCGAAAGCGCTCGCCGGTGTAAGTCCTCACGACGGAGGAGGCACTACAAAATTCCCAGAACTAGAGCGGTTTCAAAACGGCCTGATCGATTTCGTTAAAGTCTGTGTCAAAACAAATCTCTTGTCGGTAGAGGAGGAGCCTAGCTTCCTATCTCCTTCGTCTGTGGCGAATGCAGCAAAGAAATTTTTCAGGAAAAGGAGGAAGACCACAGCGAAGTCAACGTCCCTATTGTCTACGCTCTTTTTTCCCAGCGACAGGGACCAGGAGCAGCAAGATTCACGTACATGTAGGATACCAAGAGCGACGAGGACGAGCCCGACCTCGAGCAAGGGGAGCCTGAATCTGCATTCGCTAGTAGAGGGACCGGGAGGTGCTGTCCCGTCTGCTTTGCTGACGTGGTCGCGTCGGTGAAAAGACGCTCTACTACATGTGGAGAGATGAAAGATACAACAGGGTCGTTAGCGGTGAGGTTGACAGATAAAGTACGGAATATCCTCAAAGAGCGACTTTGTCTCGCATTCTCATCATGGAAAGGGACGACCTGCTGTCGGAGGAAACGAGGACCTCCTCAGGCTTCATCCAGCTCTACAAACGAGGAGTGCGGCGAAATAGCTTCAGCAGTGAGTCCGGAAGACATGCTACAGCTGTTTCCGTGCTGTCATGAAATGTGTAAGCACTGCGTCCAGCACTTCATAGGCGAAACTGTGCGACAGCAGCAGCCAGGCTTGTGGCGGCAGTGCCCAGTGTGTCGAGAGCAGCCTTGCGAATTTCTTCCGAAGGGCGACGTGAAGTACAATCGTGGCCCTGTGTATTTCACCTTGTTCTCATTGCTTGGAACCAAGTCGGCACACTTCAAGGCGCTGGGGCAGGTGCCAGACACAACAGATGCATCCAACGGGTGTGAGCGAACACCATTAAGATTGCAAAGGCTGTGGGAAATTCGCGAAGAAAATGACGAAGATCACCCGACAGCACGCACCTGTTGGCTTATCAAACGGTTGATCGATTGGCGCAGTTATTATGCGCGCAGTAGGCTTGCAAACGTCAGCTTTTTGGATTTCAGTTGTTACTCTCTTTGTCGCACTTTTTCCTGTAGCAGACTTTTTCTCCCCGGCGAATTGGTTCTTGTATGACGTTGTCATCAATAGCTGCACCACCCAGCCGCTGAAGGACGGCCAAAACCTCTGGTTGATGTGGGTTGGAAAAGAGCTTGCGGTGAGGCACTTTCTCAACGGAGTGTTCCTCGCTGCGTTTGTGGCACAAGGGCTTGTCACCCCCACTGCAGTGGAGTGGTTGAAGAACCTCGCAAGTTGCGAGGAGGACGCGTTAGGCACATGGCATCGCGGGTTTGGGTTCGAGCAGGATTTGGCAGAACGCATGGAAAAGATGTTTCGCCGTATTCGGAAAGAAATGAAATACGCCTGCCGGCGAAGCAACTACATCAAGGACAAGCACAAGAATCACATTATCACAGGAGGAGCGCAAGTTAAGAATCGCAGCTGTCTGAATCATTGTTCACTTTCCTTCTAATATGATCATTATTTGCATTTGTCTCTGATGTTTGTTGCTTAAGCTTAACAAGAAGATTAAAAACAATGAATTGGACTTAAGACATGAATGATCTGAATGTGTAGAGCTCTAATCCTCTACATAGTCAATCTTCCGGTTCGGAAATGAATAAGTGTGCTGGAGGTCGTGTAGTGGTGGAGGAAGAACATCACGGTGGATTACAAAAGATTTGTTTGCAAAACAACGAGAACTGCGTGAAGGTGAAGAACGACGAGAGCAGAAGGAGACGGAAATAATCGCGAGAGCTGTGCGGTCAACATTCGATGCTGCGTATTGCGAAATCGGATTAAAGCAAGCTGAGTGGGAGTTGGGAATATTTTCGCGGAATTGTCGCCTAAAACCAGATCAGGATGAACTAGTCATGAACATACCATATTGCGCAGTGGAAGACCTACTAGAGCGTGCATACGGTATCGCAAGGGCAAGAGGCGACACCGTCTTTCACTTCTTATTGCTGAGACATTGTTTTTTTCCAGATTGGCTCAGACACAGAGCGAAGCTAATGTTTCCGGTAGAAACAAAAACGGTAGAGGAGTGCCTTGAAACGTGTGCATTGTGGCGATTCGATATGAGTTTTCTGGAGAAGTGTACACGGGCACTAGCCAGGACGTGGGGATCCGCCTCGGTCGAGGGACCGAGCGAACCGACTACTGACAGTACCTAATACTGTCCTTCGGCGTTACTCACAGTACCTACTACTGTCGTCCGGCATGGACGTTCAATGATTGCTGTCTCTGTTCTGAAGAAGCCTGTGCCTGAACGAATCATTGATCGACGTTTCAATGGCTCGACGACTCGCGCCTCCCTTTTTGAGGAAACACTTGGAGTTTTCTTGTGTGCGCATGCATATCATGGGAAAGCGATGATTTCCGTGTAGTTGTTCGTCTCCCTCTCCATCTGAAGAGTAGCGTTTCGAGTTAACGTAATTTTTTTTTGCAGAGCAAGTAGTTTTCTTCGTATCCCTCAAGTTTAAGTAGTCTCAATAGCGGCACTAGCATCATGATCTAGTCTCGTCTCTTGGTCTTGCTCTTCTTCCTGGTGTTTGAAAAAGTGTATTGGGCATGTTTTGTGCTCGCTTAGGATTTTTTAAACTCTGCCGGCCGCTGATCAATTTTGCGTGCTGCGTGCAGAAGATAAACTAACAAGGAACTGCGCATATGCGTCATTCAAAATAGAGGTGATTAACAACATCCCAAGTCCAGAGCCCCAGAGCAAGCAGCATGGAGCAATAGCAAATGCATTGTATGTAAGTTCTTGTTCCTCCCAATATGAGCATGGGTTGCCTATGCCTTTGATAGCTTTCGCCGTAGCGGATTTCTTTGCTGATATAAATATAATTTTTGATTCTACTATCTTAGTTATACTATCTAGAGTAAGACCTACTTTGTTCCCATCGTTCCTAATACTTTACCTTTCAGTTCAAGTGACTCCTAATCTTCTTAGCTCATACTTCTACTATCCAAATTTTCATGCCTTTGACTGCAGTACAACCAACCACTCCCACAGAGTTAGGGTCTTCCAACACAAACAACACCAAACAGGGGAAAAAAATGAAAATGTCCTCTCGCTGTACTCGTCTCAGTCCTGTATGAGGATTCTTTTCATCTCATGCAAATAAGATTATTGACTATCTAAGGTTCAACAACATATAACTTTGATAAATTTTATATTTCTTTAGAAGAGAGGCACGTCTCGTATCCTCCAGCATTGCAGTATCAATCTATGATCGGTAAACCGAAAACCTTGCATTTTTCGCAGAGCTATTATTTGTGAAAAGTTTGTTGAAAGATGATTGTAGAGAAACGAGTGTGAAGAGTCTTCTATATCCGTATTTATATTTAACCTCTCCCTCTCGATTCTAACGCCAGCGCCTGATTTTGCTGCGTAGAAACTATGGCCACATCAATATATTGACGGGGTGAAAATGATAGTCATGAACCGTCTTGGTCTTAGTTTCTCGTGATAATTACGTACGCATTTCGTATCATGTTTATCTCTTCATCAACTTAGTGATGTAAAAATTCAATTTTTTTATTGAATCAAATATATCAATCGACACACATTATATCAATCGAAAAAATCCCCTTCTGACCTTCTCATCTCGTTAGGGATGCTGAGGTAGTTGGAAGGGATCGCCATTTGCCTGGCTGGGCAGTTGTTGTGGGAGTCGACCTTGCAGTCGGCTGCCATTTTGATCTTATGAATAAGGGGGTAAATAATTGATTGAAAGGGTGGCAGCATATAGTCCTAACTCAAAAAAAAAAAACCACGGTGGTCACGAACGGCCATATCAGGGGCACTCACATGACACAAAATGGAGTCGAAGGATCATCAAGAGCAAGATGAGGACGTGATGCGCAGTCTTACACGCAGATCTACGGACCAGCGAGGCCAACAAGTGCAGCAACCCAAACGCAGGGACTCACAAGAAGATGAGGCCGGCAAGATGAACGGAAGTGAAGACCAAAAAAGCAACAAGTCGTGCGTCCCGCGGCCTGCTTTGGAGGTTCGATTCCTCGACCTGGCAGGCGGTTTACTATGGATTGCTGAAGAACAGAATGAATGTAGCTGATGAAAACGCAAATGAGAACGCGGAGGGCCACCCATTACTAACCCTCGGCGACGCAAAGCGCTCTTTTTTGGAGCATTTGGAGGAGGTTGCCAGCAGCTACGAACACGCGCGGCGCCCGTTCTGGCGCATGCGACGGGATATCGGCGCTAGCCGCGATATGAAGAGCTTCCGGCTGGCGGGGATTCGGTTTATGAAAAATGGCGAAGGAGTAGGGGCTTGCCCCTTATAAATTTGCTAGCTAGTCGTGTCACTACTCATCAGACGGCCACACAAGAAAGATAGCACTCTGTATGGCACTTTGTATGGCTCTCACGCTTTAGCGATGAATCTTGTTCGTTCTTCAAGTACTGAAAAAAATAAGTACTTAAAAGGTTCATATATTTACCTAGAAGATGGACGAGGTAAAGTGGGAGTAGAAAACAAAGGGTTGGTCTAATTCTTTCGAGGGGCAATCCGACACATTAAATGAGGTCGTGCGGCTGCGCGCTGCCGGGTCTGCAGGTAGGGGGCCGCTCTACCTTCCGATCTGAATACACGAACTGGATCGCGGAGGTGTAGCCACTAATCCTGAATTGGTCTGTTTTGTCGATGTACACGGGACTAACCGCACAGATGTCGAGTGGTCATGCAATTCGTGGACGATGTACGGCAGCCAGAATGCGATGAGTAATGGCAGGTTACCCGAAGCGCGGGCCGACGGGGCTCGCTCCGTGCGCATGTGCTACACAAAGGATAGGCTCTTCGGAAACATTCTGGTGCACATTCGTAACGACTTCCGAGACGCCTTCGGCGACAATGCAGGAGAGCTAGAAGAGGAGAACCGGGGGCACCTTGGCCTTGCGTTGCTGAATGAGGTTGAACGTGATGGCTTCGAGATTGTCGGGCCTGCGTCTTATGTGGTGTTCCAGTTGGAATCGTACGACGAACAGCAGCGGTTCCTTGAACTTCTAGACTCGTGGAAGAAAGTCGACTGGTGCCACATTGCCGAAGAGTGGCTGGAACCTGGTCAGCGTTTGTCATGGGACCCAAATGTGAGGAAAGAGGTACAAGGTCACTCGTGTCCAAGTTTCTAACTACCGACAAAATCCGCGCAAGGATACCAGAACGCGAAATGCGTGAGGCTTTTGATAAGTGGGACGCTTATTGCGTCAGCTATTTCGGTCTCGAGCAACGTCTCACTTTCGAATGCCTGAATACTCCGCACGACGTTGCTTTAACGGAAACCGCACTCCTTACCGACCTTGTTGAGAAAGACGAGCTGAACATGCTTCAAATTTTGGTTGCTATGCCGCACTTGAACCGCTTGGAGGAGTTGACAGATTGACTGAATATTATCAGCGACACCGTGCTCGCGCAGACGTTTTGATGCCTCGCATTGATATTTTCATGGAATGCAATTAGTAGCAGAATGCAAAATCTGAGAGGGTGACATTGGTTCCCCTCTTGATGAGGACAGCACAGCAAGCATGACCAACATAAGGACATTGCTTTATCATATCTTTCGTGACATAGGCATTTGATGTACTAGCCAGATTACATTTAGAAAGATGAAAGCCATTGCCATCTTGAAAAAAACTACTGACGAAGGAGCCAGCCCAGGTCCAAAATACTAGACTTGAGCGCCCGGCCCCGGTAGCACTCCCCCCACTAGAGTCCTCCACTCCCTACGCGCACTCTCTCCGTCCCGGCGTGCTTCCGCTTCCCCGGCTCCTTCGCCGCCTGGCAACCGTCTGGCGGAGTTGATCGGCCGGACAGGAGTCGGGGCGGGGGCGTGGCGTTACTTAATAAAAGCCGCTGCAGATCGATTGGTAATTTTGAATTTGGATTTTTTTGAAGTTCGTTTATCAGTGATACAATCAAAAACTTTGAATTTTAAATCTTGAATTTCAAATTTGAAAATCCAAGAGCTTTTAACTATATCGCTTAAAATTAAATAATCTAAAACTACTACGTCTACTTGGTTAAATATTTTTTGAATTTGAATCTTTTTAGAATTCATTCTTCAGTGATAATATCAAAAATCTTTGACCTTGAAAATCCGAAAGTTTTTAATTATATCACCTAAAACTAAAATTATGAAGTCGCTTATGATTTGCTTAAAGTTAAATATTTGCCACGCCATGGCCCGTGAGTTCATGAGAGAGTTCTTGAGTTCCTGACTTCCTGGGTTCGTGAGTTCGTCGGTTCATGGGTTCACGTCTTTGCTGTTGCAGTGTTCTTGGTTCAACAAGAGGTTGGAAGGGACGCTGTTGATTCTTTTTTACCTCTTTAATATTTATTAGTTGCTTACACGATCACGATGATCCTCTTATTGAGCTTTCGTGCTGGTTCGCCCTTACCAGTCGTCAGTTTGAGTCCATGCGCAATGATAAGACGTAGACTTCACGCTGACTAAAAATTAGCAGGCGGCTGCCGCAGTCTTGGCGTTCGTTGCTTGCTAGATTCCAGCGTGTGCGTGAGCAGGCGCTTTTTGTGTGTGAGCTGGATCTCATACTCATACATACATCTCTGACACTTATTCTCTTCTGACCTAGGAGTGAGGTTCCCTTCCACATGTTGCTGCTGCATACCCTGGCTTTGTGCCGATGCAAAAGATAGTTAGCACAAATTTAGAGAGAACGGCACGAGAGACAACAGAGCAGCTTCATAAAACGGTGTCAACGACTAAAAGTTAATATGTATTTGATAGATGTCCATACTGTGTAACTTAATGTTCTTGCTTACTTACAAGTGATCTTCAGGATATTGAGATGCTGCTCCAAGAACAAGAGAAAACACTTCCTCAGTCGTTCGTAGATCGTGCCGACGATTCTTCGCCTGGCCACACACGTTTCGACTGCAAGCACTGTGTCACTGCAAGGACCCAGCAAGATCGTCAAGCGAGCGCACAGGATGGTGGTGAAGATACACTAGAAAAGACGGGGAACACCAACCGCGAAGCTAGAGGTAGAGAGAAGATGTGCGAGAGCTTTCGAAACGGCTGTGACCTAGACGCGGATGCTGGTGGGCGTCCGCTTTTGCCGCGACTGCTTTTTACGAACTTGGCAGGGGAGACATTATTCGACACAGACGAGGACGCTACGCTTCCTCCATGTGACACGCTCGGCGACGCAAAACGACTCTTCGCGGAACATTTGGAGAAGGTTACGAGCATCTATGGAGCACATGCGCGACCAGGGGGGCCGTTCGCAGACATTCTAAGCTACACCGACGCCGACGAGTGGTGCTTCGGCATCAAAGGCATTTGCTTTATGGGCGCGAACTACTAAATAAGAGCATGCGCTTAGCTTTATTTTTCACTGCTCATCCGTTTTGTATGTGCAAACAAGACACTTGATTCTCGCTTGAAGATATAGATTATTTTCAGCGCCCAGAAAGAAGACATTCCTCACATTTTCGAAGAGAGATAGTAATACTGAAAGACGAGTCATGTCCAATACAAACAAACAGGAGGCTGTCGTGGAGAACACAGAAGAGAAGGAGTAAGTCTACGAATCAACACAGAGTGATTTTTTCGGCACCTCTGAGAAACTAGAAGAACAGCGAGCAGTGGCCTTGAAAAGTTTGGCAACTTCTTCCTTGTTTGATAAATCTAATGGAATTGAGGGGCAATCTCCGAAACTGAACGAGGTGTTGCGATTGCGCATTGAAGAGGTCAAATTTCTTAGACCTCTTGAACTTGTGATCGGCTTGAACCGAGCGGATCGCCGCAGGGAGGCAGGTTCAGTAAGTTTTCTTGATGTGGTGGTCCAACGCGAGCACCGCGGCTGGTCAAGAGGTTCAACGAAGTCCTGGGAGATGTTTAAGCACAGCCAAAACGACACAAGTCGGGACTTGCCTACCGCGCAGCCGCCGGAGGGTGAGCGGTCCGTGCGCCTAAGATATAAAACGAGGAGAGACGGGTTCGGGCTCTTCAAGCGTGCCCTGGACGAGACTTGGTCTGACCTCAGGGAATCTGCCGAGAAGATACGCTTCCTGGGCAAGCAGCTGAAAGGCACACCCACTCTGCAAGCTCTTACAATGTTACGCGAACTCATGCATTGTGGCGCTCAGGACGAGGGAGAATCGTCGTCAGTTATATTTCAGCTAGAATCGAGCAGGGAGCAGCAGCGCTTCCTTGCTCTTTTGGACTCGTGGAAGAGAGTGGACTGGTGTCAGGTTGTCCACCGCCAACGGTTTCGGCCTCCTGTTGGTCGGGTATCATGGCATCCCCAAGTGCGCAAAGAGGTGCGACAGCATTTCTTGTCGAAGTTTGAGACCAGTGACGAAATTCGCGTGAGAATACCGGAAGGCGAAATGCGTGACGCTTACGATAAGTGGGACGCCTTTTATGTCTCCCATTTTTTGTTCGACGCTCTCGAGTTTCACCTACCGAACATTCCGCCAGGCGTCGTCGTCGAGGACGCGTCACTTCTCACCGATCTCATTGACCCAGACGAGCCGACCAAACTGGAAATCATGGCTATTGCGCCGCCTTTTCCGCGTCCTCCTAAGAGTAAGTCGGAGGAGGAGGTGGAAGTCGTGACGAATTAACCAGCGTTGAAGCACTCATAGAAAGATGAAGGCGCCGCTGCTTCCTTTTGATGCTTCGAATTTCGGTAGTGATGCATGTGGTTCTAGTGCATTACTCTCTAATAGAGATGATCAACGTCTATATTTGTATTATAGAATATGTAGAGGCGATTATGGCGCAATAAATCTACTTTCTCTTGACGTACTGAATCTAAGTCAGATCAGAATGTTCTTCTGTGCTATATATAATTTCTTGTTCTCTCGTAATATTGTTCTGTCTGTCAAGCAGTGCAAGAACCGGCAGTCAGGCTCGGCTTAACCTCCAATAACTCTCTATCGAAGCATTCAGCACAAGCATTCAGATGCGTAGCGCAAGTTTGGCTGCATGAAGAAAGCGAGAGGAGCTAAAGTCGCAGTTAAGGTTCTTGTTATGGATGCATGATCCGTGATAACTCCACTTCCAGTGTCGGCTTTAGATTTCCGTTCCAGATGCCAAGTGAGTCTGAGGTAAGACGAGAGGACAAGCGATGACTTTGAAGTAGCATTTGCGAGGCGTCAGTGAGCTTTTTTATATTTAGTTCTTCCGAAAAGGACAGAAGAAAAATCTTAATGATGCAGCTGGTAGTATCTGTTTATCTTTATTCATTGGTTTTGCAGCAGAAAATCATGAAAAGAAAAGAACGAGTGCGAGATAGGCTCTTAGACATGACAAACACGTTGTGCTTACTCTATTCGTTACATCATGGACTACACGCACATTGACATTCAAAATTGGAAGGAAGGATGATTTGCGTTGAACTGAAATAAGACGTTGCCGACAGAATCTTAAAGATGTGACTTAAGTGGCTGACTGTGAGCCTCTGTGTGTGATGCTGCACTTTGGTAGTATGCTAATTGCGAGCGAGTGACGATTAGGCGAGGGCAAATCTCTCGCTTGAGTGGGACGATAATCCTGATGATTCGCGATCAGCAATGCACGATAACTGACAATCGCTTAAGAGGAGCAGGGGATGGCGCACTTCTACGACCGACAGGTACACGTGAAAAACAGGCGCAGCCAAAATCAAGCGGCGATTTGAGAGGCTGACAACCACGAGTCTTGGATGAATGTGTCGAAGTGGCGAAAGAAACGTTTACTACGATGGGTGGGTCGTGCTAGATGCGACACCGCATACGGAAAGTTGACGCGAAGCATCGTTACTTGGCAGAGGAGGTGGTGAAAAGGAACATCGCTCTTTCAGCCAGTAGAAAAAGTGTAGTGATAAAAAACCTGCTCTTGCTGTTGCTCAGGGTGAATCTTTGCGACGAGTCATACAAAGTGCGACCGTCATAGCAAGATGATTAGCAGCATTATCCTGCTCACCCAAAAAGGGGAAATCCTGGTGCTCCGTGCATACAAGGACAATGTGACTCGTGTTGAGACGCAGCACTTCTGCGAACAAATAGTGGCAGCCAAAGAACTGAAGGAGAAGCCCATTCATCAAATTCGAGATTGTTACTTTCTTCACGTAACGTCAGGAGAAGTGACGATCGTTGCGACGACCAAAGACGACGTCAATGTCGTCCTCATATTCAAGCTCCTTTACAAAATCGTCGACTTACTCAAGTCCTACTTCGGCGGCGCGAACATCACACTTACTGAAGCTCTCGTACTGATTCTTCAGAATTGAATAAATGGTTTCATCACGATCATGCACCCTCTGATCACCTTGACCTTGTTTGGGAGCCAGGTGACTTCTCATATCAAACTTTAATAATACTTGATGAGATCATGCACATCATGCTGGATATAATCTGAAAATAACAAGCACGATTGCGACTACGTACTTCCTGCCGAGCCACCCGAGACGTGCTGCTGTGTATGTACGAAAGTTGTGTTACTTATTTTCTTTCTCACCCAAAAAAAGTCTGATTGAAAAACCTTCAGATCCATCGGCATTTCGTATTGATCTACGAGCTATTGGACGAAGTGCTAGATTTCGGGTATCCGCAGGTTATGGAGGCGGAAGTCCTCAAGAAGTACATTACGCAAGGCGGCCTTAAACCTGTAGACCTAAACGACGAAGAGAATCTGAAGAAAATTACTATCCAAGCAACAGGAAACTGCAGCTGGCGGGCAGAAGGCATAAAATACAGGTAGTATCATGTATGAGGCAAAGATGTTGGACGACAACATGCGGATGCGGACACTAAACTTCAATGTCTTCTGTCAGATATTTTCAATTTTCCAACTATTTTTTCCATTTCTTTGCGGTTCGTGTCTATGCCCTGCTGTGTCAAGTTGTGCGTTCTTTCGCTCTGTTTTGAGCCCACATTTTCCCTCAACATTTTCCCTCGTAATTAAACGCGTAGCCTGCCTCTCCCAGGAAAAACGAAGTATACATAGACGTCATCGAAAGCGTAAACGTGTTACTTAGCCAGAGCGGAACGCTATTGCGCGCGGATGTTTCGGGTCAGATAATGGTGAAGAGCCAGTTGTCGGGTATGCCTGAGTGCAAATTCGGAATGAACGATAAGTTACTGATGCCCCACGAGAGCGCCGGCGTTGCGGGAGGTCGGGCGGCCGCCGCGCAGAAAGGAGGAATTGTTATCGACGACTGCCGCTTTCATCAATGCGTTCGGTTGTCAAAATACGACCAGGAAAAGACGATAACCTTTATCCCGCCAGACGGAACGTTCGAATTGATGAGTTATCGAATCACAGAAAACATCCAGCCGCCATTCAGAATTCTATTATGTTGAGTCAGTGATACAAGTACCAAAACCACGGCTACTCCTAAGGTAGTTCCGCAAAATACCATTCGTGCCGAGTGGCGAAATCAACAGAGGATCACTACTTTTTAATCACAACAATCAAAATGTTCGGATTTCTAACCTGTTGAGATAGAATTATGGGGGGTCTCTAATTAATCCTGTCGTCCAGGAGCGCGGCCGCAACAGGATGGAGGTTTCGCTCAAGGTGAAGAGCCTTTTTGAAGCGAATACATACGCAACGCAGATCGTGATCACCATCCCAGTCCCCAAGTGCACAGCACGCGTGAACGTGCAGACACTGACGAGCGGGAAAGCGAAGTACGAGCCAGAAGCAGGCATCGTGTGGCGCATGCGGCGGTTTTCCGGCAATACTGAAAACACGCTGTCAGCAGAAGTCGAGCTTGCGTCGGATCGCTATGACTCAAAGCATTGGGTACGACCGCCCATTAGCATGGATTTCCAAGTCCCGATGTTCACAGCGACAGGCCTCCGCGTACGCTTTTTGAGGGTGCAAGAAAAAAGTAACTACAGACCAGTAAAATGGATACGCTACATCACGAAAGCAGGAAGTTATCAGCACCGAATATGACATGCTGCTCCTGGTAGCTTATTATGCGCATACAATTATGATCAACAGGGTGGAGGACTACTTCAACTTCTGCATGCACTGTAAAAAGAGTCGGTGACATGAAACTGTTTGTAATAGCTTCGTTGCGGTGATACAACTTTCGAAATCATGAGTCCTTTTTGTATAATAAGTACTTCTTCTACAACTCAGCATGATAGATCATGCATGGAACACTTTTACATGATCATCTTCATGATGCTTCGTGTCCTCGATCCCCACAATTCCACATTCATTCGCTTATACTAGTCTTGGCACTCCTCCAAGTTGCAAGTAGAGCCTACCTGTGCAAGGGCAAGGGGGAACCGCAGACGCGCTATATAAGTAGATAGCGCGTTGCAGTCGAGGAACAGAAGCTGTTGCAGTCTTTATTCGAAGGCACACGAGCTTGAGAAAACTGAAAAATCTCAATCTTCTATCTGTGATAGTTTGATCATGATTCTTTTCGTTTGCGGAGCAGAACAAAAACAGAAGTGAAGTGGAGCCCGAGAGACACTGTCGTGTGAACCAGAGAGGTAACCAATAGTTTGAGTCGTGTATCTGGCTCCAATCGGACGAGTGGCACTAGGGGTGAGAGTCCGTCTCCGGAGTGAGAATTCCTGACATTAACTCGACTTCCCAAGGACCACTTCTACCCATACAACGTATACCCACGACAGATAGAGATAGTACATCAATTTTCAGCCTAGAAGTAGAAAGATAAGAAAAGGCTGGCAAGTGCATATGCAAATCGACAATCGTCACGTTGTGCGCACATCGTGACTGAGATAACTCTTCGTGAATAGTCGAAAAATATAGAAGATTTCATTCGTGAAAGAAGAGTCTAATCTGGAAAGACACAGCTAGAGCTATAGCATCTGAGGAGCAGTAGCGAAAAGATTATATGGGTCACCTCATTCTCATAGTCGTAGTCCTATTCGTACTTTCACCAGCAGTCCTTTTTTTTATTATAGCAAGTTCGAGAGCGTTCAAATGTCTATATTTTCGGTCGACTTTATATCCAGTTTTCGGAACCCCGAGGAGTGCGTCGTTCGGAAACTCGTACCATTAGCCCCCTTTGATGCCGAGATCGTGAAGCACAAAGCATTTTTCTGTAACTCGAAGAGCAGAAACTGAGCAGAACCCCAAAGTGTAACGTTATTCGTAGCTCGCGAGGTCCAGTCGCGAGCGACGAGATACGTTCTTCCAACGACCGTAAAAAAACTTATCAAACTACTCGAGACTCCTCCAACTACTGTCGTGTAAACGCGATCGAGAACGACAAAAATACTCGCGGTATTTTTGAATAAGATTGTCATCCTTGTCAAGAACAACAACATCTTGTTCTGCATCCTCCTTCCCACGACGAAATGCGTCCATATTGATCTCCCTGTAGTAAAAACTTCCGTGGCCTCTGACGTCTTCGAAGAAGTCGAAAGATGTCCTCTCCCATTACCGGGTCTTCCTCGGCGCAAAGTAGCACTGCGCCGTTTCATGACGTGAATGAAAGCAGTACCAGCGTTTCTGAGTTCGATACACTAGCCAGGAGGCGGCAGTACTCAGTGCAGAGAGCGCATGGGCATGTGTTGGATCTACATGAACGTGATGCAAACACTCGGTACTCAAGCAATTCTACTTCGACGATGCGGAGGTTTTCAACATCAAAAATAATCCGACCTGACAGTGATACCATGATCATGAAGCACAAACATAATGTACTTCTGAGGGCGAGCGAAGATGACAGAATGACTACATCACTACAACGAAAAAATTGGGGCAAAACTTCCACAGCAGCTTGGTCCTCGTTGTTTTACCTTTTGATCACTGCGTTTTGCACGCCGTTCTACGTGCTTGCACAACAAGCTCTAGGACAACAGCCAGAGGTCGATAAGGATCAGCTGGATCCCCATATTCACACACCAAAACGCCGCCACGAGAAGGTGAAATGGATTGAGCTCGTCCACCACACTTTTCCAGAGGGGAATTTGACAGATCATGCCCTCGCGCTTTGGCATTTGGAGTCAGCGGCGAATCCAGTGAATGACTATGTGCAGCTTTTTCCAGATGTCGTTCAGCGTTACGGTCAGATATGGAATAAAGAGGCGATTACGACTGATCACTTTGAACTCTCCTTTCGCTTGGACGTACTATATTCTCGTTGATGACAGCCTGTTTTCTTTGCGGTTTGTTAGACGATTGTTCTTGAAGAAGGACAAAGATCTATTTTTTTTATCTGAAGATGGCTTGTATCTTCTGTTAGTAAGTTTCCTACCCTCATAATTGAAGGTCAAACAATGTAGTTGTTCTTGTTTTTATTCATCTTCTTCTTCAACATCCAGGTGTTTGCAAAGAATCGGATTCCGGAGACGACAGGTGCAGGACTTGGAGTGTGGCTGACGACATCGAATGTCAATGAATACCTTCGGGGGCAGACAATTGTGGGTATTCGTCCAGAAAATTTGGACGCTGCGAGCGAATGGAATGAGGGAGTCAAGGACCTTGGCTTTGACTTCCTTGGCCATAATGTGAAACTTCCTGGCTTCGGTGTCGTCTTCACCCTTGAAGATAGACACGGAAACATCAGACCCAGTGTGAACTGTACTGCTCCTACTTATTTTGATAGATCAGACCTCACGAAAATGAAGATTCTTTTTATCTTATGATTCTTTCTACTTGTGTGACTACCGACATGGTTGGCAATAGTACTAGTTTTAGCTACAACTCGTCCCTCCGTCCATCGTGTGACAGCGAGGCCGTCGATCCATTTTCTTACCCGAGTTTATCCTGTCTTATCGTATCTATCTCGATAAAGACCGAGACCAAGAAGAAAAGACTAGGGCACATTATACTCGCTCCAACTTCTCAGGCCTGCGCACACCTGCGCATACGTTTGAAAAACTTGAATATGGCAAGAACTTTCCGGAAGATGGGAAGGGTGTCCGCGTCGATTTCAGAAACCAGCCGTTGGACGTGCGTATTCATGTAAAAAAGACGGTCATTACAGCGGAATACAAGTTGTACTTTCATCTTACTATCCATCGTTTACATGTGTCTATTTTTTGATTATAGAGTACTTAGATTTGTGATGTTAGATCTGGATGATTGACACATCATGATTGTTGAGTTGAATTACTTCGGTTAGAAATCTGGATTGACTTGTGATGTGATGACTTCATGCGCATCTTCATAATTTTCAACGTTACACACTAAAAACAGCTTACCACAACAAATAACATTCGTGCTCTCACTCTAGACCCGCGAGCCAGAGTCGTGACTGGGCCCATCTGTGTACGGTGAGTGACGTGCCAAAGGCGGGCAGGACCTTCATGGGATGGGCCGGCTGGACGGGAAGCCCGAAGGAGCCGGGCAATACGAGCGGTGACCTTATTGCCAAAGTCAGCAAAGTCAAGACGTACAACTATCCGTTCTTTTATTATTCGCTGATAAAAATTGCGGTTTACTATCCGTTCTGCTAGTCGCTGAAGGCAGATTTTGATTTGCGATTTCCATATTAGCATAGACAGTCAATCCATTACGATCCGTATGGTCGCGTACTTCTACTTTGCTTTGCCATGTTTTCTCAGGTGGAACTTCAATTTGAACAATTGGGGCTCGGAAATGTCTGGAGTTGCGGAGGATATCCGAAAAATGTACACCGAACTGTATAAGAAAAACTTTCAATTCAAGAACCAAAGAGAGCAGACCGAAGCGATTCACGGGGTACTTTAATATCTTTTTTTCAATCTTCGCGTTCGCCCTAGATCTAGTCCTGCCAGTACTAGCTTCAAGCAACCCTCATTGTTCACCAAAATAGGGATTCTTTATTGATTCCGAAATCGTAAGCGCAAGCGACCCAGTGAATTATAAACACGAATTCTTCATTTTCATTTTTACCATTTCTTGCTCTTGCACCTCCAGATTTTGAAGATGCTGAAGAGCTACATCGTCCAGTCCCACGAGGCCGAGGGCCAGCAGGCTCGTACCTTGTTACACGTGAAAAGTCAGATGCTGGACATGGAGGCGAGCGCGAACAAATTGCGCAAAGAGGTGCACTTTGTGTTGGAGAACGTGAATGAGGATCACTCACCAGAAGGTCGAGCGAAGCGCAAGCAGAAAGCCATCGAGGAAATGCGTCGCGAAGTTGGATCCATTCGCACCGTCATTATGCTTTGGTGTAGAATCTAGAAGAGGTTACATAGTCATATTTTGATCTCCTCTGTATTATAGTATATTATGTAGGAACATTTCCTTGTTTGTTTCTACTCGGGTCAGGTCGATTCAGGAGAACCGCGTAGTTGACCGCCTTAGGCTTAGGTGGTCTTCTTGTTACTTACTCAATTAGAGCAACATCTTATTCTTAGTCCATGATCGCGTTCAGGAACAGGATCACGTGGAACAAACAGGCTCCTCTAATGTTATCAGCGACATGGAGAGCGACACGAACAGGTTTGCGGAGGTGTCTGACAGTGTGGCGGCCGTCGCAGTTCGCGGAGGCGAGGACAGTGCAGTGGACGATGTTGCGCAGCAAACGGAGGACATCAAGTCCTTGGCGGAGACGCAGATGTACTATGCGACCCTGATGAACATGGTCGTCATCTCCACGCTGATCATTTTGGTCGCCATCATCGGGTCCAAGATCATGTACTACGAGAAGAAACACCTCTTGTAAGGTGCAAAAATGGGGTGGAGTGAAGAAGGAGGTGGTTATCATGAAGAAGTAGTCCCTAATAGGAGAAGGACTACGCGAGGGGGAGAAGGAGAAGATGAAGAACTAGATTTTTTGGAGAAAAATATCGTTCTTCTGGTGCTCAGGCTCACGCTCAGGTGCCAGGAGACGACTTCTAGACTACACACATACTGAACGCATCAACACGGTAGTTAGAGAGCTTCTTATTTCCAATTCCAACAACAACGCAGCAGGATCATCAGACCCAAGTGGATCAGACCCAAGTGGACCTTGATTGTCCAGCGCAGGAGAGGAAAAAAGGGGGTGCTGATTCCTGAAAAGTCCCAAGAGGTAGAAGGCGAACAACCCAGATTCAAATTTCTTTCTTGTAAGATTGTGGGCGTATATCCCTGCGCACACTTTATTGAACAGGAATTACCAAAGAAGACCACCCGCCTGTCGCAATTGCTACCTTACCGATGTCATTGTTCATAGGAGAAAAAATATTGTAATAATTAGGATACAAATATGGCAAAAACACCTTATTTCATTCCATTTTGAGCATAACGATGCCAAACTGTAACCTCTGAAAAACTGTAACACCGTTCACAAACATTCATAATTGACCCAATAATCTTCATTTCAATTTGCACTTCGCAAGCAAGCATAGCAGCCTCAAGTTTTGTAAAAAATTTACTGCACTTGCAACGCTGACAATAAAATATTGTATTAACAACTAAAACTAGAGCAGAAAGATGCACCAGAAGTAGCACCGCCAGGTGAAATATGGTCGTTGTTTTGATGATGCTTCCCTTCCCCAAATCGTACCCACATCGTCCGAAGAGGACATCAGAACTGTTCTTTCATGATATAGCTGTATCAAGATGCCAACTGAAGGAAAATACACCTTGTTCGGACAAGGTACTTATTTGTTAAATTGTCATGGTTTGTGCCTCACTAACCCAACTCATGAAGTAGCTAGCTTCGCCTATCCAAAAATCGAATAGCTCAACAATTTTCTAAGAATTAGACTTCTTACTTGTGCCTAGAAGATAATTAATTACACGAACTTCATCGCTAGCCTACTCATGTTCTATATAATGTCATGTAGCCAGTCGCCCTTGCAAATTTTGACACTACTTCACTTCAAGAAAAGAAACCTGTGTTGAATCATTGAGTATCTAGTTCCAAAACCTGTGTAACAGGTTCACAATTGTACTCAAGATCTACAACTGAGACGAACCCAAAAAATTGTTGTGCTGCTTGCTACCGTTATACTAAGTAGTTGTTTCGAGTTGTATCCAGACGCGAACGCAAGGTAATATTCCAAGAAGAAGGAGGCAACACCGACAACTCACTGCAACACGTGAAGATGAAATGCTGAGCTCATAGCAGGATATTTCAATTTGACAATCGAATGAAAAAGGACAAGTTTATTACAATCGGTGACGAAAGTACCCCAGTGAAATTACATGCCCCCGTACGGATTCCAAACGACATTCTCCTATTGACCTACTTACTCGCAAAATATCATTATCAAAGAAAGCGTCCCCCCACAACTTCAGATTCTGAAATCAAATGCGAATTCACTCCAAACAAATCGAGGAACATCGTTCTCCATAAACTCCTCAATCAAGATGGATGAAAGAATTTTTGTACAACTAGCTCTAGCACCCCTACCCTACCTCACCATGACCCATAAGTAGAAGACGGATAGAGCTTTTGTAGCTCTCGGGATGAAAAAGTCCAGAATTCGAATTATTGTTCTGTGTTTCCTGCCGCCCGACCGAAACAGACTGGATTACAATTGCTGAAATAAATGGGACAAGAAATCAATCATAGCTGGGGAAGTCGTACTTCTATTCGCCGTACTACTTGAAGAGTTGTTCCACGAGAGGGCGCTTGATCAATGATCTTGAGTTCAACCGAATCTGGCGTTCACTCAACAGAAAAGGAGTAATCAACAACATGATGTTTTTTTCCTGAAGATGTTCTGATTCTGTTTTAGTAGTTGTTCTAGAAAATTTCCAAGTAGTTGGCGGTCAACCTTGGAACGTGATTGATAAAAGCGAAACATGTGTGGACAAAATGATCTTAATCAATGATGTTCATGTTATTTCATCCTGAACTTGCACAGGATCAACAACATGACAATCAACCTGTTGGCTTTGGCACTCAATCCGCTTGGTCGCAACCTCACACTTGTCGCGAAGATTTCTGAGAGGTAAATGAGAGGACGAGCTCAAAGTGGGAGCTGGTTGCATATTTAGGATGGTTTGGCATTGATGTTTGGTAGTCTTCATACTAACGGGGAAGTTGTAGTTGTTGTACCAGTACGAAGAAAATGTCGGCGACTTCAAGTTCTCTCAATGTTCCGCCTGCACCCGGGGAAAGCGGCAATGCTGGTGGTAATCCTGGCAACGTTGGAAGCATGATGGGCGGTGGTTGCAGCGCTGGCAGCCAAACACTAAGCCAGCATGTCGGAGGAGCGTCATCAACTGGTGTGGCACCCATCGTGCTGGAGAACAGTGCCGGCATCTCATGCTTGCCCTTCGACCCTAGTTGTTTGCTTGATACCAACAATTGGGAAGAGGAAAAAGTTCGAGTCCTTGATATCATGGTGGAGTTGATGTATACCCAGTCGACGGACATTCTCGCACGTTTAGCACATGAGGTTGCGACACAGTTACAGAGTCAACTCCAACAGCATGCGGCTAGCGCTGGAGGAAAGCTGCAGATTGGAGGTAGCAGTTCTTCAAGTGGAGGACCTGACAATGCGACGAGAACCAACAAAATCGATAAGTGTCTATTTGGAGGCCAGACGGCCCGCGCACTCATCTCACTATCGTCTTCGGATAGTCTCACTCTGGAGCAGTTACAGCAGATAAGTGGTGCGGCTAGCCAGGAGGCTCAGCGGCTTGCCAATCTATCCAAGGATCAACGAAAAGCGATAGTAAAACTTGCACACGAGGTCCTTCACAAACTCAAAGAGCAGACAGGCGCGTGGCAATTAGTTGAAGTCATACTGAACAAGACAGCACATCCGCAGAGCAAGTTTTTCGCCCTGACTCTTCTGGACTTATGAGTTGGAATTTATTCCTAGATAGAGATATGCCATAATCAAACTCATCAAAGTCGGATGAACTGGATTGCTTAAATAGTTGTAAGTAAGTAGAAGATGAACTGCTACTAGTATTACATCAGATCAAGCTGACGAGTCAATTTATCGAATGACATTCTTCTAGTAGTCCAGGATTAGATGATTAGATGATTAGATTCAGGCTCTTGCTCTATTTCTAGTTTATCATTCTCTTGTTCATCTAGGTCCACTATCCTCTAAGACCAGTCTGCATCAAGCAGAAGTGGCGTTTTCCAGATCTACCGCGGGATGCGATCAAAATGTATGTTACTGACCTTGTCATACGTGTTAGCTCAAGCGAAGATGCGTCACAGAAGGAGAAACAGTTTTTGACGAAACTGTCAGAAGTTTTGGTGCACATCGTGCGCCAAGAGTGGCCAACGCACTGGCCGAGTTTCCTACAAGACATCTGCGGTGCGAGCCGGCACAACCAGTATCTTTGTGAGAACAACATGCGCATTCTGGCGATGCTGAGTGAGGACATTTTCGACTTTGGCGATAAGACGATGGTGAGCCAGCGCGTGATGGAGTTGAAGCACAATTTCTCAGCGCAGTTTGCGATGGTCTTCGAGCTATGCATGTGGGTGTTTCAACTGTACACGACACAGCCGGCCAATACTGTGCGGCCACAACTAGTCAAGACCACGCTAGAGACCCTGGGTAAGTTTTTGAGCTGGATACCGCTAGGCTACGTCTTTCAAACGGAGCTCATACCAATCCTCTTCGCGAATTTCTGGGATCCACCAGAGTTTCGGCTGGAGTGCATGACCTGTTTGAACGAGATCGCTTCGCTCGACCTCAATAGTGCCGCAAAATCCCAAAAGAACTCTGAATACATGAATTTTAGAACCCCTCTGGTGGATTGCTTCCTCGTGCTCATCGTGAAGTTGCAATCCTTACCCGGAAGCATTTTAGACGACGTGCGAGCCGGGAGACGATACGAGACGGTCTTCATACAGCAAACGACGCTGTTGCTTAGCAGGTACCAATCGCGATCTACTTAGTAATTAATCGACATTGGTTATCAATATCATAGATATCTAGTTTTAGATTTTACTTTTAGAAGTACATGATCCGCTTGTAGTTTTTGGAGAACAACTTTGATAAAATAGAGATGATGATCTCTGCATTTTTTTTCTTCGTGTGCAATTTCTCTTATCGATCCTGTCATGGCCTTTTTTTTCCCAGTTTTCTGAAGCACAACTTCGAAGCCATAGAGGGGCAGTGGAATGCGTTAGAGTCTGCGTTGAGTTTCCTCGTAGAGGTCACGACGGTGCAGGAAGAAGAGATTTTCAAGCTCTGTGTCGAGACTTGGGACCTCGTGGCCGGTCGGCTCTACGTCTACGGCGATGAATGTACCTATCTTCTCGTCTTTTTTTCTAAGTTTTGGCCTTGATGATTGAATCAGTAGATTTCTTCCTTCATCGGTTCAACTTACTAAAATACTGTCAAGAACTTCAACCGAGGTCCCGTTTTCATTTTTCTGTTCAACGTCACCAGGTAAGAAAGCGCATCTTGCGCAGTCTGGGTGTATCGACAATGAAGGCGACCTTATGGGCTACGTTATTCGTAACGAGCTCAATGAGCCCCGGTTGCGACGCTATTCTGCCGTCCTAAGTCGCGTTCGTGAGATGTTGATCACACGTATGGTGAAACCACCTGAAGTTACTATCAAAGAAAACGAGGAAGGCCATTTTGTACGACAGGTATAGCAATTAAAATTATTACTCATAAGAGAACTACTTTATCTTCTATCTCTTGCCGCGCTTGATATGAATAATCTGAGTCAGGTTTATCTTTATGTTTATCTTGTCATTCATGTTCTTCTTCTTTAGTACAACGCATGTTGATGTTCATTTCGATCTCAGAACTCATGATCATAATATTCAATGTCTAGCAGGTCGAAGAGGATACGGACGAGCTAGCCTTGTACAAGCTTATGAAGGGAATTTTGGTTTATTTGACCCATCTGAACCCGGAGAATATGGATCAGTTGATGCTCGCAAAGCTGACACAGGAGACGCAGCTGGCGATGCAACACACTCATTCTGAGCTAGTGGATGCCCAGGGAAACGGAGTTGCGAAGTGGAGTCCCGGGAACTTGAACCGACTCTGTTACGCCATTGGCAGTGTGTCCGGCGCCTTTTCCGAGAAACAAGAGAAAGCTTTTGTAGTAGCAGTGATCAAGGACTTGTTAACGCTGTGCGATCTGAAGCGCGGCAAAGAGAACAAAGCCGTTGTGGCGTCTAACATCATGTACGTCGTGGGGCAATACCCCTCTTTCTTGCGCGCGCACTGGCGGTTCTTGCGCACGGTGGTCGCGAAGCTCGTGGAGTTCATGCATGAAACGTTTCCTGGCGTTCAGGAGATGGCGGTGGACACGTTCTTGCGCATCGTTACAAAGTGCAAAAAAAAGTTTGTTATCGCGCAAGCCGACACGCCAGAGCCGTTCTTGGTTGAGCTGCTTGCAAGGACGAAATCCAACGTGAACGATTTGGAGCACTTGCAAATTGCCACGTACTACGAGGCAATCGGCCTCGCGATTGCAGCGGCGCCTTTTCGTGACCGAGAGGGCTACGTAGACCGGCTGATGAGCATCTTTAATGAAATTTGGGCTGTCAACATCCGCACGTTGCAACTCGACAACGGCTCAAGTTTGACACGAGACAACGACGCCCTCAAAAAGATTTGTCTGGTATTTTCTAGCAGAGGTCTTGCTGTAGATGGAAGACAAAATAATGTTGAAGATGCATGTTCTTTTCACATTTATAGATGTGAAATCCTCTCGAGTGTTGACTGATTAAGATTCTCATGCCACATAACAAATTCTCATTGTAGTTCTACTTTCTCTTTCGCCTGTAATGCGGTATATTAACTCAGTTTCTTCGATTAAATGAACGCGTTGCGGGCACTGTTGGTCTGGCGTTCTCGAAGCAGTTGAGGAGCATTTACCAAGAAGCTTTGAAGCTGTACAAGCTGTTCTCGACATTAATTTCGCAGAAGACACAGGAAATCGTTGCCTCAGGCGGACAGGCCAACAATGTGCTGCGGATGGGAAACGTGAAGCAGATGCGTAATACGAAGCGGACGACTTTGCGTTTGGTAACAACCTTTCTCAGTCGTTGTTTGTTGAAGGACAATGCCGACGCGGCGGCGGCGCAGTTGTTGGAGCTTCCGCCGGGCATTCCGGACGCTGACAGTTTGGAGAGGGAAATAGCGACTTTCGTGGTTCCGCCATTGCTGGAACCGGTGCTTCATGATTATGAGCAGAATGTCCCAGAAGCACGCGATCCGGAGGTTCTAGATCTCTTAGCAACCATGATCACACAGTTAGCTAGGCCGCTTACCAGCGAGGTGCCGCGGATCTTCGCAATGATCGTTGAGACGACCTTGCGCATGCTTGAGGGCGATGCGCTGCAGCAAAGTTATCCGGACCACAGGATCAAGCTTTTCGGACTGCTTTCGGCCATCACCAAGGACTGCTTCAACGCTTTATTTCTTCTAGGCGACGACAAACTGAGAATCTACGTGAACAGCTTGCTTTGGGGGATGAAGCACGCGCATCCGGTTGTGTCTCAGACTGCTCTGGCGATCTTGGCTCAATTCTTTCAGTCTATAGGAAAGCAGCTGCCACCGCACGCCACGCAGCCCTTCTTCCGCGAGTACTACACGCAAATTCTCGAGGCAGTGTTGACAATAATGACGGACACCATGCACACCAGTAGCTTCAAGGCCCAGTTGGAGATTTTCTACGACCTCGTTCGAGGATGCACAAACTCTGCAGAGTGCACTGCTGCCGCAGGCGAAGGATCGGGTGCGACGAACGGGGAAAGTAGTGGTGATACGCCCTTACGCATCTCGCAGCAAGAGTCTATGGGGTTAATCGCCCAATTTTTTCGCAAGGCGTTCCCTGACACCTTGGCGCCCAGCCAGATCGAGGCTTTCGTGCTCAAATTGTTCAATATCACAGGCGCCGCGAACAACCCACCAGCCAACGTGAATTTCATGAGAGGCACGAGGGACGCGGCTGCAGCGGCGCACCAGCGCAAGACCCAAGATGATTTCCTTGTTTTGGTCCAGGACTTTCTCAAGGAAGTGAAGGTCTTCGGTGGTCCGGACGAAGCGTTTCAGCGAGTGAAAGAAGAGGCGCTCCAGCAGCAACGCGAACAGGAGGAAGCCAGGCGAAGTCTCGTGCCAGGGATGCTCGGAAACGCCCCAGGAGTCCCGCGCCCGAAACTCATAGACGATGATGACGACGACCTGTGAGGAGCATTCATCTGATTCTCATCAATGATTATCTCTCATACCATTCTGCTCCTGCTTCTGTAGAAGCAGCTGTTCTCGCAAAGAACATTTTTTGGAAGCCTCCTCTATTAGGATGTATTTCTTGTTGAAGGTACTATGATTCGTGTTCTCCGTGGTCAAATCTCCATTCCCATTGGTCATCGATTTGACAGTCCGATGCATCGTTTTCTAGGAGTTAGTACAAGATATAGATGGCGTCGCAGCGTTTACTTGCAAACCGTGGGGACGAGGAGTGCCTGATGTGTAAAAAGAGTGGTACCAGGAGCGAGAACGCTACAACATGAAACAACTAGTCCAGAAAGACGTCTGTTTATCGTTGTCCACTGCGCAGAAGATGCGATTTGTCATAGTCCAAGCTTAAATGGGTGTTGATCAGCGAGAGGGGATGTCATCTATTGCGAAGAGAAGTCTGAAAGGAAGTTAAAACTGACACACCGACGTGAGTGAAGAAATCAAGTAGCTGCAGTGGTCCAATGTAGAACTTGTCTAGTTCTAGCGAATTTCGAGAAAAGTGAAAAAACTCAGCCCTAGAAGTCAGAGATGGTGACGAATCAGAATATACCCCCGCACAAGAGGGGCTCATGCGGCGCAATCTTGCTCGGCTCAAATCAGTAGGTGTTTGGGGGGGCAGTCGATGTTGTATTTCTGAACCTTGCGTTTGCGGACGTAGTTGTAATTTGAAGGGGTAGTCAGGTTGACAAATATCTAGAACGAACGCCCCTCGTCCTACGTCTTTAAGAAAGGCATGTGGAGCGACTTATATATTGTTATCGCTCCTTGTTCTAAATATGAAGATTGATATATCCGATCGACCAGCAATGAATATGAATTCAACATCTTGTTGAGTCAACTACAAGTAGCCTGGTCGAGGGGTTTGAAAAAGACTCCCAAAAAACCAGCATTATGGTAGCCTTCGGCGAGAAGCTGTTGCGCGAACGCGTAACCGAATGGCGCGCGTACTACGTGAGCTATGAGATTTTGAAAGATTACATATCTGAAATGGTGCGAGAGCCCGCTTATCACGAACGGTTCTTGCAGGAACTAGGAAACAACATTCTGTTGTTCTCGCGCTTTTACGAGCAACAGGAATTGCAGCTTGCGAGTTCTGTCGGAGCTTGGAGAAGAAGCGTTGAGGGGACGATAGTTGCCGGCCTCGACGCTCCGGAGGACGACGATGTGATCTCTGCCAGAGACGTCATGGTAAAAGCGGAGCAAGTCGACGCACCAGTTATCTCAGACGTTTTTGGAAGAAAGGACGGCAGTGATATAGTGAGTGCGAATTCTACCTTGTACTATCCGCTTGGTGCCGGGTCTAGTTCTAGTAGAACGCACGAACAAGCACCTCATCCGGTTGCAAATCACTCTGAGAGGACTTCAAGTAGCTTCGTTGAGCACCAGGCAGGCGCCGCCTGGAGCAATGGTCCGGTTCCTTACGAAACTCCCACGGCGCTGTCTGTGCCGGGCTCTCCTCGAGGCTCACTTTTTCCAACGATGGTGTCCCCCGCAGTTTCTGGCGTGGCATGGCCTTTTGCGGCTATGCCCACACCGGGGTTGGCTGCATGCGAGGAGGGGTCGGCGCTGCCAGTGTCTTTCCAAGCACGAGGACAGGCAAGACTAATGGACGGCACACAATTGGACCTGCAACAAGGAGCAACCGGAGGCCGCTTGTCGCCGACGTCAGGCGCATCGACGCGCTTCGATGACCTGTTTAACGTTAATATTGGGGACGATCAGGTTGCGAGTAGCTATTTTCCTGGAAGTGGCTCGTTCAATGTTGTTCCGTCATTTACCGGCTCCGTTGTAAATAAGGTAAGTGCGACAACCGGGACAGTTCTAGCTACCTCTGGTGCAAATGCAAATGGCCGCGGCTCGGAAACTAGCAAGAGGACAGAAGCGCGTCGCGCGGCTTCTGGATTCTTCCATCGCATGCAACGCTTGATCCAGTTTGCAGAGACGAACTTGACTGCCGTGCGCAAAATCGCTAAGAAGTTTGACAAAGAGGTCGTGCGAAGGCCGCACCTGCAGAAATGCGAAGACCAAGAGCTTCTTCAGAAACTCATCTGCGGTGCCCTAGCAGAGACGAAAGTCGGAACATCGAGGGCGCGATTGACGCCGGTTTTGCGACTCGTTGTCAAAATCGGACAGCAGCCAGGCGACGCGAAAAACTCAAGACTAAAGGGACTTGCTGATGGACGAGACGAAGCAAGCGCGATGAATGCCGTGAATGTTGTAGATCAATCGGAGTTTGGTATAATGAGCAGAGTCACCACCACCACGACACCAGGGAAAACGGATGCTCTGGGTGTGGCATTGCTCCGACGGGAAGTATCAGAAGACGTGCTTCTTGCCGACAACACAGGTCTCACAACTGAAAATCAAACAGGGGAAGCAGGGAACAAGAAGAATATCAACCCCACGTCGTCCCTGGATATCACAATAGACGTGGAATCAGGTGCAGGACCGCGAGGACCTAGCAAACAGAAAGCTCCGCTTCTGCGTAGGGCCGGTAGCAAAGAGGTAGTCGTGTCACAACTTTTGGGCGACAATCCCGCGAGAAGCGCTGATCTCGTTGTCAAGCTCCTGAATCCGTTTTACTGGTCTAGTTAAGGCTTCTGCGAATCCATCTCGTGAAGCATCGATCCTGGAGTGGCTTTTCAAGGGGAAAAGAGGCGTAGAATGAATCTCAAGATGGATAAGGGCGAGCGCTAATCTAGGAAGTATGACGAAGGTCCCACGTCAGCCCGAGGACCTAAGGCTTTCGAGAGAAGCAATAGTGCGACATCCGCAATTTCCAATGCGAATTGCATGCAGGAGCCAAGGTATGAGATGTTGGGGAACAGGCTGGTTAACGGCGCCATTGGTGTTTCAGGAAATGCACGAGACGAGCAAGAGCAGGATCCTTCTGCGTCGCCACTTGCAGAGTCGGGTGGCATGAGAAAACGGATTTTGCCAAGAGCCAACTTGTTCGTTGATACTCCAAATGACGAGAAACTTCTCGGTATTCGAGTTGAGCCGGCGGCGTCTTCTGAGGATGAGGACCCGGCCGCCGTAGTTCGTAATTCGAGTGATGCAACAGCTGCAGACAGTCCGCATCGTCGGGAGTGGCAGGAGGCACATGCGATGTTCGCGATCTCGGAGGCCGATGAAAACGAGGAGGAGGACAACGAAGCGGCGGATGCCAATTCAGCTTGGCCGTATCGCTTTCTGTCAAAGCGGCTCGGAATCGGCACTACAAAGTCTCGCTCGCCTGGCATTTTCTACAATGGAGGAGAGATGAATGCACCAGTGGGCTCTGTTAGAGAGAAAGGGTGTAAGGGCGGTGGCACTACGACCATTCTCCAGCGTTTGGCTCTGCTGCGTGAGACGTACGTGAGCGACGATGTCCTCTTTGCGGTCGTCGTGGGTCTTTGTTGCCAGTACTTGTGGTTTAGCCGGAGCCTGGAGCTCTTTGTAGAGAACGAGATCAGACCGCCAGAGGGCAGCAGTGCGACGATTCCCGCATGGCAGCCGTACCTTACGATTTGGGTCACAGTGATCGTCCTCCGACTGCTGGTGTGCGGGTGGGCGGCTGATGTGACGCTCATTTTTGCGACTCTTTTTCTCTGTCTCGCGAAAGTTCTGGAACTCAAGGACGCCTGGGCAGGATTCTCGAACGACGTCGTGCTCAGTGTGGCCGTTCTGGGGGTCGTCGCACAAGGTGTGGAGCAAGCAGGGGCGGTAGAGAAAATTTTCCTACTTTTCCTAGGCCGTCCAAAAGGATTCCGGGAGGCATCTTTGCGCTTGTTAGTGCCCGCAATCATCCTCAATGTTGGCATCAGCAATACTGCGAATATGAGCATTCTCATGCCCATCATTGAGAAGTGGGCAGTGGATATTGGTTTCAGCAAAAATCTTTTTTTGATGCCACTCAGCTTTGCTTTGCTTATCAGTGGAACCGTCGCGATTTTCGCTACTTCATCCAACCTTTTGGCACAAGGACTCATGATCGAGCACGGACAAAAGCCTTTTGGGACATTCGAGATAGCTCCCGTGGCAATTGCCGCGACTGCTGTCACTGTCCTCGGTGTTTTAGTCCTGATGGAGCCGCTCTTTCCCTACTTTTTTCGAGAAGACGAAGATGAGCTTCTGTCAGAGCTGTCCGACGCGGCAGACCAACACGAATCTCTTGACGAACAATCGCAAGACCTAGACTTACTCGAAGATGGCAAAGACGACCCTGCTGCTTTGCAAAATCCTGCATCAAATCAAGAAAATCATGAAGAAACTGGAATTCAGAAAACAACTTCGAGCAGGCATGATGAAGTAGATGGACCAGAAGCACTTTCGGCGGACAACAAAAGAGCGTTAGAAAATCTGCTTACCATTCCAACACCAAAGACGCTTGTGTCAGAGGGGCAGCAGAGCCATTCGAAACGGCAACTAAGCGCTGACACAGCGGGAGGCGGCAGTCGCACTGGCGCGTTGTCAAAACTCAGTGCAACCGCCAAGGTGATATCATTGGCTGGTGGGAAGGGTTCCGCCGGTGGCTCTGCGGGAACACGCACGAATCGACGGGACACGAAGCGTTTTGTCATTTCCGTTCAGATGGTGTCGCCAGACTATCTAGGGAAGAGACCGCGCGAATGCGACTTTTTGCGCATCTCCAAGGGATATTCGGCGAAGAAATCAGGCAACCACGCCAAAGGCGTTTCACTTACGACCAACGCTGCTATTGGTGGTGGTGATCGGACAGTGCTTACGCCAGGTCGAGAGGTAGGCCAAGATGAAGCCCGGCCTAGCAGTGCATCGGTCGGCGGCGCACGAGACAGCGCTAGCGCACTGCCTTCTCCGGGAACGCGACCGCCGAGCTCCCCGGCGTCCGTCGCTGGAACGAATGGTCCTCTTGACACTGAAAGAAGAAAACAGCGAATCCTAAAGTCGAGCACAACACAGTTTTCTGTACCCACCTCAGTGACTGCCGAGTCAGCGGGTGTGGACGCGCAAGATGGTGACAAGTATGGGCGTGAAACTGGCGCAGATCGGACATTGCAAAATGGTCTTCCGTCAACATCTGTGAGTGAGTTCAACAGTAGGCACTCTGCACCCGCACCAGGCGAGCTACAGGTGTCTTTGGAGGATGATAAACAAGGGCCGCAACTGCAAGCAGCTACTTCAGGAGTTATGAACCATGCAACCGAGCAACAGCCCCCATTACTTGCATCGATTGCTTCCGTCAACACTCCTGGCTCAGTATCTCACGTTGGCGGAGCCAGGTCTTCTTCCCGGAAACCTAGTGCAATCAATCAGATGCTCCCGGCGACGACCAACCTAGCGGGTCTACCTGGAATATCCTCTGAAATTCTGCTAGTTGAAGTCGAGCGACTGGGTCAGCAAGTGGATTTTGAGAACGATCCTGAGTTCACATTCCAGTACTACGATATCTTGTCGTTGTATACGACAGCGCAGAAAGTGGTCAATCTGCATAAGAATCCTGGGTTGCACGTCCTTTGCCGCGATGTTGGAGATCCAGTGGTGCACCGGCTAGCCGATTGTATGGAGGTGGCCGAGATGGTGTTGGATGCGGCTTGCCCCTTGATCAATAGCGTAGTCACGACGGATCTTGCGCGGAAGCTCTACGCCGCGAAAGTTCTGGCGGTGCGGCCGATCTCACTTACCGCAGCACTGCGCGGTGCGGTGTCGGCAGCGGGCGACAGCAATCGGCGGCGAGTTCTGCGGGCTGTCCAGGAGTTCGCGAGCTCGGAACTCAAGGGCCGCAAGTATCAGCTCGGCGACACGCTCCTGGTGCTCGCGAGAGAAGGTTTCGCGGAACGACATCTGGGAAGCAGCGATTTCTTTGGCGTGCGAGCCCTGTATCAGCCCTCCGCGGAGGACGTCGACGACGGGAAAAAAAGTTCACGTTCGTCTACGGTCTTGGGCCTCGGAGACGCGTTGATGGCCACCTCAACCCCGTTCGACTCTGAGAAACCAGGACCAGCGGGCACAAACATCGCTGCTCCTGTACGCCCGAGCAAAAAGAGGAGTTTCAGGTTCATGCGAGGTAGGACACTAGATGAAAAATCACCAGAGCTTGTAGCAGGTGGACGAGGGGGAGATGCACTTGCGCACGCAGCTGAGCAAGAAAATACAGAGACGAGATCGAGTAGCAAAGGTGGAGCTGCAGGCAGAACATTAGCGCGAGCGGCATCTACGTTGTTGCCCCGTTTTCTTAGCATGGGAGGACCGGCCGGTGCTGGTGATCCGGACCCCGCTGGAGGCGTGTCGAATGCCCAGACAAGCTCTTTGTCGAGGCCCTTGCTTGACGGCGGCGAAACTTCTCAGGTGGTGGTGGATGCATCAAAAGGCGACGTGACTGGTGTTGCATCCGAGACACAGCAGCGTGAAGCAAGTGGAGACGATCAAATAGATCAAGAACCAGAAGAAGTACAGCACGTACACGAGGATTCCCTTTCTGAGCAGTGCGAGCGCCAGCAGCCAGGTGCACAAGCTACTTTTACGCAGAAATCGGTCGCACTTTTTTGTGGATTCAACGGAAAGCAGCGTTCTTCACTAGTGATTCTCTTTGCAATGGTCAGCGTGGTCTCCACTGATACGCTGCCTCTGCTTTCCGCGTGCATGGCTGCCGCTTACGCGTTGGTCCTGTTTGACTGCATGAGCAAGGACCAAGCGCTCGGGGCGGTTAAGCTGCGCACAGTTCTGAGCATTGTGGGTGCTTTTGGACTCGGCGAGGCAATCGGGCAAACGAAAGTTGCGCTCTTTATTGCACAAAACATCACATTTGCGCTTTCACCCTTCGGCGAAACAGGGCTTCTTTTCGGTATCTTCCTAGTCACTGTCCTCTTGTTATGAGCGGGATATCCAATTAGAATTAGAATTTCGATGTCGATCACCTATCATGTAAGTAAGAAAATGTTGAACTTCTTCTAAAAGCAAAGATGAGTAGGTGGACCGCACCTCAGCCCGTTCCTGATGTACTCATTTGTTGGCACGACGATCCAGTTTGACGATCTAACTCATTATGATTTTGGACCATCTAGTTTTCCTTTTCTTGTTGAAGAAATCCTCTAACTCCCGGCATCGTTTTCCATGCCACTGCGGTGGTGATCCTCATCTTTCCGGTTTGTTTGGATACTGCCCAGAGCCTCCATGTCTCTGTCCATCGAGCGGTTTGCGTCCTTATGATCGGTGCAGGATGCCAGATGCTATCACCGGTGAGTTACCAAACTAATTTGATGGCGTTTTCCGCAGGTGGCTACACCTTCTACGATTTTCCGAAGCTGGGAATGCCCCTGGTCGTGCTGATAGCCCTTGTCACTATTCCAGCAACAATGTTTTTTATCGAATGAATCTTCTTTTAGAGAGCTCTTGTTGATTTCGGGTTTTTAATCTTGATTCGACGCAGTTCTCCACCGCTGTCCGTCTTCGCGCATATCAAATTATTTGATTTTCTCTCTTTATTCGCTTCATCTTTCAAAGCATAGGCATCCAAATATTCTAAGAAGCATGCGTTTTTTCCAGGTCCAATTTTTGTGAACTTGACGATTACGCGAAAGCAAAGATGGTTCTCGATTTTGTCCCTCAACTTGACGATCACGCGAAAGCAAACCTTTATTCATTCCTTCTTCAACCGCAATGGCTATGGCAAAGTAAGAAGAAACAGCACTTGCACAGACGGCATCCTGGTGCTGAATTAAGAAAGAAGAGCGAGAGCATGACACAGACATTAAACGCATGAACAATCAAATTCTCTGAAGAATAGCTCGCGCTTGGTGATGGAGGAAGAGGTATTCGGAACGAGTCACCTGTCTGAATCTGTAACGAATTTCTGGGTCCTCTGTGATGCATATCGGTCTTGTTCATTTTCGTTTCCTAACCCAGCAAAAGCAATTATTGATTCAGACGGGACGAGAGACGTGGCGGGGTTGGTGGAACAGGGGGAATCAAATGAGAAATAGAAGAGCCACATTTTTCTTTTTGGTTTTTGTTGTAGATACATAAACGAATCCAACCGTTTTTGGTTTCATCAATTTTATTTCAATGTCAGCGAACCCAAAGAAGAAGAACGCAACAGGAAGACTCCTCTCTTTTGTTCATTTCGTTCTCGGAGTGATTGTGGTAAAATTGGGCTCAAGTTGGAGAGCGATGAAGGTCAGGTTGCACTGCTTGTACTTGTATTGTAAGTAGTAGTACATGGCGATGTCTTTCATTACACCAAGCGGTGTGTTGCACTATCACTACCTCGAGGACTAGCACTATCGGTTGTAGAATGTTGTGTCGGAAGAGGCTCCGAGAAAATGACGATAGAAGCTATATCTGTTTTTTTTTTATTTTTGGTACTTTGCGTGAGAGCCATCGTGTAGACCAGCTATGACGCCCTTATGGCAGTCTGCGCTGAACTTTGTGCGAGTAGGTTTTGATGATGCAGGTAGGTTTTGATTTATCGGAACTCGCTCGCACTACAAAAAAAAAAAGCGAGATCAATTGTATTGTATTGCATATTTTTGATGTGGAATCCTACCGATATGATCGTGATGCCATATTAATTGATCTAGATTTTCTCGCACTCCTAGGAACGTAATTTTTGAAGCTGTTAGTGTTACGTGTCTTTCTTACAACTCTCCGCATGATAATTGGGGATCGGTTGTAAAAAACGCGAACCGGCAAGCGCGATCGAGTCCTGCCAGTATTCTCATAACATCATTTATATCATAGTTGTATCTTCTTCTTCCCGTCGACTTCCGGGAACGCATTTGTCCTGCAGCCCTCCTCCATTATCTGTAGTTTGCCTCGGAAAAAAAACCCAAGAAGACTGACAAGATGCCGGGGAGTTTATACAACTGGGAGAAGTACAACACCACGTACTTTCTGAACGGCGCACTGTGCGGTGGCGTTTGCTGTTCGGTTACACACGGCGCCGTGTGCCCAGTCGATGTCGTGAAAACCAGAATTCAGCTTGACCCAGTGAAGTACAATGCCGGTCTGGTCTCCGGTATGCGCAAAGTTGTGGCAGAGGAAGGTATGGGCGCGCTCGCAACGGGTCTCGGTCCCACCGCAATGGGTTACTTTATCCAGGGATGGTTCAAATTTGGCGGCTTCGAGCTGTTCAAAGTGAAAGCTGCGAACTATCTCGGCGATGAGCAGGGTACTTCTAGAACCAGATCATGCTGATTATATATTAGTCTTGAAGATTCACTTAATTCACGATAGTACTGGAGAGACGACAACTCGATCGAATTTTGTCATTCTGACCGCCCATGATAGCCACACATAGATGAGTAACTAAGTCTAGGCACGTAAGTACGCGATTTCAAAATTGATTCAATTCCTTACAACTGCAACAGGTTGGAAGTACCGCAACCAGATTTACTTGGGCGCTTCTGCGTGCGCCGAATGCATTGCTGACGTGTTTTTGTGCCCACTGGAGGCTGCTCGTATCCGACAAGTGAGCGACCCAAAATTCGCCCAAGGAACGTTCGCAGCATTGAACAAGCTATACGCACTGGAAGGCGCCGCCGGCTGGTACAGTGGTTTCATCCCCATGCTTTTCAAGCAAGTTCCGTACACTATGACGAAATTCGCGGTTCAGGGAATAGCGGCGGAGAAAATCTACGGAATGGTACTACTTCCTTCCAATAGTACCGTAGATGTAGAACCAGGACCAAGGTCACAAAGATGAATCGACTACGTAGGTCCCCCAATGATAAAGTCACGTTTAAAAATGATTGACTTGTATTCTTGTTCCTTTACTGAGGTCTATCTCATACTTGATCATATCACTTCATCAGGTCGGCCAACCATCGGAGCTTTCGCAAGCATCTAAGACTGGAGTATCCCTCGCATCTGGTGTGATTGCGGGTGTCGCAGCTGCTATCATTAGTCATCCAGCTGATACACTCCTGTCAAAGATCAATAAGAAGGGTGCAGGAGGTGAGGGCGGGGTCGTCGTTCGCCTCGGTCGCATTGCTGCAGAAATCGGTCCCAAGAATCTGCTGACCACCGGTCTGCTCCCGAGGTATTCACTCTTTCGTTTATTGCTAATCGTACTATTCCATCATCATCTACTACATCATAATTTTGATCGAACATCTAAGTACTAACGCCACCAAATGCAGCAAATCAATACGTCGAAATCAAAAAAATAATCAACAACCCCATTAATTTGATAAATTTGATAGGTGCGTCATGATCGGAACACTCACGGCTGGGCAGTTTGGTATCTTCGATACGTTGATGCCGATGATGGGCGTCGAGAAGTTCCATTTTCACAACCCCGAGGGGCACAAGCACTAGATCTTACGCATAGCGACAACTTACTAGTTTTTGACAAGAAGGAGAAGGAACACCTTCCTTATAACGAAGTTTGATGCATAAAATTCAGCTCTTGACGGACTAAGTGAGGGCAATTGATTAGTTCAAGTATTCCTATCGCTTTCCAGGTCATTGTGATTGTCTGTGATTGTCCAAAACACACATCCTTTGGCCTGGTTACCGAAAAAACAAAAAGACAATTTGAATATTCGTAATTTAGGGCCAACAAGACATCAGTTTCTGTTTCATCAATGTTGACATTCGAAAGTCCCAATTTCATCAATAAATATTTTTATTTTTACGCGAAACTCGAGTTGTTCACAAATGACTCATTGCTACCTACTTGACGTTTTTCATCTGCATTGTCGAACCCGGTGGCCGACTGCCGGAAAATTTCCACAGGAATTGACGCAGTATGGTGCGCCTCGGTATGCACTTGCTCGCCATAGTACACAAGTTTCCATCATGGAAATACGAACATAGTGCACTTAGACATAGTTTTGAATAATTAACGCATCGCAACTTTTCTCTGCAAACAATTTATCTATCAACAGTTTACAACTCCATCGCAGTAGCTTATATGATTCATTTATTATCATGAGTAGTCACACGATCACGACATCGACTACAGAAGATACGACATGCCATTTCTCCTCGCGAGGTAAAGGAGCGAAAAAAGTTCGGGAAGCAGGAGGACCGTGAACAATTAATGAATATATACCGGCAGTTGTTTCACGTTGCATCAGGAACTCGGCTGCTGGCTGGAAGTGCAAACGCATTCAATTAACATTTTTTGATGCAATAATGAAAGATCAAGATGAATTTTCCACTTGCCGCTGAAAAAGGCCTGAAAATATAGGGAGAAGGACAAAAAGTGCCATGATGAGACGAAGGTATCGCAGTCATCCTATGATGAATATTCCTAAAGAACGTAGTCATGCTGGCTTTTGAGTTCGGCGGTGCTTGGAATTGTTGCTCGGTACTAGTAGTCTCCGTTGCAGCATACTATCGGTGAATTAAGAAATACTTGCTGAGACCTGAAGCTGAAAATGATCAGATAAATAGTTGATCTATTTCATTCTGTTGTCGGTGTAAAACGTCAGTGACAAAGCGTTCTTGCGAATATGCTGGATTTGCGATGTTTGGCCTTTCAAATCGGTAAGGTGAGACGAGACAGTGAGCTATGCCGTGAATTGAAAGATTCTGTGTTGGAGTATGCCTGGAATTCGGTGCGAGGGTACATTATGACATGGCATTAGCAGCCACGGCCACCTCCCCACCTGAAAGAACCTAGTATTTACTTGGCCTTACTTGAAATTTACTCCGTTTGAAACATCTCAATATTGTCATTATAATCGCATTGTGTATGATTGCAATATTAGTTGCTGGAAGTGTTGATGTCCTTGGAGATCAAAAGTTGCTAGTTAGTAGGACAACCATAATGAATAAGTAAGTATACTATCTAGTGGAGCCACACCTAACCTAACCTGTATACGCTTCGCACAGGAGAAGGACGCAAAAAATCAAAATGTCAAGAGGCTCCTTACTACTTGCACAACATCATGATGTCGTGCATGCTTTATTCTGTTCCTGCTTATTAAAGATTACTTTGGCAGTTGCAGATGAATGACGCGTGAAACTAGTTTTTTTATAATACGGGCACGATGAATCTCGCGGTCTTTCCAGGTGACACACTGTTCGGTCCTCAAAGGCCTACGTTGGAGAAGTTTCAGGATCTTGCTGAGGACGTCAAGGGTCTCAGCGGAAAAAGCCCAGATCAGATCATCTCCGCGCTAAAAGGCTCCGAGACTGCGAAGTATAACGCGCTCGAGAGAAATCAAACGCGATGGTTACGTGCACTTGCAGAAAAATATCCCGAACCGGGCATGGTTGGGAAGCCCGACGGAACCGAGGCAGGAGATGTCGCATTTGCGTCGGGCACAGCGGCCACGGCGAGTGGATCCGATGGCAATGCAAGCTACGGGAGCATCGGCGATCGACAGTCATATTTTCTCTATCCTGGATCCCCGCAGTACTGGACCACGGACCGCGCTGGGAAGAGCAAACTTGGAGTTGTTAGTCCGCCAGCTAGCTGGTGGATGCAAAGGGAAGGCGCTCAGAAGTTCTGGGAATGGCTACAGCCTATGGGAAGCGAGGACAAGGTACTTCTTGATTACTAAAAATTGTATTGCTTTGATTAGTCGCAGTCAATTGGAAGCTAGGACGATTTTTCAGACTTTCATCACGACACGCTTTCACTTATATTTTTTACACTTCCCTCTTCAAGTAGTCCTATCTACCTCTTCTCAATCCATTCCAGATTGGTGCTGTTCGGGGACCGAAGCTGATGCTATTGATTCCGCAAGTAGCTGCCACCGGATTTGGTAAATGGTGGCCAGATATGCCAAGCAGTGAGTTTGATCTCAACCGGCACCGAAGTTGGTATGCGAGTAAATGGGTACGTGATACTCAGCCGAGTGAGTTTCTACAGATTTCCAATTCTCCCAGTCGTGCCGCAGCTGAGGCCGTCAGGAATGGGTCGGAGGATTTCGCAAATGCAGACACGATATCGACGCTGCGTGGAAAGAAAAGGCGAATAAGAACACAAGGACGTGTACGAAGAATACTACTTCCACCTTCGAGCAGAAAGCGTTTTTTGAACACGTCGTTTGGGTATTTTTTTGCCGGACAGGATAACACAGCGCACCCGGCTGCAGGTGAGACTGAGCCGAAGTACTTGAACGCAACCGTGGACTGGATCCCTAGAGGCCAAAATGGCGCGAACTCGGAACAGAATGACCCGGAGATGCGAGAGGGGAAACGGAATGACTGGGAGTTAGATTACCAGAAGTACCGGGATCCCTGTGCCACGGGTGCTCGCAATCCTAACTCGGATGAGTGCCTCATCGAGGGTAAAGTGAAGAAGGTGCTAGGTACAGAGCAGCAGGGCGTCAGCACGGCAAGCAAGGATGTGAACGACGACCAGGTGGAGGCCAAGAAGGCAGGGCAGAAGAAGAGCCTGCTGTCGAAAGTGATGAGTGGGGCTTCGAGTGCAGCTTCAAAGGCGAAAACGCTGGTCGCGGATCCTCCGATTTCGACGAGCGACTTTTTTCGGCAAAGCTCTATGCGGCGGGCGAGACAGCTGGAGCCAACAAACCCGGTCCTGGACGGTGATGTCTACGACGCATACAAGAATAGCTTTGACCAAGTCGAGTCCACAGGTATGCCGGCTGACATGCGGGACCTCAAGAAGTTTGCGCGCGCTCAACTAAAGAACGTGAAGGATCAGATGAAAGAAGAGATGCAGAATCAAGTAAAAGAAGTGAAAGGCCAGCTGGGACTCTATAAGCCGGCGCGCGACTATAACGATTACGTCATGCCCCCCATTGAAGAGCCTGCAACAGACCCAGGTCGTATACCACGTGCAGACAATACGTTCAATTTCGGGTTTCAGATGGAAGCCAACGAACAGCTGAACAAAGAAGGTGCTCCAATGCGACGCGGGGTGACGATTGACCCCGATTTGTTCAACAAAATCAGCATCGTGCCTACGAACATACCCTCGGGACCGTCGATGTTGCCGAAAGACATCCGCCATACTGTCGCCAACTACTTCGCGCCATTTGGACATCCCCAGTACCTTGTGAACCAGATGCTATCTATGCCGCCCGCTCCACCTGGTAACACTAGGACGCCGGTGGAGACGAACACATCAGTTTCTGTCAGCCAAGATGGGACGGGTGCCGCAGCGGGAGGGAGTAATGCGTCGGCATCCTCGGTAGGAAGCACTGGAGGGGCAACAGCAGCAACAACGGCAGCAGGAGCTCCAGCGGCTGGTGAAGCTGCTTCCGCGACGTCCTCGGATGCGGCGAGCGCTGGAGCCGCAGCAGCGGCGGCCGGTGCCGGTGCCGCTGGGACAGGTGGGCTTGCCGCTACAGCAACAGCGAGTGGCGAAGGCGATGCTAGTTCTTCACCCGATGCTGCCCCGGATGCCTCCGGAACTGAAAAGGATGCAGCAGCTGCTATTTCTACGGAAGCAGCTGCGCCGGAAAATCCTGCGGAGGTTCAACGACCAAGCAAGGAAAGCGAGGACGTGCTGGATCACTGTGGTGCTCGCCCGGACGGTCCCGTTGACGCTAGTCGTGACGAGGCAGGGAAGTTAAGGCTTGGCGATTGGGAATCTTGTGCGAAGCCAATCTATGACAGGGATAGAAGGAAGGAAGTGGCTGTCGCGGAGTTATGTGGTCCGAAACCACGAGCAGCGCAGAGTGCGGAAGACGCTCAAGCACTGGAAGGCTGGACCGCTTGTTCGAAAGAGGTAATTTGTTAGAGATCTGCTGAGCTTTCAGCTTTGCTCGACTTCTTGAGATTTTCGAAGCAGTGATGTCCTAAAGAACAGCACAATGATCATGCTTCCTCTTTTTTGATTCGATTTCGAACGATCCAAGTACGTAGTCACTCAATGCAAAGAAATAAGCATCAAAATTGAATTTGAACTACCTCCACCTATATTTATTAAAAGCAACAGGCTGAAACATCCGCTGACGTCGACGAGAGAGCTTCTGCTGAACGCGCGGCATTTGCCGCTTCACGTGCAGACGAGGCTTACGGTGATCTTCCACCTCCCGACGACTCTGCTATCGCAAAGCAACGCGCACAGTTGGATACCGAAATCACTGGTGGCGTGGAGTACGACCTTCCACTTTACCGGGTTTCGGACGAGGCGAAAGCACACCTTGCGACTCAGCGAGTCTACCAGGATGCCGCGCTTCGGCGATTGCTGCCCGAAGACGAGGCAGCAAGTTTCTACGGGAGCAAGCCTCTTCCACGAGGCTTCGAGAGAGACTCAACACTTGCGCAGCGTCGGGACGCACTAGTAATGGATCCCGATTACATGCGCAACAGCCACATACGCGACGATGAGGATGAGTTGGGCCAAATCGCGAAGCACGCTTCAGACGCAACGAATGGGGAGCCAAATGCATTCGTTATCAAGAATCACCCGTCTTCTTCTCGCTCGTCTTCCTCTGCAGGGGGCGCAGTAACGATAGGCTCCGCTGGAAACGCATCAGACGAACACGATTTCGACAAGAGAGAACAGTCGTGGGTTTCCTTCTTCAACCGTTTGGGCTACAAACGTGGCTCCTCAGCCTTTCGACACGCTTGGTCACCATGGGCAGCCGAAAATCCTGAACTTGCGCAAAAAATCAAACACAGGGTCCACTGGCCAAACGACAGCAGTTTTGACGAAGCTACGGCTTCTGGTCGCGGCGCCGACATGTTGAACCTGTATCGCGCGAAAATGGAAAGCGCCCTTGGAGTCGCAAGACGGAGTGGAGAAACATGGAGAAGCAGAATGCGTGAAATACTTTAAAGAACACGGTGGAGTAGGGAAAACTACAACGACTTGCAAATAAATCATATATAATGGCATGATGATTTGATGAATACTTTGAAGATGAATACTCCTATTTTTTTGTCCTCTTATTCTGTGATACTCCAGTTGCGGCTTTTGGGACATCCGAGGACAGAGACGCTGCGTCGTGTGTTCAATGGTCCAAGACCACATGCACGGCGTTTCCGGAGAGCGTGCTCTTCTAGTTCACCTTCAAGCTCGACCTGAGTCAATAGATTAAGTAGAACTTTGCTAGATACAGACACCATATGACGAAAATTTCGATTTAGAAGCTGAAGTAGAAGAATGAAAAAATTGATATCGTGTTGGACTTGATATGTTGACCCTACGAGGAGGAGCGAAAGAAAAAATAAAGAATGCGGTAGCGCTATTCGTAGACGCGGAAGCGAATCGATGTCGAAAAAGTCTCTTGTATGATGACTTTCTAAGGCAAATCGAAATATACTCAACAAGAAGGGTACGGTCATAGTTCTTTAGAAGATTGCGATTGGCGACACCAGAAAGATGACAGTTGCAATAGACACGACTGGCGCAGCATCGATAGTGATAGTCGATAGATCTGCGATGCGCGCGATTCTGAAGCGAAAAATGGAATCAGTAGACGTGAGACGCAAAGTGAATGAGAGTACGATAAAGCCGCTGCGACGCGACTTGAAGTCATTGCTGAATTTCTGTTTGACAGCTCATTCGAGCAATGATGCGGAGTTTTCGGTGATGGAAGTCGGACAACACCAGGATGCTGCATGTGCCCCAGAGAGTTTCTCGGTGGAAGAAAAGGAAGTAGCGACTTTGCAGTCACGCCTGGAGCGTCTGCGTGCGGAGCCGAAGTGTGAGGACGCTACTACGACTGCCATTGCGGGCAAAGCAGCTGGTGCTGGATCCTCCGCATCTCCATCTGCGAAGCAGCCGCTGAACAGAGTGGGAAGTTGCAACACACTTCTTCATGTCACGGTTCCGGCCTTGGAAAATTGTGCTGACGATGCCGTGTCTACGGTCTCTGGAGGAACGACCCGGACTACTGTGGTGACGAGCAAGACTACAGCGGGGATACAAGTTGCGCATCACTCATCGGACTATGATGGAAGCAATCCAGGAAGGGTAGAGCAATATCATCGTTCGGGTGCGGGTTACCATGTCTTTGACCTGGGCGCAGTTTCGAAGGTATTATAGTCGGAGTAACGTGATAAAAAATAAAAAAAAAGTCGATAAGTGATTTTCCTTATTCAGTTTCTTACTGATGCGATGAGGCTGCGCGCAGCCGATACGGAGCAGATGTTTTCGGGAGGTCTTTTCTTTGCGAAACTGACGACGTCGCGAAGTCTCGTCGTGGAATTCCCGACCCAGAAGTGGTCAGATACTGCAAGTTGTTACTTTGATGCAAGTAAGCCTAGTAGGTGGTCGCGTAGGAGGTGACGAAGTAGCTGCATGCTGAGGCTTCGCACGTATGGGCTTGCATTTGTTTTTTTTTCGATCGTGGCTCGTTTTGCTTATCTGGTTGTTAGCTTAGTTGTCATGTCCTCGCTCTTGGTAACTACTCCGCACCCAGTGGCCAGCTTCTATATTTATTATCTTCAGCGTCATGGCGTCAATATAGACAGCGCACAGCGCTCCAAGGTTTATTTTAACTCGAGTCGGTGACGATCTTGGTCGCGGCTACTACTATTACTACTACTACTACTACTGCTACGGCTACTTCACGGCCCGCGCGCTGCTAATCATGTTCTGCTGTTCGGATAATACGGGCTCGGCGTTTCTTGGACGAAGTGGCGGCCGCGACTCGTCTATGAGGTCGCGAAGACAGCAACTGGATAGCACGCACCAGCATGGCCACGGCCACGACTATGCTGAAACAGCTTTTGGCTCCGCCAAGACCTCGCCAAGCAAGGCGCGCGAGGATCGTGAAGCCCTAAAAAAACCCTAGGCCCTGAGCGCCCTAAAGTCTGCAGCCATATCCTCGGTCGTGAGTTAATCACCTTCGTCGACTTCTTGACTTAGAACGTCAAGGCCGCGACTACAGCCGATTCCTGTGCTCTGCAACTCTTTGAAAGTGGCTCGGTATACTCCTCGCCGTGCAAGCTAGTGAAGCTCAAAGTTGTGCAGTGCGACAAACATGAGGAGAGCTACTTCCTCCGCTTCGTAGCAAGCTAGTAAGAAAATGCCAAAGAGACAAACTCGACCATAGGCAAAAAAGAGCGCGGCACGAAAATGGTCACCGTGGGCGAAATGGAGGCCACTCGGTGCGCATTCTATGGGAAGGCCTTCCGCGTGATCTTCTGCAGTGGTCTTGCTTCTGCCCGCTGTTCTTGTTCGTCTTGTTGTAGCCGAGCAAGTAGCTGTAGAAGCCGTCAGTGATGATCTTCAACCATGGCCATTGTCTGCAAGTTCGATCCTGTTCGGAAGTCAATTTTTATAATGGTGCCGCGTTGGTTGTAGTTCTCCGCTGTGTCAGATGATGGCGCTGCGGATTTTTTTCAAATTATACAGCCAACTACACTACTGCAGGACATGAATGCACTGCAATATGACTCAGCACCTTGTCGCCCATGTGAAGTGATCGCTATAGTATAGTGACCACGTCAGCACTTTTCTGCGCGAGCTCCTGTTTTGATCATTCGCGGCCACCATCTAGCTGCTGCTGTAGTTTGATTCTTCTACTTCTAGAGCCACCGCGTGCCTTTTCTTCTATCAGTATCAAATAAAGCAACAAAATGGGCCAGGGATCGTGGTCGTCGAATCATGCAACGACCCAAATGACTCCGGCTGACGCGGGCGACAGTACTGAAATGGGGCCAGTCTTCTTGACTTCGTGCTCTACTTATGGAGCTACAACCTGGCTGCTTTTCCAAGTAGCAGCTGCGTTTCGTGATTTTGTACAACAGTCGGGACTTTTTGCAGGTTGTTGCGGTAGGGCGTCAGCAGCTGCGCCGCAGTTTTTACTCTTGCTAGACTTATACACAGTCTCACAATGGTGTGAGTCAAGGAGCGCGCCCGAGCAGCTTACCGAGGGAAGACCATAGCGCGCCAGACAGCTGCGGCAACTCGGCGCGTTGTATCTTCAGGCGGCCCAGTCGCTCCTGAACCTGATGCCCCTGCGTCTTCGGAGCAACTGAACGACTCTAGCATGGAAGTAGAAGGCGCTGGCCATCGGGTGGCGGAATTACAGAAGACTTCGTCTGGCGTCGTGGAACAAGGTGCAGATAGTGGCAGTAGTAGCTACTACTCTGATCGGTCCGGTCGTGAGTCATCCGCCCCCGACTGGGTTGGCCAAGGGCAGCGTTTTCGACACGGCTGGCAGTGACCGCGACGCTTTCCATTCATGCGCTGGATCGCTAGAGGCGCCCCACCCAGCCCAGGGCTGACTCCTCCTGACGCGCAGGGATATAAGAATCGAGTAGCTCTGCTTGAGGAAGAACTGCCGGCCGACCACTTGGAGAAAATAAGTCTGCAGCTTCTACAGGAGCAAGCTCTTCAGCGCGAAGATTCAGAGGATGGACCATAAAAGTGACCACTTGCGTTGCTATGGTAGGTCAGGAGTAGGCGATGGCGATCGTTGTGACCTAGTGGAGCAAGCCGCTTCACGCGAGCAGATGACGAAAAAGGGAAGCGCAAGCGCTAGCACTAGCAAAACAGCTAGCAAATTGATGACAGCGAAGCGGAGAGTAGTGGCGCAAGTGTCAACGCCGACACCTCCGAAGTATCAGCTGACGAAAAGAAGAACGCTGGCTGCTCCTGCTCTTGCTTCTTTGATGAAAATGAAGACGAAAAAGCCACAGCACGGGAAGAAAAGCCTAGCGAATCTGCAGCCGCGGCCGCGATATGCTTTTGCGGACTTTTTCTGCGATCAAGCAGCGACCAGAAGCACAGCAGCAGGGGCCAGACGTGACGAAGACGCCAGTAAATGTAGAGCTGTCGCAATCGCATGACAGGCAGCAGCTTGATGCCGTGGCGGATGGGGTTGTGGATGATCATGATACTCCTGGCGGGAACTTGGCTCCCCGAAAAAGCTGCTTCGCGTCAGCTTGTAGTAAGTAGTGGCAACGCTAACAAAGGCGACCATCTCACTGACCAGGAGACGGGCACGAAGATGGTGGCGATCTTTGAAGAATCTCCATTGAAGCCGCAAAGGCTACCAATGTTGGGAAGCTGGACCGCGCCAGGCTTGGACGAGCTAGATCCGGATCGTGAATTGCTCAAGGACAGGGGTGGCCTTCCAATGAAGGCACTACCTAGCTTAAGCGTAGCGGTGTGGCGTTTCTTCTTGTTCGCGTGATTGTTCTGGGATACTCGTCTGGGTGCGGCGATCATCAGACTCGGGGATGGGGCTCTTGGTCTCCTCTCGACACGAGGCGAGAGCGAGGGCCGGGGGCTCGTCGGCTGCGAAGGCTCCCGGACGATAACTACGCGCGACCCATCACGCCCGCCCACCGACACTCGCCCTGAGTCGGGGCGCCGTGGCCTGCTCGCGGGTAGTCGGTCTGCGCCGCGATGGCGATCGCTCTGCATAGAGCTGCGCCACACACCCGCCGAGATAAATGATGACTATCCCGTGGCGTCATACTGATGCGAAACAGATTCAAACGCATACAAAGAGCAAGCCCGAGCGAAAAACACAAACGAAAGACCACACGACAAGAAAAACCACAGAGAAAACCACACGACCCACAAGCCCACACACACAGAACCCACTTGCGAGCGAGCTTCAGCGCTGTCCGTCAGCTGCTGACCTTGGTTGCTGCCGGCCAGCTACAGCCTGCGGCGGGGCGTTTCCCAAATATCGACCACCGGGCGTGACACTTGTGCACCTGCGCCGCCGTAACTAACCACTTCGCCCCAGCTGGCGCCTCCTAACTGCAGAAGACGACGGCAGCAGTGGTTCTGCGAGTGCTTCTGCTGCTTCGCGGCATACTTTGGCCAGGCGGGGCCTCGTCGTTGCGCGGCTTCTTTCTCGAAGTCGAAGCAGGAGCGCTCGGGCCATCTGAGCCGCACCCTCCTGGCAATCCCACCCTTGGCCGCGTTTCGCCATATTAGGTGGCTCATTCGTGGACTATTCTGCGCGGGCATGTGTCGCAGGTACACTCACGCGGACCCTCGTATCAGATGACCCCGCACAGCGCCAGCTTTGCTCCCACCTTCATGGAGGCGACCCCCCGAACCGCGTCGGCCAGTTTGGACTCGGCTGCGCCATGCAAGCCAAGCCACCAGCGGGCGCGTCGCATAATGGGGACCACACTCATGCCAGTTCTACCTCCTCCAGTTAGATGCGTGCTGCCTTCGTGTACTTAGCTGCGACTACTAGTCTGTATATTAATAGGCTAGCGGAGGCGCTAGGTAGAGCAATTGCAGCTACTTCTGCCGCTTAGTATTCTAGGCAGTGCGCTTCTCTTCTGTAGTTATGAAAGGTTTCGCTAGGGGATGAACTGCGAGAAGGAGGCAGAAGGAGTCTTAGGTGATGAAGTAACTACAACTCGCCCTCGTTTGTGTAGGTGTGTTATGTTAAATAAGCGAGGCGATGGCAATCGCCGAAGTGCGTTATAAGCAAGAGCCTCAGTTGGGGGCCATTTTATTCGCTACAACAGGACAGCAGCAGCGTCGTCGCATGATGAGCAAGGCCACGACAGAGTGACCACCGTCATCGTCTTCGTCTTCATCTGGTAGATTTGGTTCTAGTGCTGCCGCTGCCTTAATTGGAAACGGGTCGTCGTCGTGGTTATCTGCTTACCCGGCCGGGCTATCGCAAGGTGATTCGTGTGGGATCACTGGACGAAGCTACGCCGATGCGCTTGCAAGTGATGACACTAGGGCGAAGATGACGAAGGTGGAGATGTAGACGTAGACGATGGAAATGAAGTAGGACCAGGCGACGAAGGTGAATGCTCCGCGTTCGAATCCGGCAACAAGATCGAGGAGGCTGGTTCTCATAGTCTTGCGAAGGCAGCCATGGAGATCGATCACGACGAAGAGGGGCAAGCGTCTGCTATGGGGGCGCTGGCTGGTGGCTTCTTTCCAGAAGGGGGCGGGCTTTCTTCTGTATCATGATTATAGTTGATGCTTCTTGACGATGTTGGTGCTTGGTTGGTCACGGGCAGAAGTGGCACACTATACAAGTGGAGCCACTCACTACAGCTACAGCCCCTCTCTTATGGATGCCGATGCGCAGTCGGGGTCTGTAGTGGTAAGTCCAGCCTGTCATCCTTTAGCTGAAGCCTTAGCGACTTTCTTGCAAGACGAGGAGATCATGGCAATTTTTTGCACTGTCGAAAGCAAGTCTGGCACGCGCTACGACGCACGAAGCAAGGGCGTCAGCGTGTACATGGATGAAGACAAAGGGAGCAAGGCAACCACCCAAACGCGCTAGCAATGTGCTCTGAGTCATGGCGCTGCGGATTTACGCAGGTCGTGCAGAGTTTTCGGTGTATGCTTATGACCAGGCGAAAGATGGGGCCACCTTTGCTGCAGCTTGGAAGGCGGCTCGCCGTGACATCCTCGCCATTGCTGAGGGGGTGTGCGTGACAAACCCACAAAAGGCGGACTTGAAGAAAGTGACACCACTCACCTACAAGGAGTAGCAAATGGTGGAGAGCTACTGGAGAAGATTCGGCACGACTTGGGCTCATTTGCGGCGGTACTAAACGGCGACAGCTCTGCGCCTTTCTATTCGTGTCTGTGCTTGGATAGATTCGGCGTCTTGCTTCTGGTTTTGCCTAAAATGTGCGCTAGGGTACTTCCCAGGAAATTTCTCCTTTTCGGCTCTCGGATTTCTCTCAGATTTCTCTTTGATTTCTCAGGCTTTTCGTTTCTCCTTCAGAGTTCATAAAAGTGAAAAAAAAGAGAAACTTTAGAGAAATTTTAGGGAAGATCTCGAGAAATTTTAGGGAAGGCCTAGAGAAATTTTAGAGAAGTTAGCTCCAGAGCTGTGGGAGAAGTCAGAGCGCCTATCCGTCCTCGTGGTGAGTCTTGGCCGTCAGCTATTACGGCACCGCTTACAAGGGTTGAGATCGGCATGCGTCTACTAATTTTCGCTACAGCGTGCTTGCTTTTGCGGACTCTCATAAACATCGAACGCACATGCTCAGGCTTTCGCCTTATTTGCTATCATTCTCCATAAGTGTCCACATTGCTTCGCTACTTGTTCAGGGCGTTTGGTTCTCGTGGTTATTATAGAAGTGCTTCAACGGCGTTCGAAGACAGGCGGGCCGTCGTGGTCGCTAATGCTGGCCGTACAGAGGGGAGCTGCTTGCGAAGTTCATCGAGAAGGCGTGACCCATGTCATTGGGTGCGGCCGTCGTCTTACGATATAACGAAGGCTGAAGAATGTGCCAAGCAGATGGCTCCAGCAAATGACCACGGGAAGCAGGTCGCGGAGTGATGTGCCCCCGCCGTAACTGGAGTGGCGCCTCTCCAATTATCACGCTAAGCCCTTGGCGCCGTGTCTGATGTAGTGAGGATCTTCAGGTCTAGAACTAGGCGCGGCGCGGATGGTCCTCCAGGAAGGAGCGCAAGCACATAAACAAACAGAAACCAAGTAGGCTGCGCTTTCGGCTGCGCTTTCGATCGTGTGGCGACAGCCTACCGGCAACTTCTTGCGTTGGGCTTCAGTTTTTTTTCGCTGGGCAATATCAAAGAAGATATGGGCGAGGGCGAGCACGGAGCGCACCGCGCTAAGACGAGAAAGGCCGTCGCGCTTCCAGTCGGCTCGAGGATGTGCTGTGGATGGTCGAGCCAGAAGAACAGCCAACGAGTGAAAAGCGACAAGACACACGCCACGGCCTTGGCCCGTCATTTTCTTGCTGTCAGTCTGTGCAGCTCGCTCCGGATCTGTCTTGGAGCGTGTTCGCGTTTTTTTATGTGGAGAGCAAACCCCGGAGAGAGACACGGCAAAGAACTGCCCCCACCCTCGAGAGAAGCAGCGCTGCAAAGTGCTCGAGAGAGACAGGAAGGACCACGGCGGTCGCCTATTTCTGTGCGAGTGCATTTCTGTACTCAGCGAGAGAGACGCCGCTTCGGCTGGTAAGTTTCTGGCGCCTGCATTGATTTGCTCTCGAGATGCCCACTCGTCTCGCTTCATGTGATTGAGCAGCTGACAAATGGAATGACTGGAGGGGCGCGGCTCCAGTAACGCGCTGAGGCGGTCGGCCGCTGTGTTCTTGACTACTGCAAGAGAGCCCAGCCGGCGAGGCCTCAGGGAGTGGCCTGGTGATCGGATGGGCAAAAAGTGTGAAAAGCCAAAACGAGAGCGGCGGAGCGTTGTCGAGTTGTGTGAGTGTGTGCGCGTGCTACAGGGTAGGGGGGTGGCAACGAGTGGGCCTCGGTGGTTGTCGTTCTTGTGGCCTTTCGGTGTTTGCTTGGGGTGTTTCTGTCGGATGTTGCCGCCCGTTTGATGGTGTTGCCGGTCGCTGGTTTGCTGCTGCTGTTGGTGTTGGTGTGCGTGATTGTGGACGCCTGTGACCGGTGTGCAGAAAACTGGCGAAATCAGCTAGAAAGTGCGAAAAGCCAAAGAAATCGGCCGAGTTTTGTCAGGTTGTTGCTGTTTGTGTGTGTGTGTGTGTGTCTACATGGCAGGGCGCTCCTGGTGGTGTGTGGTCTTCGGTTGTCGTTCTTCTGGTCTTCGTTGTGTGTGGGGTCGTGTTCTTGTCGGGTGTGGCCGCTCGTTCGACGGCGCTGCCGCTGGTTTGTTGTTGTTCGTTGGTCTTGGTGTGTGTGGTTGCTGGGTTTTGTCTCTGATCAGCCGGCAGAAGCAGCGGCAAAGGGCGCACGGAATGCGCGTGAAATCGGCCAAGAAGCGTGAAAGGCCAAAAACGCCGGCGGAGTTTCGTCGAGTTGTGTGGATGTGTGCGCGTACAGGGGGGGCGCTGGTGGTGTGTGGCCTTTCTTGTTCGTCGTTCTTGTGCTCTTCCAGTGTTGTGGGGTGTCTGTCGGGTGTGGCCGCTCGCTCGATGGTGTTGCTGTTGGTTTGCTGTTGTTGGGGTGTGTGGTTGTGGATGTTGTTCATGATCGGCGCCCAGGGAACCGGCGAAATCGGCGAAGAAATGCAAGCCAGTCGAGTTGTGTGGGCGTATATGCGTGCAGGGCAAGGCGTTGGTGGTGTGTAGTCTTTGGCTGTCGTTCTTGTGGTCTTCTAGTGTGTGCGGGGTGCTTCTGTCGGTTGTGGCCGCTCGTTCGATGGTGTTGCTGATGGCTTGCGGCTGTGGGTGTGTGTGTGTGTTTGTGAGTGTGTGTGATCTGTGTCGAGAGGACCGGCGAAACCCGCCAAAAAGTGGGAAAAGTCGACAGAATCAGCTGAGTTTGGTCGACTTGTGTGAACGTGCGCGCGCGCAGGGTAGGGCAATGGCGACGCGTGGCCTGCCTTTGGTTGTCGTTCTTGTGGTCTTCCAGTGGGTGTGCGTGGGGTGTTTCTATCGGATGCTGCCGCCTGTTCGATGGTGTTGCTGCTTGTTTGTTGTTGCTTGGTGTTGGTGTTTTTTTGGATCTTTCTGGTGTGTTTGTAGAAAACTGGCGAAATCAGCCAAAAAGCGGAAAAAGTCAAAGGAATCAGCTGAGTTTGGTCAGGTAGTTGCTGCTGTTCGTACATGGCAGGGCGCTCGTGGTGGTGTGTGGCCTTTGGTTGTCGTCTTTGTGGCCTTCGTTGTGCGTGGGGCTGTTTCTGTCGGGTGTGGCCGCTCGTTCGATGCTGTTGCTGCTGGTTTGTGGTTGATGTTGGTGCGTGTGGTTGTGGGTGTTTGTGATCTGTGTCCAGAAAGGGGACGGAATCGGCTGAAAAGTGCGAAAAGCCAAAGGAATCAGCTGAGTTTTGTCAAATTGTGTGGATTTGTGTGCGTGCAGGGTATGGCGATAGCGACGCATGGCCTGTGGTTGTCGTTCTTGTGGTCTTCTGGTGTGTGTGGGGTGTTTCGGTCGGGTGTGGCCGCTCAGTCGATGGCGTTGCCGCTGGTTTGCTGTTGTCTGTTGGTGTGTGGTTGCTTGTGGGTGTTTGTGGTCTGTGCTCAAAAAGCTGGCAGAATCGGCTAAAAAGTGCGAAAAGTCCAAAGAATTGGTGAGGTTTTGCCAAGTTGTTCGGGTGTGTGTGTAAGTTGTTCGGGTGTGTGTGTAAGTTGGTCAGTTGTGTGTGTAAGTTGGTCGGGTGTGTGTGTAAGTTGTTCGGGTGTGTGTGCAGGGCAGGGCAGGGCGCTTGTCATGTGTGGCTTTTGGCTGGCGTTCTTGTGGTCTTCGTTGTGTGTGGGGTGTCTCTGCTGGGCGTGGCCGCTCGTTCGATGGTGTTGCCGCTGGTTTGTTGTTGGTGTGTGTGGTTGAGAATGTTCGCGACCTGCTTCCAGAGAACCGACCAAATCGGCCAAAAAGGGCGAAAAGTGAAAGAAATCGGCCGGATTTCCTTGGGCTGTGTGAATGTGTGCGCGTACAGAGTTGGCGCGGTGGTCACGTGTGGCTTTTGTTTGTCGTTTGTGTGGTCTTCCAGTGTGTGCGTGGGGTGTTTCTGTCGGGTGGGGCGGCCCGCTCGGTGGTGTTGCTGGGCAGCGGTTGGCTTGCAGTTGTTGGCGTTTGCAGTTGTGGACGTTTGTGACTTGCATCCAGAAAACTGGCCAAATGAGCCAAAAAGTGCGAAAAGTCAAAGAAATCGGCTGAGTTTTGTTGAGTAGTTGTGGCGTGGGTGTGTATGCGTACAGGGTAGGGCGGTGGCGACGCGTGGCGTTGGTTGTCGTTCTTGTGGTCTTTCAGTGTGTGCGGGGTCGTGTCTCTGTCGGGTGTGGCCGCTCGGTCGATGGTGTTGCTGCTGGTTTGTTGTAGTTGTGGGCGTTTGTGATCTGTGTCCAGAAAGCGGGCGAAATCGGCTGAAAAGTGTGAAAAGTCAACGAAATCAGCTGAGTTCTGTCAAATTGTGCGGACCTGTGAGCGTGTGCGTGTGCAGGGTATGGCGATAGCGGCGCGTGGCTTGTGGTTGTCGTTCTTGTGGTCTTCTGGTGTGTGTGGGGTGTTTCGGTCGGATGTGGCCGCTCGGTCGATGGTGTTGCTGCTGGTTTGCTGTTGTTCGTTGGTGTGTGGTTGTGGGTGTTTGTGGTCTGTGTTTAAAAAACTGGCGAAATCGGCTAAAAAGCGCGAAAAGCTCAAAGAATTGGCGGGGTTTTGTCAAGTTGTTCGGTTGTGTGTGTAAGTTGTTCGGGTGTGTGTGTGTGTAGGTTGTTCGGGGGTTTGTCTAAGTTCGTTGTTCGGGTGTGTGTGTGCGTGCATGGCAGGGCAGGGCGCTTGCCGTGTGTGGCTTTTGGCTGTCGTTCTTGTGGTCTTCGTTGTGTGTGGGGTGTCTCTATCGGGCGTGGCCGCTCGTTCGATGGTGTTGCTGCTGGTTTGCTGTTCGTGTGAGTGGTTGAGAATGTTCGTGATCTGCTTCCAGAGAACTGACGAAATCGGCCAAAAAGTGCAGAAAGTGAAAGAAGTCCGCTGAGCTTCCTTGAATTGGGTGAATTTGTGCGCGTACAGGGTCGGCGTGGTAGTCGCGCGAGGTTTTTGTTTGTTGTTCTTGTGGTCTTCCAGTGTGTGCGTGGGGTGGCACTGTCGGGTGGGGAGGCCCGTTTGATGGTGTTGCTGTGCAGGGGTTGGCTTGCAGTTGTTGGCGTGTGTGGTTGTGGATGTTTGTGACTTGCGTCCAGAGAACTGGCCAAATCAGCCAAAAAGTGCGAAAAGTCAAAGAAATCGGCCGAGTTTTGTCGAGTTGTGGCGTGGGTGTGTATGTGTAAAGGGTAGGGCGGTGGCGACGCGTGGCGTTGGTTGTCGTTCTTGTGGTCTTCCGGTGTGTTTGGGGTCGTGTCTCTGTTGGGTGTGGCCGCTCGCTCGATGGTGTTGCGGCTGGTTTGTTGTTGTTGGTGTGTGGTTGTGGGTGTTTGTGTTTGTGACCAGTACCCAGAAAACTGGCCAAATCGGCCGAAAAGTGTGAAAAGTTTAGGGAATTGGCTGAGGCTTGTCAAGTTGGTCGGGTGTGTGTTTACATGGCACGGCGTTGGTGATGTCCAAGCGCTGACAGACAGGGGTGGCGTTGCTTCGCTGGCTGCGTTTATTGCCTGTGGTTGGTGTGTCTGGCAGGTTGTGTGTCTGGCGTTGTTTTTCGTTTTGTCGTCTTTCAGCTTGATTTGGTGGCGGTTTGTGTTTTGGGCGGGTGTGCGGTGGGTGGCTTCTTTGCCCATGCGCCAGCGTGGGCGGCCAGGCGCATCTGCTGTTGTTGTGCGGGTGACACGGTGGGCGCGCCTTCGTGGTTCAGGTGGGCCGATTTCTTTTGTGAAGGCTGTTTTCAGGGTTGTCTGGCTTATTTCTCCAAGCTTTGCGAGCGCTCTCTGCGCTGTTGGAGCCTTTCAAAAATTTCAGGAATGCGAAATCACTTATCGACTTTTTTTAGTGGTATTTGTCACCTTGCTCCACAGTCAAAGGTAGAGAAAGGTTATCGATCGAGCGCGCAAAATTCGTCCCCTGCGGTCTTTTCGCCAAGCACGAATTGCAATTCGGCGTCGATTCCTGCCTCAGCCTCATCGTCCATACCTGGTCTAAGCACCAGTGCAAGTCGATCTGAGGGCTCCAGTTGCTCTAGTACAGTCCTGCTAGCTGGTACCACACCAACGGTATTTCTGCCGCATCAACCAACGCAGCACCAATTACGCGGAAGTTCGTTCGTCGCGCCAAGTATGGGCCCACCACCAGCTCTGCCGCTCCGTCTACAGTTGCCTCAAGGAAGCGGTCCAAAGATGCTCTCCCCCTTGCACTGGCGACCACTTGGAACCACGTTGCAAACGGGAACGCGGATGCCACAGCACAGTGGAAGCAACACTATCAACACTTGCAATATTCTAGGCGGCCCTCCATATTTTTCGACTACGGGGTCGAATGTTGCAACGCCAACTTCTTCTTTGTCCGTTCTCACCGCCTCGCCGAACCGTCATATCACACGATCTTTACCCTTTGCGCAGCTGCGAAAACCTGCAGCACAACTGAATCTGCCACCACCCGGTCTGAGAGGTGGCAATTGATGAGTGCATTTTTTTCGACTGAATTCGCAACAACTGAACTTTGGTGTTGATGCTCGCTGTTGATGGGACAGACTGACAAGAAGATTCTTTATTCCTTGTCTTTGGACAACTACAGTCTCACTCTCGCGATAAATTTTTCTTCGTGCGCTTCTTCATCCTTGTTATGAGTGTCGTGGCAGGAAAAAGAAGCAAAAGTTACCAGCACATGCTCTGACAGGCATGACCGGCTCACTTCATTTGATTTATATTGTTTAACCAAGAATCGCACTATGGCTGCATGCCATCGAAGAGGATACGCAGCATATGCAGAAGATTCAGATCAGTTGTTCATTGGTTTTTTTGGCACTCGCTCTTGATTACTTACCTGGAATATTTAGATTTTGCATTTTCCTCGGTATACCTTATCACTTTTTTCATCAACCAAGCTTCTACCCGCAGAAAAACTCCGGGTGATATCTGTCTTTACGATCAACAGATGATAGAATCGCAGTCCTAGAAGTGCCTGTTCAATAATCTGGTAGGTTCTACGATCGCCGAAGAAGATGGTTTTGGGATGATCTCAATTGGTCTACGCAATTACATGCTTTGCACTGCTCGATCTTGGATCTAGCACAGGCGGCAGAAAATGTAGCTCTGTCGATCCCCGTCCTCGCTCGAGCAATTCTCGTCAATTCCTTGATACTGCAACGAGTATGGCCAGCGATCAAGACTATCTTGCGCCGTTTTTTCTCCTCCGTGATCCTTTTGACGCTGATGAATGCGAATCTCATTCGCGAGTAAACAATAGTTTTCAATTTTCTCTGGCATCCTTTTCGCTTTCTTCTTTCACTCCCGCGTGAATCTTCAAATGCCCACAATCGAAATACCGTTAAGTATCCAAAAAGAAACTATGATAACAATAACTGATGACCATCATGTTTCTGTATGATGATTTGGTAAGAGCATAGTAATCCAAATCTTTCATATTCTCATGGAGGAAGGCCAGAAACAGGAAGCCCCGCAAGTGGTGTATTTTTCCAGGTGGGGCTGTGTCGGTGGAAGGATTCACTCGTGTTGTCTGCATAGATAAGTAATATCTTCCCCTATTTGCGCTGGAGCATGAGTATCATTTCCCCGACTTTCATTGGGCAATGAGTTCCTTAATTAATCTGCTTAAAATAGTTCTTTCCATCATTGACTAGTCAAAAGACAGGCGGCAGTTTGGTCTGATGCAACAGTTTACGAGACCAGATTCTCGTCGTGGGTGTGCAGAGGAAGCGTTTTCTCTTTTTGCAGCAAGGGTGGCATCCCATTTGTGTGAGAAGAATTCGTAGAAAGTGCTGCAAGAAAACGAAAAGTAACGAATACAGCTGCAGCATCTGCACCACGCAGAGGCCTGATCATCGTCTTCAAAGGACCAAAGGACAGCGTCGAAAAAATGACGAACTACGAAGAGGAGCAGGCGTTGGAGCTTGAAGCTCTCCAATCTATATTTGTACACGAAGGCGAGCTTGAGCTTATCGACGAGAAGCAATTTTGCTTACATGTTCTTCCGCATCCGGATGAAGAAGGGGAAAATCATGTGGAGTGCACAATACATGTCAGGTATAATCGGAATTGAGTAGGTTTTATTTTCCGTATTGGACGGTCATGGTCATGTTGCATAAGCATACTTGATGAGCTTGTGTTGCACTGGGTTTTGGGCGAGATAGATCACGAAGCAGCTTTTTCTTGACGACCTGCGTGCTACAACAACGTCGATCTTAGAATTACTAGTCCAGTAGCTATCTGCTCGTATGGTCATTTTTGCGACCAAATATAAATCAGGTATCCCGATACCTATCCGGATGTCTCAGCTGACGTGAAAATAAAAGAGAGTAAGGGTCTTTCACAAGAGAAACTGCAGGCTCTGAAATTTCTCATAGCGACAAGCATGGAAGATAATGCCTGCATGCCTATGATATATCCTGTTGCCGAAGAAATACAAAACTACCTGCGAAATAACAATGTGAAGGAGCTCACAATGCACGAAGAGATGCTGCTTAGAGAAAAAGCAAAGAACGGGGACGCGGACGGCGACGAAAACGGCGACGATGCAGGTTCGACCACTGATAATATGACGCAAGTTCTGGATTTAAAGCTTTTGGTGCAGATAATTGCTTAGTTCTCCACTTCTCTTCATCCTCTGGATTTAATCTACTGAGTTTTCTTTTCATCTCGTTGGACACCGACACTGACTATTCGTTTTGATTCTCTCTTGTTTAACAGATTCCGACGACGAGGGCGCCGCGCCGCAGGAAGAAGAATGGCGAGGCTTGGACATAAAGGAGCTGGTGCCAGAGTCCGAGAGGATTACGCCGCAATCTTTTGCAGCATGGCGAGAGAATTTCCTTAAAGAAACGGCGCATTTGAGTTCTGGACCTAAGCTCCTTTCCGCAGTAACCGGAAAGATGTACTTCCAGAAGCTGGACCAAGCAGAAATAGCAGCGGATGAGGAAAAAGAAGACGCGAACTTCGTCGACGATGTTCTTGAAGTAGAACTGGACGACGATCCAGAAGACCTCTCACCGCGCAACGGAAGCTGACGCGAGGACATGGACTCGGAGTAGTCTACTGAAGATTGAAATCTTGTACTCACATCAAATGTAATGATTCCCACCGACCTACAACTTCGATATCAAACGAGATGTATTAAACGCGCCCATTCGCAAGCCCCTGGCGTCTGACATGCACTCTCCTGAACCTAAGTTTTTTTAATTGCCAAATTTGCTTTCGGACAAAGGCCTTCTGAGGGCAAAGAACTTGAGCGCACGCGTGCGTTGCGCGAGAATGCGCGTCGTGGCGCTGTGATGGTTTCGTGGGAAGTTGCTTGATTATCCGTGATGGTTTTGGCGAGTTGTAGAAGCCCTAAGCGATGTACCTCCAAATTTGAGGTCAGCTTTCCTTTCTCACTCTGTTGAGGTGTGAAATCGGCATCGTTAAAGAAAGTGTAGGAAAAAATAGGAAAAAGTGATTTGTTTCGAGATGAACTATGAAAATAGAAGAAGGACGATTTGAAAATGGCAGCACCTTTTGCTTTTGCCGGAAAAAAACTGTTCAAAGCGAGAAATTAAACTGAGAAACACGCGTCTATCGTAGATTTGTCCAACATGCTAGTCATACGAGTCTGCAGGAGTGCAAACGAGGCTATATGAGAAAGGAGGTTTTGGATTTGGTCGGGATGTAGCTATCTTAATCTTCACGATTAGGATTAAGTATTGTTCTTTGTAGTTGTTAGAGCTTAAACTCGAAAACGAAATAAATGGGCTATTTCATTTAACATGTATTCTTCAACAAATATTAAAGGTAAACAACTACTTAGCTACTCTTGAGTATCTTGTTGAATGGTATAGCTGCTCCTTGTAGTCAGGAGTTGAGAAACAAAATCAATGTTGGTGCTTCAACTACCGAGGCTCGCTGCGCAGGGAGGGATGTTACGGAAGCCGCTGCAGGCTTCCGGAGCCTCCGTCCAGAGTCGGATGTTTTTTTCAACTTCAACACCGTCGCAGTCCTCGCAAGAGTACATTCTCAAGTTTGGAAAGCACCGTGGCCTCCGAATCGATGAAGCGCCAGAAGACTATCAGAAATGGCTTATGAAAGCACGAGTACTTACTTACAGTTTTTTGCAGGCGTCGACTACTCGTCTCTTAGTTCATTCATTTCGATTAGTTTTTACGTAGTGTTAGTCTTTTCACATTACTCGCTGCAGGGGACATTGTTTTTGATCTCTGTGTTGGTCTTGGCTTAAATTGTTAGCTTCTTTTCAAGATGCGGTTCCACGGCCCCTATCGGAGGGATAACTAAGCATCTACAGACTTTCCCAATTTTAGGTTTATCAGGGGAAGCCGGATATGGCCGCAGCATTGGAGGCCCTTGGCTACAGACCGGAGCAATTTGAGTACTCTTCATACTTCTAGAATCTACATGCTTACGTTTTATATGGCTGATCATGTTCCACTTCCTAATCCTATCCCATTCCCAACTATTCGATATTTATATATACATGCCCAGAAAGCGGGCCCATCAAGGGCCCGCTGCCCTGGGCATAGGTTATTTAACAACTGCCTAGGCAGCTACTTATATATATAAGACAAAGAAACGGAGTCGGAGTAGAAAGTCGGTACGTCACCAAGCGACGGACGGCATGCTTCCGCGTTCTGAGTATATTAATTGCGCGGCTACTAATATCTGTCGCTTGATGTGTATTTTTTCCAGGAATGCCGTGGAGGTCACGCAAATTCATATGAATTCTCGTGACCTCCACGAGGAGAATCCAGCAAAAAAGCGGGGACAAGCTGGCTCCGAATGAGCCAGCAGACTGGCCATGGCTAAGGTAGGAAGCTGGCAGTCGCTGTGGCTAGGCAAGCAAGCTGGGCACCGTTATGGCTAAGCTAGGTAGCAGGCTGGCGCGGCCATGGCTAAGCTAGCAAGCTGGCCACGGTTAAACTAGCAAGCTGGTGACGATTGAGCTAGCAAGCTGGCCTTTAAGGAAAGGAGGGGCCTACTATTAGCCTAGGTCTATTACAAGTGGCCCTTAAGGGGCCTCCTTAAGGAGCTTTTTTGGGCCTTAAGGAAGACTTTATAGCAATTTTTTTATGATAGAAGAAATTTCTTAAGGAATGCCATTTCCTTAAGGAAGCCCCTTAAGGGAGGCATGAGTTTTAGGAACCTTGCCTATCCTACAGATACTAATAACAAATAAATATGACCATTTTCAGTTCTGCAACTTATATATTTTTATAAATAGATATATGCTTGTCGCGGATCATGTGACAAGCTGTTTGTCGTGTTGTGAGGATGATGAGGTCAAAATCGCGCGACAAGTGAAGCTGAGATCGTTACGCCCCATATTAAGCAACAACTTACCACTCTTGTAGGGGCGAGGAGTACCCGCAGACGTCGCCGCGTGGGAGATATGGTGGCGGCTATGGTGGATCATATGGCGGGAATCACAGGAACTATGGAGCGCCCCGATCCTACAACCAGCAACAAGGCGGATACAACAACAACGGGGGCTACGGGAACTACAGAGGGAACAATATGCGAAATAGTTATAATAGCGGATACAATAACCGTGGACCTTACGTTCCCTCCGAGAAGAAATGGGAATCCCTCAAAGTTGAAGCTGAATACTGGTACTGGTTCTTCACGTAAGCACTACCGGAGAATATACTTACAAAATTTTGAACGGCGCCACCATCAATTGACTAACTCACCTCGATCTTGATACCCGCTAGGCTTGTCCAGACATTTGGGTTTTGTATTATACTACACAAATTAATAGGCAGCACCAGAAGATATATGGGCACAACAAGAAATCCTCACAAACCCCTTTTTTCATGAAGTAATTGCGGAACTACAGGTACAGGAGCTGGCGTTTAATCTGGTAAATCGTGATCAACTACTATTTATAATTTCTTACAATTTACTATCCTGGAGCGCCCGACAACACCCCCTCGCGCTAGGATTCCCCTCCTCCCGAAGTAACCCCCGGAGCACTAAGCTTGCCTGGAGTTCAATTTTTTGGATTTGATTTACTCGAATCCGAAAATTTTCGATTTTCGCAAGTTTGTCTGGGAGTCAATTTCTTGGGTTTGGATTTTTTCTCAAATCCAGAAATTTACAATTTTAGCAAATTTTTTCTGGCATTCAATTCCTTGGGCTTGAGAACTCAAATCCAAAAATTTTCGACTTTAGCAAGTTTTTCGGGGATACAATCCCCTGGGTTTGGATTGCTCAAATCCGAACACTTTCGACTTTGGCAAAAACATTGCGGAGCTTTTCTGAGATTCAACCTTTTCCCCAAATCCAAAAGTTTTCGACTCTAGCGAGTTTTGCTGAGGTTCAACCTCTTGGGTTTGAATTGCTCAAGTCCAAAAATTTTCGATTTTCGCGAGTCTTGCTGCGATTCAACTTCTTGGATGTGAATTCCTCAGGTCAAAAATTTGCGATTTCAGCGAGTTTCTCTGCGATTCAATTTCTTGGGTTTCAATTTCTCAAATCCAAAAGCTCTCGACTTTAGCAAGTTTTTCAGAGGTTCAATCTCTTGGGTTTCAATTTCTCAAGTCCAAAAATTTCCGATTTGCACAGGTTTGCCCGAGATAGATTCAATCTCTTGGATTTGAATCCCCAAACTTCAGAAGTTTTTGACTTTAGCCAGTTACTCTGAGACTCAATTTCTTGGATTTGCTTCGTAAGGTCAATTTCTTGGATTTGAATTCCTCAAATCCCAAAATTTTTGATTTTCCCTAGTTTTTCTGAAATTCAATTTCTTGGATTTGATTCGCAAGCTCATAAGTTCCGAAGTTCATAAGTTCCGAAGTTCGCTTCGTAAGTTCATAAGTTCGCTTCGTAAGTTCGTTTCGTAAGTTCATAAGTTCTTGAGGTCATAAGTTCATAAGTTCCTAAGTTCGTGAGTTCATAAGTTCGCGAGTTCATGAGTTCGTGAGTTCATGCGTTCAAATGTGAAAGCGTGAGAGTTTGGGGCTTGGGGTTTGGAAGTGGGAGATCGAGAGTTTGGGGGGGTCGTTGTTGTTTTTTAATTTAGCTCTTTAATATTCTCATGAAGATTCCTGAAGTTCACTACAGGACCGATTGTCGTACGACCAAAAAGTCTGAGCGGGCACCTGACTTCAAACATAAACAAGATATGGGTCTCGCTTTGTGGCTTGTTAAGGCTGTGGGAGGTGATTCATCTACTTACTTTTTTTGCATCTGTGAAAAGTATTCCACTGGAATACCGAATTCGACAAGGCGCATGTCAGAGATGGATATAATATATATTAGAATTAGACAGCCCTAAGATTGAGTCGAAAAATACGCCAGATTGGGCCCGCACCTATGACTGGGACTTGCATTTCGAAAAAGCTGGTTGTGGAGCGGCCGACACAACAGAATCACCGTCTCCAGCTTCAGCAGATAACAGGAGCACACCAGCACCCGGGTCAACACCGTCCTCCTAAATAAGTGGTCGTAGACCGTTGAGTTCTTGAATTCATTTATCAAATTCAATCCAGGATTAGTTGTACTTGCTCCCGAGTGCTAGACCCGTAGTAACTTTCACTTGTGTTTACCCTACGACCCAAGAAAAGTAGAACAACAAACACCAATACTACATTCCTACCTTTCCAGTGGTGTATTTGTAGATTATCGAAGGTCAACGTCAACGTTTAAGTACTAGTGCAACAAAAAATAGAACGCTGTCTTTTTCCCTCTTCACCGTTATGCTAACTCGTCTCATTCTGATGTCAGGAAGATGTCATGAACATGGATATTTGGTTGTAACAAAAGCTTGTCCGACTGAAGGTGGTGTATAATTCAGTCGACCAAGGACAGGGTACTACAATTGGTTTCGGAGTATGAAGTTGATGTCATTGGAGGTTCGTTTTCTATGTACAGCCGAGCTAGCTTAGGGCGTTGAAAAAAACAGAATTGGAGGAGAACTGAGCCGAAAAAGCTCTCACTCAGAGTACAATTGAGGAGGATCATGGAGATGGACCAGATGAAATTTTTTTGATTGAGGGGCATCTACAAGAGGTGAGATGTCATTTAAGACATTTTTCTTTCACAATTAATAGAAAGACTTAATTGGAGTAGAGAAAGTGAAAGGATCCCCATGGTATAACGACGACTCCCTCCCGTCTCAAACGCAAGCACAAATCTCATACTGTTCATAGCATTGATTAATTTAGCATTCCCAGGTGGAACATCATCATGGAAGGAGCGCTGTTATTCCAAGAATAGCCACTTAGCAGTTTATAAGACGCGTGGTCGGTGGTCCTTGTTGGTGGATCGCATGGCGCGAATGGAATGCCTCACGTCAGTAGATGGGCATTTTTTCACGCGTACCATGTGATCCATCCAATGCGACCACGGAAATCTTATAAACTGCTCGCTTGAAGGAAAACAGATTACGTTACAGACTCCACATCACACGACGTGAGAAAAGGCGCAACAGATAACGATTTTTTTTTGGCGGAGTTCAACTCAGTTGAATTTGGATTTAGGATGTTGTTCCTAGTTCAGATTCACCAAATAGAAGACAGACGTAAATAAAAGCAATATTAATAGTAACAATATCAAGAAGAAATACTAACACAAAACAACAAGTAATTCTGGAAAAGATAACGACAAAATCAAAAAGAATCGAGATCATTTGGGAAACACAAGAGTCCAGACACCACGGCATCGATAATTATGGCTCAACAACAACATGTGTTCGCAATATGTCAAGAGCGCTGGCGCTGCGAACGCATTTTCCATAGTGCGCGTAGTTTCTGCACTCTGCGAAAGATACCCAAAGCACAGGAGTCTGTCTTTCTGTCTGTGGTGGTTTTCTGTAGATCGACTTTGTGAAGACCGTGCGCATGTTGTTATTGGCGATCAAAACTGAGGGAAGAGAGCTACAAAGAAAGAGAGAGAGAGAGACAGACAGAGATTCAAGATGAGATCATCTGTTGACCGACAGAGATCTGTTTCTGCTTTGGAGCGCGAGTGGTCTGTTTGAGAGGTGTCTGAAGCTCGCACCGCCGAGAAACTGCAGTTGTTCGAAAGTTATCTGTCAACACTCGCAATTCTGTCCAACGGTCTCTGACGAGCGTAGGCGCATGGCACTGGCCGTCGTAGAAATGGTTAGCGGCGTGAAGATGATCTTCTTCTTCTTCAGTTACTTTAAGATAAAAGGCCGACGCTACACCTCGAGGAGGAGGACCTACACTTGTTTTAAAACTATATACCATAGTAGCACTTCTACATGTTCATCTAGTTCAACATCAGAAGTAGATTCCTTTTTCTATTTACATCCTACATGACAGGAGGAGGAGTTCTGACGGCATAGTAGACAAGAAAGGTATTCCCTCGCCCTCCCCTAAAATCTCCCAGCATTCTTTACCACAATGATTTGCCTAGTTGTATCATTTGAATTGATATTTTCGTGTTCCTTTCAGCTTAGGTCTATTGTGTCGTCAGCCTTAAGCTGATTAACCCAGCAGGTCATTGACTGATATTTGACTGACAGTTTTTGCCTTTGATGTTCTGAAGAATCTCAAATTGATTATATACTGCTTGTGCATTGATTTTTGTTTCTTGAACATTATCTAGTAAAACTATAACTAAAATATGAAATTATAGCCCAAAATGAAACTTCCAGGAAGTGGCGCTGCTGGGATGTCGGACTACGAGTTCAGTCAGGTGCAACGGAGTAGGACGAGTCAAGATCTTCCTGCACCAGGGCGCCTGATGAAGACGCACGACCTGACGCGCATTACCACAGACAAGATGCGGTCGCATGCAACCGCGCTCACGTCCAAGTTGGGGCCACGAAAAGGCCTTGATGCCCATGGGACTGATTATGTGCCGAAAGAAGGTGAGCAAATATTTGTGTCGCCAGATGGCATGTTGCTGAAGATGTCCTTCTCTGCACCACACGATCTCGTTCAAGAGCAAGTTCAGCAGTGGCACCCCGATTATAGGACAACTGCCCTTCCATACGAAAAGTATAACACGAGTGAGGAAATGCAATTCCAACATGTCAATGAGCGAGCAGGACAAGTTGCAGGAACACCAAGAGACATTTTGAACGAAAGTTTGAGTGCTGCTTCTAGTAAAGTGAAAGGAGGAGTTCAATTACCCCCAGCATATCGCGGTCACTATTTTTCGCCCGAGAAGCTTTTAGAGGCAAAGACACCAGAACCGTTTTTAAGCAAAAAAGGGCTGCCCGCAGTAAGTAATCTGATGTCACAGCTACGTCTCTCCGATGCAGAGTCTATCGCAGAAATTGTTGCACGCCAAGCACAAGCCGCTGCTGAGGAAGAAGGAAAGCGTTTACAGGAAGAAGCAGCTGCTAAAGAGGCAGCAGTGACCGTGCCGCATTTTGAGGCGGATATTAATAAAGCTGCCCCCTCCAGCGCTTCATCAGTATCTTCTTCCAAAGTTCCTAAAGCGCGTTTCACTAAGGTTGAACCAATGATTGAGGACATGTCCTCTTTGAAAGCCACCGAAGTCGATGTACTAGAGGCTGCGGTAGAACGCGTTATACGGCGCTTGTCGAAACAGGCGGAAGTCCAACAGGCCTCTAGCGGTGCAATCAGCGGAGTTGCGGAAGCAAGCGACGACAGATTAGATGCCAGTATTAAGCGTGTCCTGGACAAAATGGGGAGATCCGCGACGGGTACAAGTGGCACGCCGACCGTGGATAGTCCTCAGGAGACAACAGGGACGCTTACTAGTTCGCTCCCCCTTGGAGGTGTCGAGCAGCTATCAGTCGCGGGTCGTGGGGATGCTGGTCGCGACAGGTTAGGGCGAGGAGAGAAAGTAGTGCAAGAAAATACAAATGTAGACACGACCACTAATATGGATATAAAGCTGAATGAATCCCTCGGACTTGTGCAAGGCTTGCTACGACAAATGCAAGCGCGCGACGCAGGCGCTTCACAGTTAGAAGCAGGCGGAAGCCAACATAGCAATAGGTCAAGACAGGAACTACGCAGAGTTGTAGCAGCTGAGGCAGAGCATGGGAACGAGGCACCCAGAAGCATCTTTTCTCACAGTGGAACAAGTATTCCTCGACGAGGAGAAATCAGCGGCGCAGGGAGAGATAGAACGGCGCAGGAGAACACAACGGGTGGAGGGGCAGCTGCGGTGCGAGTTGCGAACCTCACACGCAGCACAACTAGTAGTTGGCGTCGTAGTTCCACGAGCACGACTCGGCCAGATCATCCCGGACCTTCAGAGCAAGTCGACGAGCCTTCGCAGGTACCACGACGGAGAAGTCGCGTTTCGATGAGTTCGATGGCCAACGCAAATTTTACAGCGTCAACGTTTGCGTCAGGGAAGAGAAATCATCGTCCAGTGACAGTTGCAGCACCAGGACCAGAGGGAGCAGGCCCCGCGTCAGCGCGTAATCGAGCGGCCCTTCGACGAGAGTTTACTGCTATGTTCAAAGAGAGAACAGGACGTAACCCTTCACGTGACCTATTGACCCAAGCATCACATGCCAGTACAGCGACATCGGCGATGGTGAAATTGGGATTGGCGGGAAGTGGCAATCGCAGAGCATCGATACAGTCGTCACAACGAGCTGGCGCGCAGCGTCTTCAGTCTGCCTCTGCCGTGACCCGCACGAAGCGCAAGAGCCTGGAGACTGCACTAGCGAGGAAAATGACTGCTAACCAATGGGGAGAACTCAACGAAGACGCTGGATCCTCAAACATGAATGATATGCTAAATTCGGCTGGTGGCGGGAACGACACGTCAGACGGCATAGTCAGAACCGAGGAGATGGAAGACGATGACAGCAAGGAAACACGCGAGGACCTTGAAATGGGGCACCTCTATGGGACTCGAGGACTGACTCCATCGCAGGTCGTCGCACGCATTGTCGACCGTGGTGCGGTGACACCTGATATCCACGAAATGCAGGAGGCTCTTTATGGTCCAATCGCGAATGAAGTTGTAGAGGTGAGGTTAGAGCAGGCGTCTCCCGAAGGAACATCAAAGACGGCGGTGTCCGCGTCATTCGATGCTCCCTCATCCTCATTTGATGGCGGAGGCGGCATCTCCGTCCATGAGTGCGAACGCGGAGATCATCATTTGCATCCTTTACCACACAAGAAGCCAAAAGAGAAGTCTTTCTCAGTCGAAACCAGCAGTCCTGGCTCAACAGCTGAACAGATCCAACAGCCATCCTCATCTGCGGCTGGAGGTAGCGGCAGGTATCTGCCCGTAGAGATTGTGAAGGGAGGGGCATATCCTGCATTGAGTGATGGCCGTGTCCACCAAGTTATGTCCAGTGCTGACGAAGTCCCGAGAATGCTATCTATCACACAAGAGCTGTCTAAGGAAATGTCAGAAGAAACAATAATTATCCCCGATTCTTACGGACAAGAAGGCGGAGCCAGTACTTCTCCTGTGACTGAGCCAATCGTAGATGAAGCTCGTGCTCGGCCAATAGACACAACGGCAGGGGCTCCTTCTATGCGATCCTACAGAATTGAGTGGGAGGAGGCCACACCTCCTGGGGACTCAGCGATATCGTCTGTTCCTGTCGAGGCGGGTTATTTGCCTCCTATCAAAAGTGTAGCGCAGCCACAGGGGGCACAACAGAGATATGAAGATCAAGGAACAGTTCGTGATAACAACGTAAACACTTCAACGGCGGACGGGCATTACACAAGTACGACCACAACGCGAGTCACAAGAACAATTAGAAACAGCGGGGATGGCAACGCTGTGCCTGTGTCGTCGTCCACATTTCCGGTGGCCTCCACATTAAGTGCCTCAACAAGTGCAGGACCGCCTGTTGTCATTCGACGAATAGTAGGTGCAGCAGCGGCAACGAGTGGGAATGATGGAAGCGGGGCGGCAGGCGCTGTGGTCCCTCCCATCACAGCGCCGTTGCATGCTCCTCAAGCGCAAGAAGCCGGAGGAACAACTAGCACTTCCCAAAACACCGGTTCTATTAGCGTAGCTGCAAGAGATATATATCCGTCGGGGTCGGCTTCGGCATCCGGGGCACCACGCCACCAGTCGACTGCTGCTGCAGCGGCAGCCGCGTCGCCACGCGTCGTTAGGCGAACAATTCGTGCTACGACACCAACGCCCTCTGGCCCACTTCTGAATCCGCTAGTAATTTCGCCCTCTTTACTTCCTCGGACTACAACGAGAGACGGTGCGGATCGTGGTCAATCTTCTGGTACAGTTGTGAGTCCGCTGATGCATTCAACTTCGGCTGGCGTGCGCGCTGTCTCCCAAACGACTATGCAAACGCCGGGAGTAATCCCATTTGGATCGAAATTGACACAAACCAGCAGCACACCTCCAGCGGTGTACACAATAAATACTGTAGCACAAGGACGAGGAAAGATTCGCGAAGAAATATCGACGACGACTGAGGTTCTCCCCCCGAAAACGTCGCCAAGAGAGTTCTCTGCGTCGTCTACCAGTTCACCGGCGGAGACAAGGAAACAAGCAGTAGCATCGTCAGCGCCAGCGGTGTCAATAACCACGTCCGCCAACCACACAGGAGCTGTAACTGTTGGTAACCGTCGTGAAGGTAGTTCTACTCCCAGAACTGGCTTGATTAAATCCCGGTCGTTAGGCCCACCGCCACAGATTGGAATTGATATTGACGGTCCGTTGTTCAGAGCAGCAGAGCCGGGGATCATCGCATCTTCGGCAATCGATAGCGACACGTTAGCGGACGCGATGGGTTTCGAGAGTTACATACGATCTCTGGCTCGCAATACGCAAAAGCTTTTTGGTGGAGGTGGCAATGCTGTGGATCATTCCTCGACTGATGAAGGAACTACAACTACAACTAGTCAACAACGATCAGTTGATAGTACTGCGACGATGAAAATGCTAAACAGTCCGAGAAGTAATCTGCCGCCCGGAACTACTTCAGGGAGCAACATTGTGGAGAACCTGGCTGCAGCAGCGGGGGTGACCATGCTTCCTTTCTCTGTAGACGGCGCATCAGCGATAAGCAAGCGAAATCCGACACCGAATTCCGTAGGAAGCTTTCACCTGCATACTGGTGCCAGCCGCGCTGATGGAGGACTTGCAGTGCAGTCAGCTGTGGCGCTGGCTCTGATGCAGAATCCGTTTTTGCAGGAGACATCTTATCTCACCAAACCCATAAGTGCGCCTAAAGGAGCTGCTCCGGGACTCTCGAAACCCGAAATGGTAATTATTTTCTTTTCTTTCTCAAGATCGATGATACGAATTTATTTTTGACTACAACACTGTCTTCCTTGTTCATCACAAATCACCTTATTGTAATTATTATTATAATTAGAACACTTCGTAAGAAGGATGCTGGATGGCATGGCATGGCATGCATTTTTGCATGAGCTGAGCGGGTCAGAGTGCGACCGTCTTAAGGGAGCGATACGGGGGCGAAGACTCAGGGCGCGACATAGGGGGGCCACCGCGTTGCTGTCTGTTTTGCTTCTTGCGTTTGTCTTTGCACAGCCCGCCTTTCTCATCTTCAGCAGCCCCCTTCTCAGTGCGGCTGGAGCATGCGGAGCGCCTGGAGCCTGTCCGCGCTTCGTTTCAGTTTGGTGAGAGGTCGGATTCTTCAGGCTTAACCTAAGACGTAGCTCGAGCGTATTATGGCGTAGCCTATGCATAGTATAGATAAAGAATATATTTAATTATATCTACTATAGTCTTAGTCATGACGAGTAAGCTGATGCGTAGTTAGTTGATGGCTCTATTATGGGGGACACGGCTTGCGCCTTGGATTGTTTGGGGAGTATTTAGCTCGTAGATGATCGCTTTGTATAGTATAGTAGCAAGGCCGGGCCCGGGTGAGTTTAGGAGTAAGTACTTGAGTAGGAAGATGACTCCGTTGTAGGAGTACTGGAATAGTGCTGGCGCGTACTAGTTATTGTAAGTAAGTAGCTCGACTAGGCTAGCTTGCCTGGGATCTCGACTGTCTTGCTCACTGTTCTCTTGCGCACACAGGCCACGGCGTTTGCGCTGCTCCTTGCTTGTGTCTGGGGCGGGGTCACAGTGGGGCTGTGTGTTGTGTTCGTGTTCGTGTATTGTAAAGTAATTACTCGGCTGAGCAGCCTGGTATTGCGGAGGAAGGACGGCACCCGAAGGGCGCCGCGAAAAGTTTATTGCTTTTGGGGTGGTCCATCCATGCCATGTATGCCATCCTTGCAATGCAATCCGGAAGTTCAGAAATTGCTTGATATTCTCTTATATAGACACTTACTCTGTTGGCCTACGCCTTTCTCCGCTTCCAAAATTGGCCTCTTCCATGATATGCATATTGCATAAACATCAACAAGAACCATGAACTTACCACAGCTTCAAGTTGGATGCCGACCCAAGATTGCAGGTGTGGGAGCTGATTTTAGTTCTGCTCCGACACCGCGCTTCGAACTATTCGAGTCACCGGAGACTGCGCGTCGGAAGGCGCTCGAAGCGCACAAGCCAGTCGAGCCCGTGCGAGTTGAGAGCTTCTTTGCTCTGAGCGGAGATAGAGAGGGCCGCGTGCCACTGTTCAGCGGAGAATCTTCTTCCAGTCTCTTACCTGTGTCCGCTGGTGGTCATGCTGACGCGTTGGCATACCACCACGAATATCAGCAGCACATACCTCCTGAAACGAGTATTGTTTCTGCACGTGGGGGTCTGCTTGATGTGAAGTCCCGCGCTTTGCCTGCGCAACAACCATTGTTGATATCACCGCGTATGCTGCAGGATTCGCACTACAATATGATCACAGCAAGCGCGCCCCGTCTACCTCTAGCTAGTAGCCCGCGCCAGCAACACGTCGCAGAGAGTCTGCGCGGAGCGCTGCGGAGCTTCGGTTTTCGCATTTCAGAAGATGGTCAATGCATGCAAATCGTGTTGCCAGAATGCGCACACCCACCTTCGGTTCGCGGAAGCGCAGGAATCTTAGTGTCACCGGCCCAGGTCGCATCGTGTGCAGGCCTTCTTGTCTTCAGTGGTCGTGCCAGAATGCTCGCAGTCGACGCCGGTGTATCTGTGTTGCCTATTGATTCGCTGCCAGCATCGCCGTGGATAGCCACGAGAGGGGGAGACCACTTTGGAGACTACTGGGCGGATAGCTACTACGAGGATCAGCAGAACGGCATCTCCGGGCAAGCTGATAGTGAAAGCCAGCGTGCGTCTATGATCTTCCCCTACGAGGCAAACCCAATCCTCTCGAGTATCGCGTCTGCTATGGGCTTTTCTTCGACCGGAAAGACTCCTTCGGAGCAAGAGAGAGAAGCTGCGGAGCAGGCGCTTCTTTCTCCGTCAGCTGCGGGAACAAGCGGTAGACTCTTGTTTGCAACCACGCAAGAGCTGGATGCGTTGAGAGAACAGCTTGATGTAGAATCGCTGCGTGTTTACTTTGCGGGCCCAGATATGAAGCAGGGCAGCCAGAGCAGCAAGCGTCTGCCTTCGCCGGCAGATGTCGAAGGTTTGGACATCACAACGTCAGAGAAGATCCGGAGTGTCTCACTTTTATGTGCAGATGAGGGGCGACGGCTCAGCGCACTGAGCCTTAGCACCACCACAACTAACTGCGTTGTCGTGCGTCTGTCAGCGCTCGTTGCGTGCACCACTCCAGTCCTCTTCCGGCCCCTTGACACGGCAGACTCCTTCGCGGGACATCGAATCTTTGCAGGTGGCTTTTTGGCAAATTCTCCAAGAGTGGGAACTCCGTTTGGCGGTCCCCGCTCTTTCCAGCAGACATGGAGCGTGAACAACACCAACAAGGTTGCTTTGCTGAAACGTGAATTCGTTATGTGTGGGGGTCGCAGAAACAACGTGCAGCAGTTGTTCCATTCGTCCACGACCACGCAGCCGCAGTGGATGCTGACGACGACGCTCTACCTTCGCGGTCGCATCCAACAGAAATACCTGAAAGATAGCTACATTCAAGTGGCGCCACAGTTTCTGGTCGCGTTTGAGGTGCCGGGTATCCGAGTGTTCGAGCTAGCTGAGGATGCGTCAATTGGAGGCAAGACCCCAAAATCAACGCAGGAAAATGAGAAGAATGAGCTTCCATTTGTGATCTTGTCAGGTACCGGAAGTTTCTGGATACTGGATGAGTCGGGCCAGCACGAACCTGGAGCGGCAAACCCAGGAGCTTCGCCGAGACATTTTCCGCTATCGACGAGCACGAGTGCGAACGACGAAGCCAGCCGACTTCCTCGTTGTAGTTCGGACGAGAATTCACGTGCTGGTATAGAAATTCTCCGGAATAATCTCTATAATGCATATGCCGCTGCTGCTTCGTCTTCGGCGAGAAGACGCAGTCGAAGTGGTCACAAGGAGTCATCGAGTGCTAGTAACGCGCCCGGCGATCATTCTCTTGGCGCAGTGCGACGGAGCAGCGGCAGTCGACGTAAGAGCAGACCGGATGGCAAAGACCGAGACCGCGACGCATCTCTTAGACGAGCGAGCCCGGTCTCTCAGATACCACAAGAAGTCGGTGCGCACGCAAAACAGCCGTCTCCAGCAGAGAGCGGGTCTACTTTGAAGTCAGCTAGAGCTCAGCATGAGGACGCGCCACTGCATTTGTCAGGAGGAGTGGAAGAGCATATTCTCGACGAAGCGGCCGGCGGCATGGGCGTTACAAGCGACGGACGCCACATTTTTGTGGACCGAGAGTTGACAGTTCCTGTTAGCGTAAAACAGATAGGTCTGGGATTCAACGTGAACGAGTCTCATATCCGCGAAGTGATTTCTGGTTCGTGGGCGGCGGAAGCTGGATTGCAACCTGGAGACGAGATTCTCAGCTTGAACGGTGTCCATTACCTCGGTTTGGCGCCATTGACACGAACGCTTACACTTTCAGCGCGACCCTGCACCTTGCAGATTCGTTCTTTCTTCCAACCTTCAAGTGCGTCGGCCTCAGAAGGCGCTGCTCCTCCTGCTCAACGTGCGTATCCCAGCGAGGAGGCTGTAAACATGATGGGAAACTGCGACGGAACGCACGTTATGGAAGAGACTGCGAGCGATCCAGTCCTCACACCCCCAAAAGATCGACCTGAGCAGAACCTTCCAGAGCTGAAAAATCGAGTGCGCGAAGGTCCCCCCACGCCTCTTACAGACTACGAGTAATGGAATGCAATACTCGCTGTACTATCAGACGACTTCTTTTTCTTCACACTCAGTTATCTTGAAATTCAATTATCTGCAGGTTTACCGTCCACATCCGAGATTCGTGAAATTTAAGACCGTGACCTAGTAGTCGTGCTCGTAGATTTTTTGTTTTTGTTACAATCATGTACAAAAAGATGTTGAACAATAATCGCGCAGGGGTTAGAGGGTCGTCGCCATCGTGATCATGTACTAGAAATTGAATTGGCTCTTGTTTCTCAGCATGCAAAGGGAACGACGATGAGGAATAGCCTCTATCATAAATTTGGGACACCTATAGTATACATAGCGTCGCTGCAATTGCACATTGCATAGCAAGGACACATCATAATAGTCGTAATCTGCTAAGTAACCTTCATCATCTACAACAACAAAAAGAGCACCTTCACAAAAATGATCACGATGCACTTGTTTCTGACTGTATGAAAAAAGGACCGATTTACCATCCTCACCTTCGCCGCGAACAAGTTGGAATATTAATCGAATGCCGGTGTGGGGCAATAAAGTCAACGTTGTTCAACCTCAGAAGTGGAACGAGATCAAGCGAAAGAGAGCGTCTGTTTCCGAACATAACTCAAGAGAATGACGATCCTGATGCTGATGTGGAAGCAAGTGAAGAAGGCAACAAGATATCCCATTCACGTTTTCTCTAAAGTCAATCTCAATGTACTTAAATGTAAGATAGAATTAGAATCTTCTAAGCTTCATCTGTCCCCTATTTTTGGATTGCGCATTTTGAGTTTGAAGGGAAAAGAGCAGTAACTCTGTCAAGAGAGCTGCAAACAAAGGCATCGTGTCTGTTATGAGAGATGAGCTGCTTCAAGCTGAGCATTACAAAATCCACTGCTCTGTGATTCTCAACATGTCGGTTTCATAATTTCCGAGATGGTGAATAGTATTTGATGTGGAGCGCAGCGCTTGTTGTACCAGCTATGTTGGTCAACATGAATAAAGAGGATGAACAATAGAAATTTTCATCAAGCAAAATCATGTTAAGAGCTGAATCTGAATCTTACGATGAGACTGGAAGAATAAACTTCTACTTAACAGTCTGTCTGAGGGGATGATCTCTGGTGTGACGCATTGTTGATGGACACGAATCAGTAGGTGGAAATGAAATACCAGAAACAGAATTGAAATCTGATTCTTGTCGTCTCGACGTGACTGCATAGACCACCACCCATCCATCATTTGTATGGTTGTATCTAGGTGTACTCAGCAACATCTGCAGATGAAGCAAGTCGATCTCTTCTCGTTATCAACTTCACCAGCACCAAGTGAAATTATGCTATCACCCCCCTCTTTTGACTACTCCTCCTCCCCTATTTTGATTTTATTTTCGGTGTCTCCGCCCCTGGACATCGACTCTACGTACTAGATTTCTACTCCTAGATACACCCTCCAGTATAACAAGCAGTTCCCTTTCCCGCCTCCACTTCATCCTTGATTGAAAATAATGTGTAGTGTTAGTATTTTTTTCTGTAGTCAAGCATCAAGTAGCAGTAGAGTAGTAAAGTAAGACTACAAGTCTGCAAGAAAAATAGTAATTGCACTTGTTATTTTACCCCTTGTTGTTCTCTGTAAGCACATAATTCTAATTGTTTGTTTTCCTTGAGACCTTCAAGTTCAAAAATGCCGCTCAACTTGGGTTTTGTGCGGTCTACAACTACCGCTGCTTGGCTGTTCACACTTGGGCTGACCTGGTCAGGGAGTTACCTTTTCAAGGGTGCGGAAGGGGCGAGGTCATCTTCCCCTGGACGCGCCACACGCAGCCCAATTTATTTTGGAAATGAAAATGGTGCCCGTGCACCCACATCTGGCGGTTCTCAAAATGTTGATGGTCAACGAAATCGAAGAACATTATTTTCAGTCGATGTCGAGGCCAGCGGGGATCAAGAACTCATAGATGAACAGGATACGGATAGAGAGACTGCGTTCCTAGAACGCGTGGCAACAGGACAACAGCAGCAGCAAACGCTATGGGCCGCAGGCCAGGGAGCTGGACCAGCGGGTGGTGCAGGAGGAAAGCGTGGTCCGTCACCCGCACCCCCAGGAGCTCCTGGTGGACCAAAGGGGGCCCCCGCTGGTCCAAAGGCGGCACCAGGGTCTGGAGCGCCCAGCGGGGCACCAGGTACGCCTCTTGGCGATGCTGACGACGATTCGGGTGATGAGTCTTCCCCGAATCATGGAGCCGCTGGAGGGTCAGGAGGAGGTAGGACTCAGGACCCTCTTCGCGTTATCGATCCCCAGATCATTGCGGAGGGTACGTTTCTGGTACACTTTGGTGCACCCGGATGGGTTGTCATCTATGCCTTCATCTCGATCACGGGACTGCTCATCGTGTTGCGTTTGACCGTTTGCCGAACCCGGTTTGAAATCCCGAAGTCCGAGCGCGCTCAGCGTGCGCAACACGCGGTTGAGATCGCAGCTGAAACCGTGGAACTGGGAAAACGACCAGGCACGATTAGAAAGCAGTACCTACTTCAAAAGGGCTACATACGCAGCGCTGTGGGCTATGGTGGCTGGCTGGCGACCGTTTTTCTCCTAGTGTGGACAGGAATTCTTCTTTTTCTGAGTGTGTTGTGGCGGCTGTCTTCGCAGAAGTTTGCGTGGTTTCTTTCGAGCCTGTGGTGGCTCGATCCCTGCCGGATCCACGATGTGAACACGGGTGAGTGTCAAACGGATCCCGAGGTGAAATTGAACTTCCAGTTCATTTTCATTATCCTTTGGGTTGCTTTCTTTGCGCTCGTCTCGGTCTATGTTCGCTATCGTCTCGAATTCTTCAATTACTGCATGCAGGAGGTACCTCTGCAAGAGGCAACCTACGTCGCCATTGAAGAACAGATTTGGGAATTGCCTATGGCAGGGGACAGCAGAAAATCCTCAGCCGACGAAACAGCGAGAAGGAGCACGGCTCCTGATTCCGAAGGAGAAGGTGGCGCGGCAGGAGATGAAGAGCAAGAACAGGACAATAAGCGGAGTGCACCAAATAGTTCTACTTCAACCATCAATACACACGACATACAGGCGGAGTTTTCACCTCACGATGTGAAACCCAAGAAGCAAATGGTGAGTCGTCGTGTGCTAGAGCAGTGCAACGTGAAGCATCTTGGCACTGACGAGAAGTATATCTACTTCCAACTGACGAGACTGCTGCTTGCCGATGCAACGCCACTTCTGGAAGAGCAATACAGAGGGCGAAACCCTCACAAGGTAGTTGCGTTCCAGATGCCTCACAATGACGTCTTGGAGTCCAGTCTTACCGACGTCGTTGCGAGCGGACAATATCGAGAAAAAGTGGGAAGTGGAAGTTCTACTTCTACATCCAGGGGCGGCCTGAGTAGTGACGTCGTGAAGATGGATCGTGCACTTCGTGGAGCGAACGTTATTGACATCAAGGTCCCGGCTTTCGGTTGGTGGTTTGTAAAAGAGGCTGTACTTGTGGTGAACATTTGGCAGATCATGCGGAACATCGCGGTGGCTTTCGATCAAACCGTAGCGATGGTGTCGATCCCAGTCTCTTTGATGGTTGTGCAGCTCCTCCTCATGGCTCGCAGTAAGCGCAACGCGATGGTGCAGATCGAAGAAGCGGCTGCGATCGAGCCCCTTCGTTTGCGTGTGTATCGTCGCGGTACACCTGAAGGCGAAATTTCAATGGACCGCTTGCGTGACGAGACGAAGCTCGACCTCGACAAGCAAAGAGGCAAGATGAAATGGAATACCAACGTGCTCGCTGCCCCACTCCGTGACTCAATCGTGCCCGAGAATTCAGATACTCGTAACAAAATCACTTTGACATATTAGAACTTGCTTATCTGCTCGAAGATCAAGATTTTTCTTCTGCAGGCTGCTGGATTTTCTTGCTCTTGCCTCATAGATTTAGATACTTATAATCTTAATCAATTGATTGCTATTCCTTATCCTGTCCGTCGTCCTATTGTTCGTAATGAAAATGATTATCAGAGTAGTTTTTATGCTCTCTCACGTGCTCGTACTGCTCATGATACACCTACATCTTCTATAGTACACCAGTTAAAAAAAAATTATTGTACTACATATGAAAAAGGTGCTAGCGCGTCGACGAGAGGACCGACCGCGGCGCCTGCGGCTGCAGATGGTCGAAGCACTCGACGGCAGCTGCGGGACCAGAATCTCCGTGAAGCGGGTGTTGGAAACTGGCATTGGGTGAACAGCACTCAAATCGTACCCGGTGACATTTTTGAGGTTCCAGACGGCGTCGGCATGCCATGTGACGCCATTCTGCTAGAGGGATACGCGTTGATGAACGAGGCAGATCTCACAGGAGAGCCTATGCCAGTGTCGAAGTTTCCGATTGAGCCGTCGGAAAACAAGTTGAATCTCGCTAAGCACGGCAAGAAACACTACCTCTACTGCGGAACTTCTGTGCTACAGAGCGTTGGAGGAGGCGAGGAAGAGGAAGGAGAAGGGGGACGAGGCACACCGAGAAGAACAACCATACGGGCATACGCCGACGACCCGAGTCCAGATTCTAATCCTCTCAAAGCTGTTGGCCTTGCAGTTCAAACTGGAACCGGTACGGACAATATAGTAAGTACTTTGTGGGAAAGGCACGCTCATTGGACATTGATTTTCATTTACAAGAACTTTGACAGCCCTGCCCCCTATGGCTATGTATAATCACGTACAGGATAGAACTTCTGCTGCCACTCCACCCCTGCAGCAGGAGCAGTACCTTTTTCAACACCGAAGCTGAGGTCTCGAGCCATGTTTCACGTCGTGCGATTACCAATACTTCATCTGCGTTTCTTATCCTACTCCACCTCGTCCATCACACTTACTATACACCAGGTACCACAAAAGGTGAAATGATTCGGAGGATTCTATTTCCGTCTCCGGTGAGGTATAAATTCTCGGAGCAATTCAATACCTTCCTGTTCACCGTCGCTGCTCTGTACATTCTCATCTACGCTATCCCGCAGATCATTCAGGCAATGCGCGACAAAAACGGACAAAACATCTTTTTCACGGCCATGGTAATGAACTACTCAAAACGTCTACTTAAAGTTAAAAATATATGGTGCTTCTAGTTCTACATAAATGCAAAATTCGATTGTTTCGATGATCGCTAGCTTTTGCTTTCATTCCATGCTTGATGAGTTTGGTTTGGGATTACGTACAAATTTTGTGATTTCATTAACTTCTATGTAATATAATCGTTACATCATCAATTCCGCTCAGGTCCGTATGTTCTACGAGGGTGTCAGCACGGCTTACCTCATTGTCGCGCCGACCTTGTTGCTGTGTCTGATGATTGCCCAGAATTCAGCGGCTGAGCGAATGTTTATGAGTCCCGCTCGTATAAAGACGCTGGAACCAGCGCGATTGTTAATGGCGGGCGAGGTGAAGGTTCAGTGCCTCGACAAAACCGGAACCATTACGGAAGATGGTCTAGATCTGTCTGGCACAATGCCAGTTCAACAAGGAGCAAATGGCTCTTTGCAGCTCGGGGAACTCGCACGGATAGACGCGGGTCCGGAGGGTAAGATTTCCGCGCCAACGCGTGAGAACCTTTTCTCGGTAGCAATGTCAACCTGCCACACCGTGAACAAGGGCCCTGCTGGAGAATTACATGGAAACTTGGTTGAGGCGGAGATGGTTCGGAAGACGCTTGGAGCCGGTATGAATTTCAACCGGAACAATTCAGACAATAGTGTCGACTATTTCTTCTCGCGACACGCGGCCTCGGGTACTGGTGGTGACCAAGGAGCATTGTCCGGCGAAGAGCAGCGTGCTACAAATGCGGCGGATGTTCCGGTTTACGACGCCAGCGACGTGTTGTTTCGGACGATTCGGCAGTTTGAGTTCGACCAGCAGGTACAACTCCAGAGTGTAGTAGTGGACTTGCTGAACGGACGGACAGCGTTGATCACCAAGGGGAGCTACGACTCAGTGTCGAAGATTGTTCAGCCGGAAACGCTCCCGGAAAATAGTGCGCCGACCTTGAAAGCGCTGGCCATGGAGGGCTATTACGTTTTGGCCTTTGGATACCGCGACCTCAGCTCCCGCGCAGAGGCGATGCAGGCACCACGGGAATCACTCGAGCAGCAAGAAAACTTTTTGGGTTTTGTGCTGTTCCGGAATGAGATGAAAGTGGACAGCGTAGCGGCAATTATGGAGCTCAAGCACGGCGGCGTCGAACCTGTGATGGTAACTGGGGACAACATTTGGACAGGGATTCACGTCGCCGAATCAGCAGGGCTAATGCCACGGAGCGCTTTGTTGCTCGCTGCTGATGTCGAAACCGTTTTCACGGCGAAGAAGTCGCTGGCGGCTGCAGGTGCGAGTAATACGACCGGAGGTCCGCCAGGCGCGATACAGGGGTCGACATCGTACCCTCGAGAGATCGTGTGGCAGTACATCCGTGAGGAGGACGCGAAGTATGTCCCCGCCTGGGTGGATCTGTTGACCAGTTCCGGTGCGCCCGGTTCCGAAGGTTGCACTGACTACGGCGCCAGTCTTCGATTTTTTGGCACTTCCGCGACCAGCACTGGCGCTTCTTCAGCATCGCCTTCGGGCTCACCTGGTGGAAGGAGGAGGACCAACTCCGCAGACAATAACCGAGCGGTTGCGGCCTCCTTTAGAAGTCTTGGAGGCGAGACGGCGGCGTCAGCAGCGTCGAACAGACTCGATGAGCAGACAAAGCGCCTCGTCGAGGTTCCTTTACGGCTCGGACCTACGCAGAACTTCGAGCCTCGGTTTCGCCCGGCCTCGCGACCGCTGTTGCAGTTCAGAGACGCGCGCCGAGACAATGCGTGCGAAGCAGACCAGGAGTGGATCGAAACCTCGATGCAAGGCAAGCGCGTGCTGCAGCTCCTGCCACCTGGCACGCTCCGAGGCGGACCAGCGGCGCGCCGCTCGCGAGCATCAGCTGCGGAAGCGAGTGGTCGCTCAGTGCGCAGCAGCGGCGTCTCCGGAATCAAGGATCCAGAGGCAGGAACTACAAGCCTCATCGGAGCAGATGGGGCGGGAAGAGGCGACGCGGTGCATGATGAGGACGGATCCTCGAGTTCCGAGGAGGAGGCCGCACCCAACTACTTCAACGAGATGTTGGCGGACGTGAAGGGCATTGCCGAAGACGACGACTCGGGTGCGGACAGCGACGTGATCGTGGACCAGCAGACGGCGATCGAGGACCGCGCGCGGTACGACTTGGCGGAGTTAGAGGATGGATTCGAGCGTGCTGAAATGCCTACCTTTTTCTTTGCGTTGTCCGAGGCTGCGTTCAACTTCCTCCAGGAACACGATCCGGACCTTCTGGACCGCATTCAAAGACGGATTGTGGTCTACGGAAAAGTGAGCCCGGCAGGTAAGGTCGCGGTCGTGCGTTCTCTTCAACGCTCGGGCTACATCGTTGGTATGTGCGGGGACGGTGGGAACGACTGCGCCGCATTGCGCGCCGCCCATGCTGGCATGGCATTGTCAGAAGGTGACGCGTCCATTGTGGCAGCGTTCGCGACGCCGCGCAAGAGCCTCTTCGGAGTAGTGGAGCTCATTCGCCAGGGCCGTTGTTGCCTAAGAATATCTACAGCGTTGTTCGAATTCAACGTTGTGGTGGGTGCTGTTGTCACAGTCACACTGCTAGTGAACCTGTACGCGAAAGCATCGTACGCCGACGTGTGCAAAGTCGGAAGCGATCAGTTTCCTTTCGTATGCGGAATTGTTCTGGCATTTGGCATTCCGCCTGTCCACGGCGGACTTATGACCGCCTTCTCAAGCAAGAGCAAGAAATCAGACGCGGCTGAAGACCAAAATGGCGGTCGTGAAGATGGCAGCGAGCCCAGTACGACGTCGCTCGCGCCGAGTAGGGTCTCCTCCTCCGCAGCTGTGAATGAAACTTCAGGTGCGCAACAAGACCAGTCCAGGACGCCGCTCATGGCTGGAGTGCCAGACACATTGGCGGAAAGCTCCGGCATTCGAGCTCGTCGGGGTACGGCGGATACCGCGCTTTTGAGACGATCAACTAGAAATATACTGATGCTCTCCGACGCGGATGAAGAAGGCGGAGCGACGAAGGAGGAACTAGCCGAAGCAGCGGAGGACGAAGCGGCACAGGACGCAGCTGGTCGGTGCTGTGGTTGCTGCGTCTGCTCCCGTCGCGAAAAGTGGAAACCGCGTGCAGACCGCAATGGTCATTGGGGCATGCTGAGTGCCAGCCGACCCAGTGGCACACTGGCACAGAAAACTCGGGTTTTGACGGTAAAAATAGGATTCCTTTTTTAGTGCACATACTCATGCATTTACATATGCGATTCAAGTAGAACTTTTGTAGCAGGTACTATTTAGATTTTGATTTTCTTTGGTGAAGATGCTGCATATAGCCGCCGGCCAGCACGATCACCTACTTCATTTCAAACATACTTTCCAAGTGCTGAGAGGATGTTGCCTGCTGAACATTATGATGATTCCACAACAGTTACACCTTTTACCTCATCTACTTCTACAAGTGAATCAAGACGGACGTCAGGAACAAACTCATAACGCTTATTTCTCTTCTTTTTGTAACTCTTTGTGAAACTACTGCATAGATGACTCAGACCGTGGGTTCTTGCACAATAAATTACAGATTCTGATTTGCATTTTTTGGACTGTGACGTTCTCGATGATCTTGGTGTCCTGGATTAGATCGCAGAGAAAGTCAGAGAATGGAACAGGCTGGTACCGCTGGGCAGATCCGGTGATGCTCAACACGTTCAAGAGCACGAATAAGTCTGAGGGAGCGGGAAATTACATGACCTCGTTGCTGGTATGGACTTTTCTCTTCAGTCTCCTCATGCTCCTACTCAGTGTTGCACGTGATGGCAGATGGCGGACACGGATCTGGAACAACACCATGCTCATCTTCCCCTTCGTTTTCCTCGCCATCTTCTTCTTCTGGCCGTTCTTCACAGCCAACTCGTATTTTCTATTTTTGAAAAAAAAAATACGCTAAATAGATCCATAGGTCTACTAGGGCTTAGGGTTTGCTTTCAATCCATATTGGTATTGCTTTTTGTATTGACTTCAGTTTTAGTTTTGGAAGAAGTTACTGATCATTTGATGAATATGAAAATGAACGAAGGCAGGTCTTCGGTGAAGGACTTTCTTATTCATATTCACCTTCTTGAGGCTGCGCCGTCAAGCGACAAAATTATAATCAGAAACAGAATGTGTAAGTGTATGATGAAAAAACCTCTTCCATATTTCGTCGATCAGGCTTTGGCACTGCGTGTTGCGTCTCAACGTGGACAACATTCATGCGTGGTATTACTCCGACTTCAAAGCGTATTACGTTTTTCGGTTCTTCCAGAACACGTGGAACGAGGTGAATGGATCCGGGTTCTGGTTTGCCCGACCAGTGGAGGAGAAAGAAGCAACGGATGCCGCATCGCGGTACAGAATTTCTGCTCCGGAGGACCTGCTGTGGCGTGGACAGTGGAGTAGCGTCGGCAACAGCATCGCGCAAGCGCAGAGGTCGCCGCGCCAGCGACCGCATCCGTCTCTAGAAGTGACGGAAAAGCTGGCGATCGATGTGAAGCGGGGAATACCCGCAGCCCTTGGAGCATTGCGGCAGGTGATGTGGGAGGATTTTGCGGACGATCCTCAGCCTGGAGAGCAGGCCGTACTCAAGTCCAAGGCACCGGCTGACTTCGTTCCGAATGTGCGGATGGAAATCGTCACTTATCGGACGATGACGCGGATGATGCAAGTGGATCAGCGACGACCGGCTGGGAAGGCCGCTGCTGCGGGAGCGAAAGCCACGACTGCCCCCGCTGACCCGTCTTCAGTGGGCAGCAGCGACTTCGATCCGCTGGGGGTGCGTATCTACTTGGACGGCTTTGTTTCGCACCAACAGGTCGCCAGAAAAGTTCGCAGCGCCAGCGCGACACAGCAGCAAGAAGCAGCTGCTCAGCAAAACGGGCAGGTTCAACCAAACGCGAAAGCGCCGTCCTCGGTGAGCTCCGCACTTGAGCAAGAGCGACTGCTCGACCTTCGATCATGGTTGTGTCAACGACTTTGCGCTCATACGTGGAGTTGGCGGAATTATCCAGCAGATGCAAAGAATGTTGACGAGCTGGACGACAGGCGGTTTTACTGCTGGTATGCTTCGGTGAAGGCCCAAAGCACCGGCTTTCCGCAGCAGGCCTCTCCCGGAGGAGGAGGACAAGCTGCGCAATCATCCGCGGCCGCTAGTGCTACAGGAGGCGACCAGAACGTATGCCTGCTACTTCCGCGACTAGATCTGGAAAAACGGCCGGTAGGACCGGATCAGGCGGGCTACATCAATCGAGTGCTCCTGCCCGACGGAGACTTTCACGGGATGCTCCTAAAACCTCCTCTATTGCGCGCGCAGACCCTTCCGCCTCCTAAAGTAGGCGCTGGAGTTGGAGGAGAATCGGCGCCAGGAGTCGCAGCACCGCCGAGAGTTTCGATGCTGGAGACGGAGCACGGGCACCAGCAGCTACGATTAGCGGGAGCACCATCAAGTCCGGCACAAGGTGTCGGGTCTGGTAGGGAAGCATCGAGCCAGAATACCCCCACAGCAGCTGGGCCGCCGCCTACTGCGCCTTTAAAGGCAAGCATGGAAGAACAGAAAGAGCGAATCCGTGAAGGTGGTCGTATTTTACGATCCGACCCGCAAGGTGGGGATCTGATCACGTTTTTTGTGAATCGACACAACGTCTTGTCCTGGTACAGCATGAACTGGCGCAATGAAGCACACAAGGTGGACCGCGCCATCATAGCGGGGCTCGCAAGAGCAGGCATCACGCACACAAAAGAGTATTTGCCTCGCCCCAACTTTGCTGGTCAGCAGCAGCAGGCTGGGAAAAAGTTTGCGTATCCAGCGGAGGCTGACATCCAGAAGCAGATTGAATGGATGCCACGCCTGTACGAACACTACCCCGGCAAGTACGTGCCAACTTTCATGATTCTAGTTTTTTTCGTCACGGTCGCCTTCACTGCACTGGCCGTCCTTACTTTTCATGCCTTGCTCAAGATACCACGCGTGTGGCGTCATTTCCATAGCGAGGAATAGCTATCACAACCATGAAAGGGAGTGAGAAGAAACTCCTGAATTAGTATCTGGAATGGCGCTCACGGCCACGGCTCCGGCTGACGTAGACGCGGGGACGTCTAGGTCTACTTCGGCAGTGGCGTGACGTCCTTTTGGTAGGAAGGATTTGCGTGGTGAGCGTTTGTCGTGTCTACAACTAGTGATGCAGCCTTTACCACCAGGAGAAGACGAAGCACCTAGAAAATTTTTTGTTTCGTCGCTTCAATAAGTATCACTAGCGTAATGATTTACTGTTGAAGTTGAACACGGCGGCTGGTTAGCACTAGCACTGTGGCAAGGACGAGTACAGCATATCGTTCTTAACTGGCGTGAGGTACTTTGAGTTTGGTATGAGCTCCTCACGCAGCAGCGACTAAGTAGAATCTTTGAAACACGCAAGGAGTAGCGGGTGCTGGACCTCGTTTGCGTCACTATCATTTTCACAGTATTATCGAAATACACGGAACCGTCGCTATTTAGTGGCGAGAGTAGAAAGATGACCATGACGCAGTAATAGTATAGCTATAGATTACGATTGAGACATCGACTGAGAATGAAGTTAATGGATTGATATACTTATGTTTATGTATGAATGTATTTCTTTGAAATTATAGTTTTTTACTCATTTTTTTATTACAACTACAACACAGCCGAATCAATCTCCATCGTCTCGTCGTCGTATTCTTGTAAGGTTTATTGTTGTCTTTTTCTTAGTTATCTTTTTTTTCCGAATGATCCTTGATCATGGTTCAGGAACACCAACACTCAATCGGTAGCAGTACCTATTTTGCTCGTTTTTGCATGCGAGCTACAGAAACCAAGACATATAAAAGACAAGCTCAAAAATGGCTTGGATCGAGCGTTTACTTCTATGACGAGGTATTTTGTCTTGTTCGCTACCATGATCGCAAGATTCATCAACACCAAGAACCGCATTGTTTTGTACACAACAGAAAGCAGGTGATTCAAGACCACTTAGGAGGACTTGATGAAAGGGGATTTCTTCGTGCCAGCTTAGTAGACTAAATGTTATAGTTATAGGACGCACAAAACGAAAATCGTCCTAATCATGTTATAATTTGCGTGGTAATCCTAACCTGGGATTTCGACCACAATCTACGACGATGGTAAGATTGTAGAAGTGAAGTTTGAAAGCTGAACATCAGAATGCTGCAGTTGTTCATATTCAACTGATGATTGACGAACTTGAAGAAAAGTAGAAATATCAGCACATTGAGATTGATTGCTGATGCGACCGCGCCGCCTTGATTGTGCAGCATTCTGAAGGATTTGTGTTCTGCGAACGATGACGGAGATCAAGTGACTGGACAGCAGCGATAGGGATAGCCAGGACTTCTTGCAGTCGATTTAATCGTGATTTTCTGGAGCACCACGTCCGAGATTTTTAGGTATCTGTGTCCAGTTTTCCGGTGTAGTATGGTCAGATATTGTCTTGTCGATCTCATCTTCGTATTTGGAGGTTTCTCCGTGACGAGGTCAGCTTAGTACTTGCCCTTAATTCTTGTGATGCCGTCGTCCAGGATCTCAAATATGGAGATCGCTTCAGTTCTTGAGCATGTTCATCACGATCAAGTTCATGATTAAAGTTCTCTGTTATTTGCTGTCGCGGTTGTGGTTGAACTTCAAAAACTCCTCTCTGGCACGAACTGAAGAATCCGAGCGATTCTGTTTTTGATTTTCCACGACCTTCGTGACTACGTATTGGTCGACACGTGCGAAGCATTAAACGACTCTCCGGGGGCCGCTGTCTCCACAACATCAATTTCGGATTGCGGACGTGAGCAACCGTTACCGGTTTGTGATTCTATTTTCTTGATTTTTGAGTTTGAGTCAGTTCGATTTCGTTACCAACGCTATCGTAATTTCTTCATCTTCATATTCATCTGGACGTGGACGAAAGCCTAAATAGTCCTTCCCATGGATTAGCTTTTGTAACTGAGTACGCGGCCTAGCAGATTGATACACGTACATTTGAACTTGAATCAGCTGGTAAGAATATGTGTGCGAAGATGAGGCCTGAAGCAAGCAGTCACGTACCAGACAATCTTAAGGGGAATACTGGAGTTATGTTGCAGCGAGGCGAAGACACTAAGATGATTCTGCGTCGCCGCCAACAAATTGATGTGATCAAGCGCAGGCGTTTTGATCCTGATGAAGATGAAGCCAGCGCAAGTGACAACGGAGAACAAGTCGAATGTGCTAAAGAAGAAGACGGAGAGGAGAATGACAATGAGCAGCTGTATTGTACAACCACCGTGTCCAGCAACTACACGGGAGCAGCGGCAATGGCTAACTTTGTGGGTTCTTCGATAAAACCGGATCACGACGATGCGATGGTACTCGCTGGTGTTCCTTTCTACCGCGTTGGAGGTGACAATTTGGCCTGCTCTTTCTATTCGAAAATCGGTGCGTGTCGACATGGAAACCAGTGCTCGCGCCGACATATCAAGGTCAGAGAATCCAGAACCGTGCTGCTTGCGCATATGTATCGCGGTCTAAAATGATATCATGTTTACCCTACTACATTTCGTACAGGCGAATCACAGAAGCAGTGTAAAGAACGTAGTGCTTGTCCACTCTTGTTCAGCCATGTAATCTATCATGCATGTGTGTACAAATAATATATTGTCATAATGCGGTAGTAGTTCGACTCCCCGCCTTTTAATCTGTTCTTGTTGTAGATGTCGGCCAAATTACTAAAGTGATCACTCAAGAATATTACTGCTTTTGTACAATGCTGTTGCTGCTTTCCATGGATGTCCTCATTCATTACTAGCGAGCATCGAGCCACTTTTTGTTGCTTGACCTACCTCGTATGTATGTTTAGCTTTTCCGGTTCATCTTCGTGTTGCAGCCAACGGTACTGGGAGGTTTTTTCGTCTTTAATTGCTTCAGGTTTGCAGATACTTCGGAAACTTTAGCTGTATCTTCAGATCCGCAGCCGGGATTGAGCGCAGTGACCGAGAAGGTCTACGATACTGCAAGTCGGCAGATCCAAGAGTTCTATGAAGAAATGTTCTACCAAATGTCGAAGTATGGAGAAATCGAGGACGTCATTCTAGTCGACAATCTTGCGGCGCATGTAAGAAAGCTCTATATTCCATGTAGACGTAGAGATATGGATACCTAGACGAGGACGATAATCGTCTTTGATGTTATAAATATATGTTCCAGGGGTGGAGGCCCCCTGTGGGACTTACGGAACGCCGTAGAGCTGTTCGCGACGCGTGACGCCCACCGCGTGACGCCGAGAACTTCGGGGGGAGACGAGACTACTGCGCCCAACTTTAAGCGTGACGCACCACGCGACTAACTCGCGCGATGATGTGCTTCACGTGTCACGCGGCGGCGCGTGGTCCGCGGGTCTTTGGTCGGTCCGTGGATCTTTGAACGCTCGGCGGATCTTTGATCGATTCGCGGGCTTTTGGTAGATCCGTGGGTCTTTGATCGATCCGCGGGTCCTTGATCGCTCCGCGGTTCCTCGATCGATCCACGGATTGGCCGGCCCGTGGATCCTTGGGCGATCCGTGAGTCCTTGATCGATCTGTGGATCCTTGGTCGATCCGTGGATCTTTGACTGATCCGCGGGCCCTTGATCCATCCGTGGGCCCTTGGTCGATCCGTGGGTCTTTGATCGCACGCGCCGGGGATCCTTGGCCGATCCGTGGATCCTTGGCCGATCCGTGGGTCACTGACCAAGCCGCGGGACACTGATCAAGCCACGGGCCCCTGATCAATCCACGGATCGCCGGTCGATCCGTGGGTCTTTGATTAATCCACGGATCACCGACCAATCCGCGGATCCCTGGTCGATCCGTGGGACTTTGATCAATCCGCGGGTCACTGATCAATCCGCGGATCCCTGAGCAATCCGCGGATCACTGCGCAATCCGCGGATCACTGAGCAACCCGCGGGTCACTGATCAAGCCGCGGGTCGCTGATCAATCCACGGATCACGGATCGATCCGCGGATCCCTGGCCAATCCACGGGTCACCGATCGAGCCGCGGGCCACTGATCGATCCTTGGGTCGCGCGTGCCGCGTCATGTGTCACGCGTCACGCGTCAAAGAAGAGCAAGAAGGTCACCCTTATAATAGGGGGCGACGCGGTGGGAGTAATGTGGACAGCTCTACGGCGTTCGGTCCACCTCACGAGGCTCCCTCCTCCGTGGATGGAGCGGCGGCGGCGTCCGCGTGCCCTTTTTTCCACGGTGATGACATGTAAGGACTCCCAGGGGTGAAGGCCTCAAAAGGCCGAGCCGGAGTCCCCTGGCGACTCTCCGCGCGTACCCCACAGGCCTCCCGCCTCTTGGGTCTTATCTTATCAGGGGGACGGCCTCCGGGGAAAGAAGGCCGCCGAAGGCGGCGACGGTCGCGAGGCCTGGCCCCTTTGGCCCTCTTGAGGGGCAGCAGGGGCCAAACTCCGCCAGTGAGGAGCCCGCACGCTGGAGGTCGATGGGGTACGTACATGCAACACGGCAAGGGGGTCAAGCCTTTGCCGCCTTCGGAAGCCTTCCGCCCCTGGCTGTCGGTGCTTGAAGTTGAACGGCCTCAGGGATTTGGGTTCTGCAGGGTACATGCAAGAAGCCGCGAGGGCTCGGCGGTGGGCGTTTGGGGGCCTTCCTGCCTGGCGGTCCCCCGGGAAAAAGGGCCAGGGGCTGGAGGCCCCCCCTCCCCCCTCGAAAAGTTAGATTGGGGGGGGCTTGGCCCCTGGAACATATATAGGGTAAGTGATCCTCTGACTCGGAGTATCTAACTACATCTTTTGACATACACGCTCACGCACTCATCCACGATCATCACAAAGTTTCTACTAGGTACTTCCAGTTCCAGTTCTACTTCTAGACCTACCATTCCAGGCAGCTGACACCACATTAATCATCCACTACTTCATCTGCAGATGACCGGTAACGTGTATGTGAAGTATTTCATCAAAGAGGCGGCAGCAAGGGCACTGGAAAATATCAGTGGCAAGTTTTATTGCGGACGCGTGATCAAAGCTGAGCTAAGCCCTTGTGTTGAGTTTAGGGATGCCCGTTGCAGTGCGTTCACCGAAGGAACGTGTCCCAGAGGACAGTACTCCACTTTGCTATGTTTCTGTACGAAGACTGGAACTGCATCAACTGCAAGTCGAACAGCAGACAGGTTGAGCTTTTACTAGTCCTACAAGTTGTACATCGTCGTCTACTACACCCGGAGAAAGTGGAGGTAGAAGTTGTTAAATCATATGGTACTCGTACCTGCTACTGCTTCACTGTACCTAAAGTGTTTACAGTGACAGGCGAAAACATCCTGCTCTGTGTAGTCGCCTTTTAAACAAAACAGAAATTGCAACTTTTTGCATCCACGGCATGTGGCGCGTGCTATCAAGCGACAGTGTGTCTTGCAAATGTATGCTGATCACCCGGAATACCTTGCGGCCAGAGAAGCGGCTGGAAAGCCCATCAGGTGGACGGCCTGCGACACAAAGAAAAGAAAAGTTGAGTACTCAGATTTTGCTTTTCTCATTTAGTCATACAAATATCATCAGAATGATCTGAAAAAATTTTCTTTGTAATATTTGTAATTCGTTTAGTTGACTTCTTGATTTCTGCAATCAGTGGGCATCATTTTCATGGGATCCACCTGCAAAATTCTTCTTAGCTGGGCACACGATGAGCAAGCTCGGAGAGAATTTACAGCGCTGTGGTGGAAGGCTTTTAGAGAGCGGCGTGAGAAAGAGAGGCAAGAGGCCTCTTTTGATGTCACACCGGCGAATAGTTTTGGCAAACCGAGATGGGGTGAGCCTACGACACGGCGCGCGGCTGACGGTAGTGATGTCTATCAACTAGCGCTTAATATTTATTTCATATCCATAGCTTTAGGTACTATGTATTAGAATTAGCAAGAAAAGCCAGCACATCCACTTCCACCTGGCTGATGCTCATGCAATTGTTTTTGGTTTTGTACTGCTGCACATCACGATTTAACTTTTTGTTCAGGTAAAGGTGGCTTAATGTTTTTCGATCGCATCAGGAAGGCTGCTGAATCCTCAAGGTCCCTTTCTAGAACTACAAGCAACCGCAACATTGTGGCACAAGCTGAATGCGAAAGAGCTCCGTCGTCCTATGTTCGGAAAAAGAAGAAGCGTGCTCTTGTCGCCGAACAAAGTCCGAGATCCAAACGAAACGCACGCTCAATTGACGGTGACAAGACGGGTAGACATTACACTAGCAGGAGCGGTAGACACGGGAGTAGTGAGAGGCCAACTGGCCGCGAAGTGGATCGCTTGGAGACCAGCATGAGAAAGAATTCCGCGACCGCCTGTCGAGACACACTTCCTCCCCCTCCTGGAATAGATTCGAAGTATATTCCCAGTAGAAGTTCTAGTAGTACGGGCCAGGTCGGCCTTCTGCTGCCACCACTAGACTCCGTCAACACCACGGCAGATACTTGCAGCGTGCCGGTGACTCCTCTCCACGAACAACAAGATGCGCAAGAGCAGGGAACAGAGACGCCCACAACCACCGCTGATGGCATCCCCATCGCAGCCAAATTGATGCTGCCCATGGCAATTTCCACGAGAGCTGCTACACGAACACATGTTCATGTTGTGGGTTATGCTAGCGCAGCAAGAACAAGTACATCGACGCGAAATTTGTCTGGTCCGGGAGTTGGAGGTTGGACTGGGACTGACTTAATTCTCGTGGACTACATCACAGGGAACCCAAGAAACAGCCTGACTGCGAGTGATATGATCGGTCCGCCTGCTGCTCCAGTTCCATCTTTCTCCTCGGCCACTCGTCGCTTCGATGCTCCCAGTTGAGAGTTATCGATTGCGGCATGGAAATTTCTGCGAAGTGAAACTAGCTTTGTATAGCACGCCGAGGATGAATTCGACGAACGCACCATCATCTATTGATAGACGAAAAGCAGCTTTTCCTAGGATGAAAAATGCAGTATCACGACCACCTGAGCAAAATGCTACCCGTGACCTCCTTGGTGATGGTCCTCTAGTGCTGACTAGGGCTGCAACTACGGCTACAACACGTTGTGAATCCTGCCGTTGATCATGTCACTGCAATCTCTCGATCGAGGAGCCGCTGTCCTCTTCTTCCTCTTCGTTTTCAACTGTACGTAGCGACTGACGCATCCATCGTTGGGAGAAAAGAATGGTACAGACCAACAGGAGTACCAAGCGCACTAGAGGCCTCAGCCCCATCGAATATTGAACAACGGAATACGTCCTTCCTTTCTTCTTGTGGCTGTGCTGACATAATGGGAGGCCCACACACGCGACCAGCTTTTCCTCGAGGACATAATGCTCTTGGAGATGCGTGAAAAAATTCATAGAATCGTAATGGTGGTCGAATAAGAGTTTCAAGCTGAATTTATGTCAATGATAAGGAGGTTGAAGGCAGTGCAACTTTGGAGGACAATATTATCGAGGTCGATGTACTACAAAATCATGCAATGTTAGCTCCGGTTCGGGTTTTTGAAAATCGCCTAGCCATAGGTAGTACATAGCAGATGCAGAATCTTCCAGAGGAGACATGGGAGCGTGCAGAAGAACTCTTGGAAAATTTCCTAACGACACAGCTAGAAACTGCCACGGCCATTTCTTGCAACTACTTCTACACCCCTCAGAAGATGAGGACATGGACAATCACAAGCATTCGGAGTCGGACAATCAAAGACCTACCGGCACGAGCATGAATATGATGCATGCATATACTGAAGACATACATGACTGAGGTTGAAGATGTTGCCCCTTGTTATTTTGTGGAATATTTAAATTGTTTGCTTTGTTTTTTAGGAAAATTTCATATCCTGTGTCTGAATCAGTGATAACTAAGCAGACTGATGACAATCAACGACTAGCACTAGCGGACTTCAAGAAGGAAGTCGCTTTTATTTCGTACTAGATCGCTTCTAGATCGCTTCAGATTCAGCATGGCTTAAAACATCTGGGACAGGAATTCACTTCAAACAATATGGAAATGCGGGACAGCTTAACTATCCGTGAGGAATAGTGAACGCGTATGCGGTAGTTTGAATGTCAGCCCGTGAAGGATCGTGATTATATTTATATATATAAGTAGTCCTTACCTCCAGAAGGCCGCGGAGTTTCCTTGTCCGTATTAATTGATTGTGGCAAACACTGACGACTTACTAAAAGAGAGCGCGATGAGGCTGCCACACGCAGAGGTCGTTTATGAAACCGCTCATCTTCAATCAGTCGCAGCCAAGTATTGTTTTTGTAGTGCGTCATTCATGAACAAGTAGCGAACACAGTCGTTCTTTATATCACGGCAATAGCGTGGCCCAGTTTTTGTTGTTTGTAGTAAGTAGCTCAAATGGCCGGCCACTGACCAGAGTGATAAAGTTGCCTTTTGCTCCTTGTTGTGGTTGTTCCTTCTGTGCCTGTCTATGACCTTGCTGGTCCTTGCTTTACTTACTTAGTGCAGCACTAGGCTGATCATTATGTTGCTGATGGTAGTTATCATGCTGATCCTAGAAGTGCGTTTACGGATCTACCATGTTGTTGGTGTTGATCGTCATCCTGTTGGTGATATTGATCCTGATCATCGTGCTAGTAGTGTAGTGGTGATAGATCTTAGTTACTTTCTTCACACGGTTAATTGGTGCTACAGAGAAGCACAAGAACACAGAAAACCAAATTAGAAAAGGCATTCGCGGCGCAAGCAAGACAGCTGCAGCGATAGCACGATCCTAGTGGTGCAGAGCAAAACAAAGCAGCTCATGAGTGGAGATTCCTTCCGATGACATGCGAATGAGACCGATGATCTGTCTTATATCGATTTTGCAGTTGTTTGAATTTGATCTCTTATTAATCCTGGACAAGGAGGCCGTCGAAAGATGAGAATCGTTATTTTGATATTTTTGAGATATGTAGCTAGGTGAAGAAGCCAAATTCTCCTGCGGTAGACAGATACAAAATTTTATCTGTTTTTGAAGTACGTACAACCTACAACTACAAGTCACTTATTTGTTAATTTTCTTTTCAAGTCAAAGATACGTTGCAGACTCCACCTGCACCTGTCGTGTCCGGCGTGTCCCGCGTCAACATGACGGAGTTGCTTTCGAGAAAAACGGCGACCTCGCTAACGCACAGGCGGCGGGTGCGGGTGTACAGGAAAAGCCTGCTGCAGTGACTACTCACATGCACCAGTTGATGATGTGGTAGAGAAGACAGCATCGAGGTGGACATCTCCTTCTTGGCGCATGTACGATCATGGAGCTCGCGGAAAAGGCGGATGAGCATCGCACCTCGGGGACTCGGGGACAAGATATGTGGCCATCATTTCGCGGTCGATATGTCGTGGTGCCATATTTCGGCGTCGGGATTTGTATCGGGGAGAGCGAGCTTGGTGAAATCGTAAACAGGAACAAATCGTCGAAGAGTTCACCGCGAGGCAAGGACCTCCGATCGCCGCTGCCGGCCATCTCCAATATGTTGAGTGCAACATCAGCTGAGCCACTCGATATAGCTTGTTCACCTCCGGGAAGTACAGGACGATCCCGTGCGCGGCGACATTCACAGCGTGTTAATGTTGGAGATTTGATGTTGACTGTGCGGTTGATCCAGCGCACTCATTCCAGCTTTCCCAGTACAACCGGAAGCACTCGAGAGATCTCGACGCGCGTTGGTGACACACCCTCGTTCTTGCGTTCGCGCGGCAGCAAAAGTTTAATTGCAGGATCAAAATCGTCGAAGCTTGGCGGCCCTGCTGGTGCAGTGCATTGCCGCTTATCTGTGCGGGACCTGCTGAAAGCGAGCAAAGCGCCGATTGGAGCATGCGTCAATACCAAATTGTTCAACTTTGGCGCTGGCGTGCTTGTGGGGTGGCTTTCGGAGACTGAAGTTCACGTGGTAGAGTTCCCACGGTTCGCTCCGACGACGACACTTGCCTATGTTTCCAAGAACGAAATCATGCTTCCTGACCTCTGCGACTTGTGCTCCTTGTCATCCGCGCGCAAAATGAACGAACGCTACCTAGATGATGAAGATGGTTACGATTCTTTCCATGTCGAAGACGGCTCCACCTCCATCGTGGAGAATGTTGACCAAGATGCTCAAAGAGAACATGATGTTGAACGAGGAGATGTGAACACCTCCACTGAGAGGTTTTCATCTTGGAACTTACCACCAGCTTGCGTCGGACTAAAATGCGAAACTTCGAATGGGATCGGGGTGATCGTTGCATGTGAAAAACGGAGAGGTGCGCTGTTGAGCCCAGCTCGAATCGATGAGCAACTGTGTGTAGAAGTAGATGGTACAACAACTAGTCCGATCGAATTTGACGATATTGGAGCAGAAAGTACTTACAAGGACCATGCTCAAATGGGCAATGGAGTAAGGACGGCGGGTCTACTTGAACCCGAAAAGTCTTCCACGTCCCCAGCCAGCAATTATGGAGGTGCGGCAGCAAAGGCAAAGCATGCAGGACACTTGAAGATCAAAACCACGAGCTTGGATGATTCACCGAACTCAAACTGTTCTTGGAAAGTCGTATTTCCCGATGGCGCCGTTGGTTATTACAACTCTGTGACAGCGGACGCGAGATACTTTCCGATTTTGGCGGTCGCGCGTCAGCGGTGGCGAATACGTCAGATGAAAACCTTCGCGATTTTGGACAAGCTCCAGAGATTTGCCGAACGCGCAGGCCTGGTGCCATCAGCGTTGTTGGAGGAGGCTAAGGAAGCTTCCCTGAAAACCGTTAACAACCTGCGAGAGACTGGTGAGCGTCTCAACAAGGCACTGGCTGACACCTCTGAGGCCGTGATGCCCCTGAGTAGTCCACAACGGCAGCTCGAAGACGGTGCGTCAATAGCTAGTACACTCGCGAGTACTACAACGTCGATTAGAGAAGGTTTCCGCTTAACGACCACCGATGGACGATCGTGCCAATTGCATGAAATAATAGAAGAGGAAGATGATGATTTGCTTCTCTCATTTGAAGAGCCATTGTCGGATGCTGAGGCACTAGAACAGGCCGCCGAAATCGCGCAACTGGATGCGATCTTCAACGACTGCTACGAGGACGCAGACGAATTATCTCCGGAAGATGACATTGATGACGAAAAAGACCATGGCGTGTCATCGTCATCCAGCACGACAGTAGGAGCAACACGCAGTAGCTCTTCGCCTTCTTCGAGAAGCGGAAAAATGTCACCCGCAGCTGCAACATTTGCCGCACGTCCGGCATGGTTGGCAGACGAGCTTAGGAGGATGGGAGTTGGTGAAGAAAGAGATGATGCCACAGTCACCGAACGAAACCTTTCTGAACTAGCTGGTGCTGCAAACGGCTCGTTTGACAAAGTTAACATTGCACACAGCGAGGGCGATATTGCCCTCCGCTTCCGAAATAGTAGCACAGCTCAACATAGAGAAGACGCTGGTACTAGAGCGCCCACGAGCGGAAATTCGCCGCTTCAGTCTTTGAGAGGCGTGTCAAATACTTCGCCGAGCTCGACTCTTCAAAAAAGTGAGGGTGAGAAGAAAGTCGAGCCCACCGACGCCGAACGAGAACAAATTCGAGCACAAGTTCGGCGGCTACGCGACGGCATTGAGGCGGAGGCGCAACTGACGGGTGACGTCGTTGTCAAGGAGTTCAAAGGCGTTATCGGAAAAGTCGGAGAGGGAGTCGTGAAACTCGGTGCAGAGATCCGTGACGACGAAGATGTGAAAAACTTGACAAAGCAGGCGGAGCAAGCCGCGTCGCGCGTAAAAAATGCTATCGAAAGTAGTCTCGAAAACATCGAGGAAACCGCCGTTGGAAGTGCCGTACGGGACCGAGGGGAGCGCTTGCTGGAATCACTGCGACAGATCCAGCAAACGGCCACGCCAGCCCTCACTCATGGTGCTGACGCGGTTGGGACTTCGCAGTTGTCAGAGCAGCTGCAAGCCGGGACGAACAAGATTTCTGCAGAAGTCGAGAATCTAGGTCGCGGCCTGCTAGCCCGCGAGGAAATATGGAAAAGCAAAGGAGTCGACATCTTAGCCTCGGTCCAGCAACGCTTCTTAAAACGAAATCCACACTGGTTGGAACAAACACGTCAAAAGATTGTGGAGGTCTTGCAAAGGGAGGAGCTCCAAGACGGCGGACAGACGCTGCTGTCCAACGTATTCCGTACTCTTAAAGTTCTTTACTCAATCCAATGCTGTTGATATTATCTTCGCGATACTACAACCATAATTTCCATTTTTCTCTAGTTGGATTATTTAATGCCGCTGTTGCACTCTTGATTATCATTCTGTTAATTTTTCTTCCGCTCCTCCTCAAACAGCTGGAAGACGAGGCATCAGATGCGATAGCGTCACTTCAATCCGGAGGAGGTGGCGGATTTTCAGTGCGACAGAGACTCGCTGCTGCCACCGCAAAATGGGTTGAAACGTTTGCAAAGCCTGAGCAAAGCGCTTTGGAACTCCTCGAAGTGTGGGAAAACAAGGCACAGAACTTGGATTACCTCGACCAGCTGGACTTGCCTACTGTTCTCGAGAAGGCTGGCATCAAGCTCCCGCCAGGTTTGCAAAACTTACTACCGGGATCTAGTTCACCCAAAGCCGGAAAGTCGAGTCGCGGAAATAGAGATCATCAAGGCAGCACAAGTGGCAAGAGTAGAGGTGGACATAGGAACAGGGAAAAAAAAGGGGCGTCGCAATTGTTGCAGTCGAAAACGCTTGCGTCTCTAAACCTTTCCGCGTCAGACTTCACGACCGATCCCGTGAACGCAATCAGCAAGATCCTAGGGAATGAGCGAGTCGCCGCTAAAGCGGACCTCGCTCTGGGCAAAGTCGACGGCATCCTGAAACAAGTGAACACCATCATCCCCTCAGATGTTAGCGCTATCCAGAATCTTCTAGGTTTAGGTAGCCTTGGCGGAACCGCAAACGACACAACAGCTGCGAGCAGTTCGTCCCAAGCAACGCCGTCGACTGGGGCATCGGGCACGTCGACGCAAATATATTCGGACGTGAGTTCTTCATCTGAAGCAGTGGGTATTCCTGGAGGCGTCTCAAATTCCGGGCAAGCTCTTTCGAAAGTGGGAGAAGAACAAGATCAAGAAGAGAAAAATGTCGTGTCCAACCAAATTTTATCGCGCCTTGAAACATTAGATGTCGGTGAGGTGTTTGACCGCGCGGAGGACGCAATCGATCGCCTCATGGATGCTGACAAACGCAATGATTTGCTCAATTATGTTCCCTCCATCTATTTATTCGTTGTATCATGATTGTTTATTGAGTCCTTCTGAAAATGAGAGGCTAGTATCCACCACCCCCTAGAAAGCTACCTATGAATACCTTTGTCGGCACTACAAGAACTACAGGGAAATAACAATAAAGAGTACAACAGCATGCTCTGCGCTAATTCATCCAGATGCTGGATCGTGGTATCGATTTTTTGATGGGATTCTTACCAAACATCAAGATCGCGGAGTTGGGTGGGGAATCCGAGGACCTTATTTACGAGCTTGAAAATCTCGATTTGGCGGGATTCAAGCTGAAGAAAGAGCTATGGAGGAGGAACGATTCATCAACGAACATCATGAACACGAGCCTTATAGTTGTACTCTAACTACTACTACTACTTGTATCATGTCTTGTGACTGATTAATTTTTAATTATCGGAGTTATATTTTTTTTGATGAGAAGCTTGATTGCACCTTTGTTGACTAAGTATTTGGCTTGAGATGATCGCTCATGAAGGTCTAATTTAATGCGTGAAGATGTCTCTCAACACGAAGCCGGGCGATCCGCGTCTCCTGGATTTTCACTTGTGGGACATGAGCTGTGAGATTCGTGATTTGCGATTCAAGTACAAACAGAAAAAGTTCCCGTTTCTACGCGGTCACGGCCTAGCCTTTGCACTGGCGAAGGATGTTAGTCTGCATCTTTCCTTCGTTGTTAAGTGGGTCAAAGAGGAAGAGCAGCCTAACGGAGGTGATGCAAACAGAAATACAAGAGCGGCATCTTCCTCATCTTCGGCTTCGATGGGAGATTTGCTGGAGGGCAGCGACCATGAACAGATAAGCGGTGCCGCTGAAAAAAGAGCTTCTGACGACTCTGATAGCTCCCGTCCTAGCATATCAAACAGTGAGATGAGCAGCAACGTCTCGTCAGACGATGACGATGATGCTGGGTCACTTGTTTCAGGAGAAGAGCCTACTTCTGGGAGGAACCCAAGAACTTCTACGACGAGTGCTGATGATGTGACACAACATCATACGGGTCAGCAGCGGGCAGGACCGGCTGCAGCGGGTGGTTGGTATCCTGTGCTGGAGATGGATCGAAACGAGATGCGGATCGGAGAGTTGCATATTCATGTAGAGGAAACGCGTTTTGCATGGTTGTACAACATTCTATCCCGACTCTTTGCGAGCCTGATCCAGACGATAGTCGTCGCAAAAATTCAGGAACAGCTGGCTAAACACGTGAGCGACTTCTCTCAAACGCTTTCTGTAGTCCTTTCGCATGACCTGGTGCGTCCGTTCGTGGAGACCTTGCGACCTCAAGCAAACGCCCCAGCAGACGATCAGATCTCTAATGACCAAACATCAACCGTTGATGCCGTAATGATAGGGGATCTTGAGAATCGGAAAAGTGCTGCTGGGGCAACAAGCAATATCAAAATAGCAACGCCTTCTGGGGCTGCTTGTCAGGCGGCGTCTTTGTCAGCGTCTGGTAGTACTGTGCGACCTAGCCGAGTAGATCCTGATGCCGCAGCGAGATCAGGTCCGATAACAACCTACGATGCGCAGGATGTGCTTTTGGGTCAGAAAAGCAAGGCTACCTCAACACAGTCTTATCAGACTGCTAGCAACGGTTCTGAACCGACCACGGGTGCGCCCTTATCAGTTTCAATATCGAGGGACAATGTAAACGTTGACTCCACCGTTGCAGCAACGCCTAGTTCCTCGTCGTTCGGCTTTTTTGGTTCGTCTTCCGACCGATCACGAAATACGGTTTGGAGTTCCGAAGTCGTTCTGACACGCCGCCGAGGTCAGTTTGGATTGGCTGAGACGCGGCTTGCGCCTTCAAAACTCGAAAATGACTCAGCAGAAACGTCGAAGACGAGTACGGAGGGACGACCAGAAGCAACGGCAGGAACAGACGATGCAGACGACGGAAGTCGCGCCACATTAGCGTCTGCGTTCCGGACTGACTCGCGAGACGGTGACGAGGGTGAAGAGAACGAGGACTCGGAATTCAGTATGGTGCATTGGGATCTTCCAAGGCGCCTTCGCTTAGAGGAATACCCACAGATTGTAGAGAATCCTGTGTCACCGAAATACGATGCTCTCCGAAACAAGACCAGAAAGCCACCTTCTGCCTTGGATGAAACAGATCTGGAGAATGTTGTTGAGGTTGAAGATGGTCTTCGAGCTAGTAACAGAAAACGGAATGCGAGTGCCAGCAGTGGAGAAGCCGCACTACAAGAAGATCAACAAAATAGCGTATCTGCTATGGCCAGAAGTTCCGGCGTGAGTCTTCAGACGGCCTTGCTGTTTGAAGATGACTATTTTCAACAAATCCAAGCGGATGCGGGAGAAGCGCGAACCGAAAATGTGGACCGGGACTTGAGCCAAATATATTTTTCAAGTCATTCGAGGGAGACCCTGGAAGAACCCGACAGTGAAGGTACGGCTGTAGTTGAAGGCACGTCCCCATCTTCGTGGCGCAGTTGGGCTGCTCTATTTTCTGGAAGCTTCGTGTCCTCAAGGCCAACGACTTCGCAGCGCTCACGCCGATTGAGCTTGAGCGCGATCCCGGCTACTTCCTCTGGTTTATCGCCTAAGGTAAGACGAGATGGCGAAGTTGAGGAACGATCGCCGACGGAGCGGACGGCTAATCAGCCTCGCGCAGTCTCACCGAGCCTCGCAATCAATAGAGAAGGCATTTCTTATCGAGGCACCGGAATTGTCACTGTAGATGACTTTTTGCTGCCTGGAAGTACATCACAAAATGGCCGAGCGAACACGGGATCAAAGAGCGAACAAGATCTATCACAGGTGAGAAGAAATGAGCAAGACGGAAACAGGATGCGGTCGCGCGATAGCGACAACGATGCAGCGACTATTCTAGTTTTAGGCAGAAAAAATGCCGGAACAGTGTCCGACCTTTCCACAGAAGTGGATCATGGTTTTTTAGTCCTCGATAGTGGAAATTCAACAACAAGACAAGAGCTAGCAGAAAGTGTGGCAACCGCATGCATGCGTCGTGCTATTGCTCTTCGTGTCGCTGCGGCCTCCGCAGCCGACTTCTGTGCTTATGCAAGAATACTTCAGGAAAGCGGCTCCTTGTCGACAGTCGATGTCGATCAGCCCGGCACGAGAAGAATAGTAGAAGGTGCGTCTTCGCCAAGGGAAGCATCCTCCGCCTCTCTTGACAATGAAGGCAGACCGCAGAACGCTCAAAAGATGGCTAGCGCCATTTCACCTTCTATTTCTTCATCATCATCTTCGTCTCTCGCGCCGCAAACTACTCCTCTCTACGTGTATGGCTTGCCTGCTGAACGTGCACTCACCACCTTGTGGGAGACTCAGCCTCCTGCCTTGAAAAAACGTATGCTAGAGGCGAAGTTTCGCGTTCAGGAGAGCTGCATGTTGAAAGGTCCATGGACACGCCTTGACGAAGATCTAGCACGCGAAGTGCTTTCGATAATCTCAGAGATAGCGCGTGAGCGCGAGGGAACAATCGATAGTCCGTGGCTGAAACTGCACTGTCTGGACTTTCTAGCGGCGTCCTATCGACGACAACTGCTGTCGCTCGTTCAGAAAATGACTGAGCAGAAGCATAATCGAGGCGCGAAGGATACTTTGTCAAAAGATGCGTTATCCTCACCTTCACGACGTCGCATAGACGAGTTGTTTTCCAACCATCGTAAGTTATGGGAGCGATCGCAAATCTTGTTGGACTACGTTTTTCGGACGAACAGGGACTTCCTACGCGCACAGGGATGCACTAATGACATGCGAACAGAGCTTCTACTGAAGCAGGGAAGGATAGCGACGCTGCAAGTCAGGTTACAGGCAGAAACGACCGAGGACGAAATCATAGATCCTGCGCTTTTCGACGCGCTACTGGAACTGCTAATAGGTTTTCTGAGCGCCAGGAGGCATGTACGGGATCGCACAGGTGCGATAACGGCTTACGCGCCTGCTGCTCGTGTAACGACCGCATCGTGATTTAATGCGTAATAATGTTCCAGTAAGGACTGGCGTCTTGACGCTGTCATGCCATAGAATCGATGTCGCCACATTACGTTGAACCAGAACACACATAGATTGTTCTTTTACCATATGATGCTCATGCCGGTCCATCGTCGGTATGAACGTTCACCCAGACTTTTTCACATTTCTTCAGACATGATTTCCATCTATTCGACTTTGAAAATAAATGCCCTACCAAATTCATCATGCTCGTCGTGCATTACACGCCCGCGAGCTTTTCCATTAAAACTTTTCGACAGATTCAAACAGAATATTCCTGAACAAGAGCTGGATTTCGTGCAAGAACACCATTATAAGTTTAGATGAAAGTAGATAGCGTCTCACATGTAAAAATAATTATGAAATGCCCCACTGGATCCAAATGTTTTTAGGCTGATCACGTATACACGGTTAAAGGACAAGATTGGGACTTTGACCGCGCCCATCTCAGCAGGAATGCGGAGCTACTCATTGGGCGGCATCATGCATGCTCTGCGTCTGCGCCTCCCTTTTTCGATAACTTGGTTTTCTTGTTCATGTTCAACAAGAAAAAGACTGATCACAATGCCTCTCCTGGAAACAGGGGGCAACCAACAGGTTCTCTTGATCTTCCCTATGACGATCAGGTACTGGAGCATTTCGGAGCCGCTCCCACGTTGTTGATAGAAAGCACAATTTGACCTGAAGCTCGACAAGAGAAGTTCTAATTGTAGTTCGAAAAACAAAAAACATTGCCCGCCCCGTATTTCCCAATGGTGAATGCTAATAATGAAGTTGGATCGTCGTGCATCTTGATCGTGTCTAGGGTCTTTTCTGTCAAACAGCAGGTTATATATCAGGTCCTCGGAGGTCGCTGCTAATTTCAGCTTCTCAACATACGAACTACAACAGGTCTTTCAGGTGTCCGACAAAACCAGTATAAATTTCAATACGAATCCACTTGAGACCCAATTCAAACTATAGAAAACGACTGTGCTGGCCACCGTGATAGGAGGAGAACAAGGATTTTACGATGAATAATTCAATGGTGCGTCTGTAGATCTAGTGCGTTTACTTAAGATCGATTCGATAATTTAGATTCACTTTCTTTGCTCATATTGACTAAGCTACGACGATTTACTTTTATTGAATCCATAAAAAAAATTGTAGTTGTGTTAAAGGTGTCAAGAATAAAAAACAGGAACTGCGAGCGGGCACACAAATCAGGTTTGAGCGCGAAGTTAGCTGCAAGAGTGGTGCACTCACGAGCAAGACTTTGCTTGTTGTTTCCAGGCTAGTGGAAAGTTTTCTCAATGAATGCACGTTCAACTCGTTCATTCATCCTATTCATCTAAGTAATACTTGTTGTCGTAATTAAGCTCGCCCTCTCACGAGTCACGACTCACTATTGCTTCACTCATTCTTTGTTTGTTGTGATAATTCTGCTTTTTGATCAGAAATTGTGTATTCGCAAACAATGTCGATGCTAATGTCTATGCTGCAGGCGTAATTCGTTCGGACGAGGACGTCGACATTACTTGGGAACAAGATACAGTCAAATCACAGGAGATCGAAGGAACAAGCTCAGGCTAGCCCTATTGATAAGCTAAAAAGCTGTCAAGATGGCGAAGCATCTCGCGAATATTTTCGGTACAAATGAGTTTTTTTTCATACTTTTGGTGGCTAGATCATGTTGATCATCTCTATAACACCTCAAACATCTTCTTCTACACAGATCAACAGTCAGAAAATTTGTAATTCATTGAACTCGAATCTAACAGGTACCGAAGAGGATCGGGTGAACTGTCCGTTCTACTTCAAAGTCGGCGCATGTCGAAATGGAGATCAGTGCTCTCGTCAGCACAACCGGCCAACAAGCTCTCAGACCCTATTACTCAGTCATATGTACTCAAATACGCAGGAATCACTTGCAATAGCGAGAGAGGTGGACTGGACAGATGAACAATACGACACAGCACAAAAGCATCTCGAGCGTACTTGTTTTATCATGCAAGAAGATTTGTATTTGTAAAAATTGTATTGTACTAGATAGAAGTCTTCGAAGGAAACCATTGATTGTGATACATCCGATTCTGAATCTCAGGTTGCCAGCTTTGCTGATTTCATTTACGGGGAGAAATTCGATTTAATATTTATCCAATACATCCACAAAATGATCACAGAATTTTACGAGGAAGTTTTTCAGGAGATGGCAAACTTCGGGGAGATAGAAGACATGGTTGTCGTCGACAACATCTCGGATCATATGGTCGGAAATTTGTATGTCAAATATTACCGAGAGGAAGATGCAGAAAAAGCACTGGAGAACCTAACAGGGCGATACTATGGAGGTGAGCTGATTCAAGCAGAGTTTTCTCCTGTGTCCGACTTCCGAGAGGCGCGATGTCGGCAATTCCACGAATCAAGTTGCAATCGAGGCGGGTAATATTTTTCAGACGGTCGATCGGAATCGTATTCGTGGAATTTAGCTTTCAACATAAGGTCTGAATCGACATAACTCCTTTTCGGCAGTATTTCAGGTCTCGTCAATGATTTGCGACAGGATTTTCTTCATACCAAAACCTACCACTTCGCAACCCCTTGACAGGTACTGCAACTTTATGCATATCAAGCATATTCCGAAAGCAGTAAAGCAGCGGCTAGTGAGACAGATGTATGAGGAGCATCCAGAGTTCCTTGACAGAGACCGAAAAAAAAATAAAAAAAAATCGCGTTCCAGAGGAAGAGGTAGAGATCGTGATCGCGATAGGAACACTGAAACGGAAGGGCAAGAGCGGACTCGTGGCCGTGACCGGGACCGTGGAAGACGTGGAGATGACAAAAATGGCGGGTACTTTTGTGAGGTTATGATGATTACGATCATAGACCACACAATGCCTAAGCACGAGGATCTTCACCTCCTTGGTCGTACTACATCAAGGAATATCATCATAATTCATAGTGGAAAGAATACAAATAATTTTCTGGAAATCGATTCATGTTAACATCCATGAAAAAAATTTTCAAAACCAAAATTCTGGTACAGCGCGGGAGGAGGAGGCAATGGGCGTTCTGCAAGTGAGGAGCGACGAGCCATGATCGCACAGTGGAACGCGGATGATCAAGCGGGAACTTCAATGTAAGTAAAACTCTTCCGTGTTGTGTCTGCACGATGAAAACAAGGCGGTTTCCCAGCATTGCTCTACGAAGGAAACTCCTCGGCTGATGAATAAAGATGAGGCTAGGGCTTGTATCTGCATCCGCTGATGTTGCTCTGTAAATGCTATTGATAAAGATGGACGCATTTTTGGCTCGCCTCCGACCCTGTTGGGAATTACCCGCTTATTTACGCAAAAGTACCCCGCGGTCACACCAAATGGTTTTGCGACACGCAGCTCCAATAACATAAAGAAAAAATGATCGCAAAGATTCTATCGCAATTTGAATCTTTATATGCCATTCAAATGTAATTGGTTGTCGCTGTAATTTCCTTGAACATTTTCTCTGCAGTGACATCTGCTACGTAGAGGAAAATGACACTTTATCCGCTTCGCGATCCAGATCGTCGCCAAGAAAGTGTTCTCAGCAGCTCTCTCGTCACCATGACGACGATACAAGCAAAGGTTTTTAGTGTAAGCAAGCGCAGCAAGATACAAGGGCCAAAACTCTTCCATCATAATTTTTTTAGATGAACGGTTCAAAAAGACGAGAAAGAGATCAATGGTGATCTTGTCCATCCTAAATATGCATGAAGATCGAAAAAGGTTACTTGAAAATGAAGGTGGTGCCCTTTTTCCTGAGCAGCTACTAGTGTTACATCATTTTTACACGCGGATCACATACACATGCATCGTCTTTCTCTGAGGAAGTAATGTTTTGCTGCCATTTAGTTCTTCAGATCATAGAAACCATGTGCTGTAAAACACATCTGAATAAGACGGGCCGCGATAGGTACAACCTAGACTAGTATGGTTTTGATGTAGCTGTGCCTCTTCTTGTTGCTCTCGGGGTGTTGATAAACACTTTTATAGATGAGGAGGGAGGTCTAAGGCCGTGCCGTAGCTTCATGGACTAGTAGTTCCTTGTTTGGTTCTGATGGTGTGCTACTCCTTAGTTGTTCCACTTGATGATAAGCGTGCTGCATAGAAGAAATGCTGTCTCGTGTAGGTGTAGCGTCTGTTTTAGCGCAAGAAGAAAGAATTAGTTTTCATTTACTATCGGTATCGATCCGTTGTCGATCTTCCTTATAAATATATAAGTATGATCTGGTGTTAAGATGAGTTTGGCTTCTTGCATGATGTGGTTCCCACTGGCGCACGACCTGCGGACTCACCTCCCGGCGGCAGAGGAGAGGTGGGAAAGATAAAAAAGGCTCCAGATGGAAGGCGAAGGCGTCTGATCTGTTGTGTTCATGATTTGCTGTAGTATCACTGTTTTCTGATCGTTCATTTTGTTCATTCTAGTAAGTGGTAGCGGTACTTCTACCGTGTATGTAGTAGAAGTACAAGGAACATCAACTCAGGCAAATCAATCTAAGACTGTTGTAGTAGTATTACTAGTCAGAGTAGTTCGTTTTTAACAACCGATCCAGAACCAGTTGTAAAAGTCTTTTCAGATTGAAGGGACGGGGTCCAGTAGCGAAAACACAGTAAAAAATCTATGATTTTCAGCGGTTGATTTTATTATTCGCGAATGACCATAACAGGGGCACGACACACATGACATTATTTGCGAAGGCACAGTAAAGACAGCGTCGCCGATTTGCACAGTTTATTTGATTGACGCGCACAAAAAATGCGATTGCATAGCCCCAAGCGAATGCACGACCAAAAACGCTAGCACGACATATGCAAGATATTACTAGGCATTCGCGCATGTTACAGAAGATATCTTTGCCACATTTTCCTCACACAGTCTTTTTCTAACATCCCAACCCAGCAACAGGTGGATAAAGCAGGAGATTTGCTACTGGCTTGAGTAAAAGGAGAAACCAAATGGCATGGGCACGCGTAGATATTACTAGAGGCCGTAATCAGAAAAACCAGAGCTACACGTTCGAGTGGTTCGTGATCTTCAAACCCATTCTGATTCTTCTACTTGCAATGCTTCTTGTCATAAGATTTGCATATATGGTGATACACAGCGGTCAATACCACTACTAGGTCTAGCAGTAGAACTTCACTACGCGCATATTTGAGTAGTAGAAGTTGTCACAAAGTCGATATTTACCATACTTTGACTTTCGTCATTTGAGTATCATTTTGAAAAGTAGCAAGAGATGCATAACGGAGAAACAAACAATCGTCAAAAGAAGACTCTTCACGACATTCTTAGCGTGCCATGAAGGTATAATAGATCCAGCATCACCATCAGCATGCAAAATACTTTTTATCTGTAGGTAGACGCGTATCGTTTCGAATAAATTAGATAGCGGGGGCTCTGTTGATGTAGGATAGTGTCTGATAGAAGTGCTTCACCATATTACTTACGATGTCTAGACTGTTCCTAGAACTTGTTAGAATTCTACATCATTCTTGTTATTTTCGACGGTTCCTATCACCTAGTGCCTCGACGATGTTTAGATATTTATGAGTTTCTCCTGGAAGTAATACAATTTGAATTTATTGCTTGAGGTAGTGTTCGCGGTATAACATTAGATAGTAGATAAGGTGAGTGTCAATGATTCATTTTTCTAGGCTGGCAAGTGTTAATCTCCACAATCTTCAGCTGTCAATAATAGTATATGGTCCGTACACATAGGCCATAGGGGTAGATACGGTGCATGGGTATCACAGAAATTTCAATTTATAAGGTCAAGGCTCATGGTCAGAAAATCACAGGTGGGAGTTCTTGTAGAATTATTTCTACTCAACTAAAAGACCAGGACAAGATGATTGAAGATGGTGCTAATATGCTCTGCCGCCCCTTGTACGGAAGTACGGCCCTTTTTTCCGAAGACGCACATGGAACATGCCCCTTCTATCTGAAGATTGGTGCCTGTCGGCACGGAGACCAGTGCAGTCGCCATCATGTGCGCCCAACAAGCAGTCAGACGCTGATGCTGACTCATTTGTATTGATGCTTCGTTCCATGTTACATTTTTTTAGATGAGCTTTATTTTAGATGAACTTTTCCATTTTCTTTTTCCACCCAGGCACACGCCTTGATCTTGTTATTTATAGATTCTCATCTTGATCTCCTTTTTTCAAACGAGAACATGTCATGAACTCGACCTCCTCTTATTCTCTCAGATATCCAGTACCTGCAGCTTCTGTCCGCATAGCAGCAGGCGAACTGTGGGACGAGGAGGTTTACGATGCAGTTCAGAAGCACTTGGAGGATTTCTACGACGAGGTTTTCCACGAACTAGCTACCTACGGAGAGATAGAGGATATGATTGTGGCCGACAACGTGTCCGAGCACATGCTAGGAAACATTTACGTCAAGTACTTCATGGAGGAGGACGCAGAAAAAGCCTTGCAGAAACTCACTGGGCGATATTACTGTATTTCTCAACTGGTTTGATGCTTTCGCTGCAACATTTCACATGCGTGCAGTTCTGTGCTAGCAGCTCCATGATCACCTGATTTTTGACTGAGCTTTGCATATTTCCATAAGTATAGTCTTCTTGAAGCAAGTTGAGAAGACGAAGAGGAACTTGGATCATGAATATGTTACGATTATGAAAAATTTCTACTTCAGCTGGCCGTCTAATAAGAGCAGAGTTTAGCCCTGTGACGGATTTTAGGGAGGCGAGATGCCGCGCTTTTCATGAGGCGCGGTGTAATCGAGGTGGATACTGCAACTTTCTGCATATCAAGCATATACCTCGAGCAAATAAGAGACGGTTAATTCTGGAAATGTACGAAGATTTTCCACATTATGCGCATAAAAAAGAGCGTCTCCAGAAAAAAAAACCAGTAGCCCCAGTTGCATCATCTACACCTTGCGATGCGGGACCGGCCGCAGGTGCATATCCGCCAGGCCTCCCTTTTATGGCAGGAGGCCACGGAGCGATGAGTACATTACTCTAGGCTCATTCTTTCTCGACGAGAAGATAAACAAATATAGATATACCAAAATGATTAAACCACGCGATCAAGATCATCTCTTCCTCAGTCGTAATTCCTCAGACATTGTCAACATCGATTCCGTGATCCTCCTCGTGCAAATATCCTGAGTTTTGATGACGTTGACGTTGCACTTCTAGGTATGTGGGATCCCGCAAATGCTTGGTGCACACCTGCAGACATATGGGGATGGGGAGGTGGCGGAAAAGGTTGGAATCCCGCTGCTGCATATTCGTATGGTGGTAAAAGTGTCGGAGGCAAAAGTGGTAGTTACAAAGGAAGTCGAGGAGGAACGGGAGGTCCCTGGATGGGTGCTGTAGGGTACTTGTAAACCAGTTGAATAAGCCTACATTTATATTCATTGTCTCTTTCGTGAATGTTTTCGTAGGACTACTAGGACAATGACTGCGATGAACGCTTGGATTGCGGCCAAGTCCTTTCATGACTCTTTTTACCTTTGAAAGAAATCATGTTCATGACCTTTACTTAGTTTTATCCAAGTGTAGTTCCTGTCTTCAGGTCTGGAGGAGCACCGCCCACCGGAGGCGGTAAGAACTACGGCAAGGGAGCGTCTTTTTGTGAGGGTGGTGGCGATTTTCAGCCCGCACCGCCACTGATGATAAAGCGCGGGCGCGATAGTGATACGCCCGCAGCAGCGCAGACTGGTGACGAAAGCAACCCACCATGGCCAAAATTCGATCCTCAGATGCTCAAAAGGATTAAGACAGAAGACGGCGGCGGGTCTGCTGCTTTATCAGGAGCAGCAACTGGCGGTGGTGAAGAGTAGCTATCTAGAAAAATTTGGCGGATGTTAATTTTAGTTTTGAGCTTCGCACTTACAGTGAGTGTGAATGTGATATCATATTTTTGCAGTATAGAAGAGTCGCAGGAGGATCATGAAAGCATGCGACTTGTTTTGGTTGCTCTCCTTTCATAATTACAAGTTGTTGTACCAGTGGATACTATCGATATCGTCGTTATAAACATCGAGTGTGTCATAAAAATTGATGATAAAAAGTATCTCTGTCGATACCAACCGCAACCGGAACCGCAGCATGTTCTAGCCGACATGATGCGTGTTGTGTACAAATTATATTTGAATTTGAAAGTAATTATAGAAGTACAAAATATAATGGCCAAGAATAGATTGCATTACTTCTACAACTTCCGGGACTATGCGCGAGCGCGGCCCGGTCGCCACACACAGCGCGTGACTGCGGTCGGGATTTTGTCTCATCAGGTGCAACCCTTAAGCCTATATGTAAAGGGGAGGGGCAACAATCTCAATTTTCTTTTCCAATAGAAGCAGGGCGAATGAGAAGTGCTAGAAGTGAGAGTCGTGATATTATCAAAAATTAAATGGGGCTTGGTGATCAGGCGGCGCTTTGTCTGATACTGAAGAGTAGGTACAAATAAAATGCAAAATACTGATAAACATGGAATACATGTTGGATGAACATCAAATCTTGGGCGCAAGCAAGGACTCGAATGGATGGAAGGCCATTCCGACTCAAGGCTTTTCTTGTAGTGCCTTGTTGTAACGACGCGACAAAATCGTAGGTTGTGCACTAGTTGTCAATGAATACGAGGAACTACATCTACATGGATAGACAACTCACGAACGCAGTAATTCTACCTCTAGGTGGTAGATGATTAAGATTATGTAGCGTCTGAAAAGCGTTTACCCAGCCACAGTTCAAACGGTTTCGGCTTCGCGTTAGAAATAAAAACAGGAACCACACCGATCCTTAAAAGACGGCGTCGCTGTACTACAACTTGATCGCAAAAGATGTCGTCGCTATTGAGACCTCGTCAAGAAAGAAGCGCGCCTGTAGTAGTACTCCTACACGTACGTAACGCGCGTAGAAGGAAAAAACGTATACTTATATATTTATTAGTGTTCGTTCTTCGTTCTTCGTTCTTTCAGTTTTTTTGCGACCCGCACCCACGACGTCGCATCAATCATGTCGAACATTGAGCACGAATATCATTGATGAGTTTACATAGTTGAGAAATTTTCAGCACGACTAAACGACTACATTTGCGTTTTCGGTCGGGCCTGGAGTGAGAAAGAATACGAGATTTTGATCGGTGTCTAACTACAGAAACAATAACACGAATTCTTCATTTCTTGAATTTCATTTCTCGTTCGAACTTGATGAAGACTGAGAAACCCATGGTCGACAACCCCACATTATGAAAGAAGCTAACCCAAAACTTAGATAGTTTATGCTGCAACGCAGAAACAAAAACAATGAAAGAGGGCTAAAGGTTGATGCTAGTTCTTCTAGTGAGTTTGATGTGACTTACGTCGTAAAAAGCTCGAAGTTACCTAGAGGAATCTGGGATCCCAACCCCAAGATTTCAAGAAAATGTTAGGCGGCGGCCACATCGTCCCGGCAGGGACGCCTTTCGGTGTATGCACGCCTTCATACTCGAGCGACTATGTCATTCCCTGTGCTCGCAGCATACTCGATCACGTGAATCGCATGCGAGTAGACCGGGGACTTTTTCCGCTCTCAACACACAAAGGCCTGTGTCGTGCAGCGGAACAGCATGCAGGTACTACATGATCTCTTGCTTGGAAGAAAAGAAAGTAAACGTCGTTATCTTGTTTCATTACCATTTTTGTATACCTTTTTTGGTTCCGTTGAATACTTCAGTAAGCACATCATGCTGCAATTTGAAGAAACAAATTTCACCAGCCAAAATGTCTGAAGCGCTAGCTCCATTCTCGCACCAAAACGCTCTTTCACGCATAAACGATGCTGGTGCATTCGAGGGCTGCGGCGAGAACCTTGCGCGGTTAGAGAACTACGCCCTCGACAAGGTGCCCGAAGCAGCTGTAGACGGATGGGTGCACTCGCCAGGACATTTCCGAAATATGCTTTTACCAGAGTTCAACGTCTGCGGCATAGGTATCGCAACCTATTTTCGAGGAGGAGTCGCCACAAGTGGCCGAAGTAGTGTTAAGGCGTCCCTCAGTACTAATCCATCTTCAGAAGCATATTGTTTGGTGACGCTGTCCCATATCAAGGTTTGAGAAAGAAGCACCAACATGCACCTCAGGATGGATTATATGGGTGAGCTCTAATAGTGATGGCAGGGGAACAAGCAGTGCCTCGGCAGGTGGTGATCAGGGGATGCCGGATCCCGATATGCCGTATCAGGCGTCTCTGACTGGACAGTGCCCGCAGTCGCAAGAACCACGCGAGAGCGTCACCTTTGTCACTATGCTTTTCGGCATTGAGCGAGAGCACCCAAAAACGACAGCAAAAGAAAAAATTCTGGAACGTAATCGATGTGCTTTTGACTAAGGACACATTTCACAAGCACGTTGACGAAGTAAGTGTAGAGACTAGTTTCTTCCGAAGAAGTTTTTCCAACTTCCGAACTTTTCCAACAAAGAAAAAGAACATCAAAACAAACTGCACTTGCAGGTACTGACGCAACGATCTGTGCTTGTGGTGTTGTGGGCGCTGCTTTAGGAGGGCTCATGACGGGTGGAATGCTTGGTGTAGCTGCAGGTTCGTTCTTGCACAAAGCAGTCGGCATTACACCGAAAGGGACTGCCTTTTGTATCAAGGAATTTGCGAAGCGCACCATTCTTGGTGTGGGACGTCTCGAGTGCGCCTTTTGTGATGGCAAGAAAAAAGCAAAGTACGAACTCGACGGTACATTGTTCTGCGCAGATTGTTGGGATGAGCAACCGATCCATAGCAGTGGCGAACGAGAAACATTCGTTGTTCTTTGAGGGGTGAAGTCATGTTGCGCACCCCTTCATTGTCACTACCTCAGTCACTAGTTCTTCTTACTCGTCTAGTACTTGTGAATAAAAAGCAGCAATGTTGTCATGTGAGTGTACATCAATGCTGGTAACGGTTTACCACGAGAACAGGATGACTCAACAGCACTTGACTAGTACACCTACTTCTACTCCCATGATTGATGAAGAAACAACCAGTACCAGAACTTCGACAAGCTCAAGATCAAGTCAACAGGCGTTGTAAAAAAAGATTTCGACGCTGTCACATTTGTGTACAAAAAAAGAGGAATAGTAGCACTAGAAAACGAAATACGACTATGAGAACAAGTAGTCTGGCTATCATAATCATTTTCGTGCAACTGCGTCAACACGAAAGCGCCTTGAACTCGTGGCACGCGTCGCGTCGTGCAAGCGAAAGTCCGGTTAAAGGCCTCGAGCCGCGGCCGTGACACGAATCTGCTTCGCTGAAAAGAACAAAAGAGGGGCGGCGGCATCGGTCCTGTTGACACTGCTTGACAAGGACAGCCAGGCGATGCGAGAGCGAAACTGGATCGGGTTTATCGGGACGTTGCCACTTCTCCCGCTGAATAGGCCTTGCAATTATACTGATGTGCGCCAGCGGGGTGATGCGATGGTGAGCAGCAGCGCCTCCGTGTCGCGAAATACGAAACTTGCGCCTGTGCTCCGTATAAAGGTGCTGCATCTTGTAGTTCGCCTATTCTCCGAAGACCATCGAGGACGGAACTTTGAGTACTTCTACTATGACAATAGTATATATAAGTACTCACAATCAGGCAGCCTACATCAATGACAAGCAGCGTACTACGACTCGACGGTCACTGGCAGGCTGTTGCTTTCCGCTTATGCAACAGGTTCAAACTTTCTCAAAGTCTATCTTCGTATGGAAAGCAGTCGCCTATTGCAATCACAAGAGAGCAGTATGATTGACTACTTATAGTAACAGGATATCTTCATGATTATGATTACCACAGAGCAGGTTATAGCACGCATGGCGCATGGAGGAGCGCATGGAGCGCAGACCCATAATGGACGCAAGAAGCGCCCCCGTTAGCTCCATGCAACTCCATGCGATCCATGCACTCCATGCCATGCGAGCGGGCAAACCTCATAAGTTTCTCTGTATATCATACATCAACTCACTTCTTCTTCATTTTTGCCATTCTGTAATAATGAATCAGTGATCTACTTGCTTGTCTTTCAGTTTCACTCTCTTTTGATACAATAATCTGCCAAAATATGATGATATGAAAACTTTTGAAAAACCGAGTATAGCAATGGTTGTTATGTATTGTGATGTTCGTTGATCATTCCAGACAAAATTGAATGAATCTTCGAATAAACCTTCCGCTACTTTTTCAAGACTCGTCACTTTAGTAGATTCACTGATCAAGATGGAAAATATCGAAAACGACCTCTTAAATTGTTCCGCTGGGCACTGCATGACTAGGTGTTATGGAGTGCCTCTTCGTTTTCAATACACTCCTTCTTACGTTCGTATTGATTTTGGACGATGTAATGCTCTCGAGCGCCCTATCGCATCAAGAAGTCAAGCAACGTGGAATTGCCAGTAAGGTTTGTTTCGTGTCGAGGATCGAGCAATTACCTCTTCATCGGTGTCGTGACACTCAGTGACAAGAATCTACAACCAGCATAAATAAGTGACTTTCACTGAGTCAGATTTAGAGCTCCATACTACGATCGCTCGGTGACATCTTCTTTTCTGTCGCTGACGCTGATCCATGCAAGGATGAAGAACGCCTCCAGTATGTTCGTTGCCGAAGATGTTTTCAGGTCCACAATGCAATCTGCATGATACATTAATCGCAGCGGCTCTTTCATTTGCTTATAGCGGACAAATTATACACATACACATACACGACCTACACAACGATCACCAGTTCTTCATCTAAATCTAGCGCGCTTACGTCTTCGCCATGCTCCTGAATTGGTTCCCCTCACATTTTGTGTCTGATGGTAGTCTACCACGAGCCTGTGCTTGAGGGTGGCGGTGACTTTGCGAAAACTGTTCCTACTACTTACATGTTTTTTATAATTGAAGGCAAATATAGTGATATCGATATACTCGACACTATTGACTACACCTAGTATATCGGACACCAAGGAAGATCAAGAAGATGTCAAATCTGCCGTCACGCTGAGCGACCAGCCTCCTGAAATGATGACGTGGACTTTTCTCACGGAGAAAAACGACTGGTGGTTGTTCTTCCGGGAGGACGAGGATTCGATTTCAGGAGCACAACCGAGTGACAAAGAATCGCTGGACGTGTTCGAGCTGTCAATGCGCAACAAGCCATACCGATTTCGATGCTTGATTACGAAAGATACGTCGCGAATGACAAGATTGCGATCAAGTGCAAATCCAGCTGGTACGCGGACGTTGAGTTGAGAGAGATCATGCAAGCGTACTTCGCACATTGCCTTCGGGTTTTTCTGCGCGAGCACGTTGCAAAACTCACAAAAACGAAACGAGACGATTCTGATCGGACTTGTGGGTTAGCGTCCGCACTTCTGGCTACGAATTTCTTTGGCGCATTTTCTCCTGGCCAAGATATCGCGAAGCACTACGATTTCAATCTTATTGGCGACGGGTACGACTTGTACGGTTCCTACGGTGATGCGCAAGCAGTCGAGTATTACAAAACCTGCCGGATTCGCGAGACTTACAACGCCACTAACACCGGCACGACAGGAGGAAATAAGGGACTGGCCGACAGTTTATCACGGTACCAGATTGGAGAAAGCGGTGGGAATACTGTACGACCGCATACGCGTGCCCGGCGGACCCGACTGCGAAAACGAACGTGTCGGTGCGTCATGGGCAGATGGGTGCTCCAGACGGAAAGAGCGCAATATACACGACACCCCACTTAGGTCTCGCCCCTTCCTTTCGGTACGCGCTTACAAGAATCCATGGATGTGGGCCTTGGATTCAGGTCGTCTTACAGTGCAGAATCAACCTAACAAAATGTACTCGACAGGAAACACACTGAGGAAAGGCAAACTGGACACCTCGTCTACGTCTGGACCCGAACCTTCCCAGCAACGAGGATGCGGAGTTTCTGACCTTCAGCAACGACGATATTCAAGTGATGGGATTGATGTTTCGCGAATTGGGTGGGAATATAAGCGCACGGCATTGGGGGCTGACTGCAGCGAGAGTGTGCGGAACGAACGAGAAACAGGCGGGAGATAGTTGGACAGATCTGTTGAAAAAACGTTTTGAAGAGAACGGAGTCTTTCTCGGAAAAAAGTGCAGAGGGGACAAGCCTCAGCAATCTTGCACACCAGGAAAAAGACCTGTTTCGACGAGCTCGAACGGGAACTCACCCAAGTCGACTAAAAGACCTCGGGCGGGCAAACGGCTAGCTCAACTGCGAACGGAAGGGGCGCCGGCGGTCCAACAAAAATGCTCAGTCCAGGCACTAGCTCTAGTACGAGTAGTGCAAATGCGAAGCCGATCAAAAGCAAAGCGGCGAGCGGTAATTTGGTGCCTGCGCCGTCGACCGACCACAGAGGAATCAAAAACGAGCTCGATGAGTTATCCCTGAGAATCGAGCCTGCTCTTAGCAACAATGACGGTAAAAGTCTGAAGGGGTACGAAACCAAGTTGAGGGGTTACGGTACGCGCCTCGACAATCTTGTTTGTACCAGTCAGGCACACAGACTGCACCAGCGGAAATCAGTGTTAACAACCGTGGAGACTTACTACAGCGAACAAAAGATTTCTTTCACACTAGCTAGATGAATATCATCACGAGGATCACAACTAGTTACTTAATATTTAGAGCATCCACACGCACACGTAGAAATGAAATCTCAATGCACAAGGTACAGGTAGGCACCGCAGACGAAATACCGCATTTGTGTGACTCTGACGCAACGCCGGATTGCTCGAGTGAAGGTCTAATATTTCATCTGGCATACAGTGACAACAACAGCGTTTCGTGGGGCTTTCAGGTGTTCAAGAATTCTATCGTTAACGATCAGCTTGCTTTTTATGCGTTTTCATCTATCGTTGAGTGCGATACACCACGAAGTGTCTTGTCCAGCGATCATTTTCTCAAACATGAGGTCTGTGACAGGTGATTCGTCTGTTATTCTGGAATGCTTTGCAAGAATACCCTCAGATTGATGTGACTCTGTTGCTTGGAACTCTGTCACGAATCTGTGATATAGGAGGCTTACTGTGAATGCGATCAATATTAACAAAAGCGCGAGCGCGAGCGCGAAGACACGCTGTTATTTAACTTGGTTGAAAAGAACTTGAAGACCCCGTTTGAAAACAGATTATTGGTTTGCATTTTTTCAATTTCGAACGTGAAACAGGGTACTACAACTGCGGCTCGACCACACCACCCGTGAATGTAATACAGCTCTCACTCTCAGGCCTTAGAGTGCTCCTCCCCAAGCCTTCTTGTGGCTTTTATACGTAGCATGACATTTTTCTCACTATCACTTTTTGTAAGTTGACCTTGTAACCTGCATCAGCCCGTACATACTACCCTGGATACGTTTGAAGACTCGTTTCAAAGGTGATCTACTTTAAGTTTAATCCGACTTCGAGCCAGCGCGTCAATCACCACTTAAGTATCCGAAGTTGTAGTGCCGTATATAAAAATTGTTATTTTGTCGTACGGTTTGAGAAATAGAAATATCGCGGCACAGGTATTTGGTTCGCATTCTTTGTCGAGATCAGAAAGATGCTGTTGAGTTGCGACAGTCCCTTATATTCCCGTTTCGAGCGGCCACGAGCAAACTCTAGTGCAGTCAAGCTTCCACCAGTCGGGTTTGCAGCGCCCCAGGGACTGCATTCAGATGGTGGGAGTATGTTGAAGTACAACCTAGAGAACTACTTACAGGCGAAACAGGAGCTTAGCAAAATTAGTTACGGAGCAACGAGAACGATTAGCAGGGCAAATGATGGCGCTCCAAGTTTTTTGGGAACTAGTGGTGGTTCACATGGACTTCTGGAACAGGTTAGCCGAGAACGCGACTCATCTACATCATCGCCGCCACAATCAGTAGAGCTTATGCTTGAAGTGCAATCGTTGCGCAAGCAGAACCGCGACCTTGCGACAGCTAAGGACAAACTTCAGGGAGCGCTTGAAGATACACGAAAGCAGCTATCCTATGCGACGGCCGGAAACGGTCTGCTTTGGAGCAGCGCTTTGCGGACTATGCTCAGTCGTCCTCCGGGAAGTCTGCACGCTGAGGGCGAGCGCTTACGGATGGAGAGACTGGAGGCGGTCAACCAGTTTCCTCAATGTCAGCTCTGCGGCACCCCTGCTGCGGACAGTAAATCCAGTGTTGCGATTCTCCGCACAGTGCGCGCATTGGAGCAGGAGCTAGCAGCGCAAGCGGGAAAATCCGATGAATTGCGAGGCTATCTTGCCGAGGAAAAAGCGAACGGGATTGCGCGTTTGCAAGTGACTAGAGAGCGCGAAGCCATGATGCTGGAAGAGGTAGAAGCCTGCATGCTCGCTGCTAGCAACACATTGCCAAAGGACGATATAGAGGCTGAGCGGCAAGCTCATCAGGAAGCACATGAGGCGTTGCTCGCTAAAGTAGCCGCATTAGAGCACACAATAGCCACGCAAACGGAACGCGAAGTAGAGCAAAGTCGAGAAATAGAGGAGATGAAAAGCAAGCATACTTCGGAGATCCAGAACAGGGATAAGCAGATGGCGACAAGAGCAGAAGAGCACAAGAAGGAAGTCAAGGCCTTGATCGAGAAAGGTGAAATTTTGGACAAGCAACTCCAAGCGGCGAAAGGTTCGGCATCAAAAGCAGACAAGAGGCGTGTGTCTGAACAAGATGCGCTCGGCGGAGCACTGGGGCTGTAGCTCCATGTTGCTTGAGTCTCCTCTCCCTAACAAAGCTCATCGGCTGACGACATTACTGGAAGTGCAACACAATATTAGTAAAGTCAATGGCATACTCCTGCATGGAGAAATCATGTAATCAAAAACATATAACCCTTGTCTTGCTGCACAGCATGAGCATCTGCATGGTAACAAGATGTTATTGCTGCTTCCTGTAAATCTTCTTGGAACATCAAGATCATCAATTGATGTCTTCAGCCTTACCATTCAACAAGTATAATATACTATATGTTGGTCTCCATTTTTTTCAGCTACGCCGCTTTGATGTCCTTCATTTTTTCTTCATAATGCTTGAAGAAGAAAAACTCGTTGTTCTGCTTTTCCATCAGTTACAACTCCGAGGATGAATTACGCATAGGTGTCCGGAACGAACGCATAACTTTTTTTCATACATCACAAACAAAGCGAGAGATGCAATTGAAGTTTTAAGCAGCAAGAGAGTGCTAGATGATGCAACCTCGATGGTTGCATTCATAGGCAAACCGCATCCCAAATGACAAACTGAAACAAGAATTGCCGCGCGGCAGTCTGCACTGAAAACTGTGCGAGATTAATTGTGTTGTATTGGAATCTCAGGCAAACCATCCTGGACTTTTTGCATAATGCGTTCCTTTGTCCATCCTGAACCCTAACCCCGCACGAAAATCATGGTCGTACTTTGGAGGAAACAAAGGAATTATTGACCACGTTGATCTCCTTCCATCTATAAAAGAAAAGAAAATTATGGGCCTTGTGAGCAGCACGGTGCGCTCCATAGTTGGCGCCCCGTCTGCGCACGACGGGCAACAAGCATCTGCAGTACCAACGGACGCGCAACAAAATTCCGCACCTGATGTGCACGACTTCAGTGATACAATCGATGCAGCTGACAGCCTGATAGTTCTTCATTCTGACCCGGATGAGCAAGAAGAACCACAACAATTAGACCACGACGAAAAAAATGGACGTAGACGCTCCTCGACCACTTCACCCACTGCGAAACTGTCGCAACGCAGCAGACCGAAAAAGTTTCAGCGACAGTCGGCCATATCAACACGAACATCTGGTGCGAAAGAAGACAACAAGGGTTGGATATCTTTATCCAGAAAAGTCGGTCTACTTCAAGAACAAGAGCATACCTCAGATACAACCGGGAGCCAAGTAGAACAAAGCGTAACAAATACTGCTGCGGGCTATGGAGCTAAGAAGGCAGTGAAGAGCTCGTCGTCTACCACGAATTCTAGCGAAGCAGATGCGATGATAACCTCAAAATTGGAAGAACTAAAATCAGAAAAGGTGTCGGCTGCACTCAACCACACTAGTAGTGCAACAAAAGAAGTGCCAGGGCGTGTGGCCTGTTCATCTGTCGACGTTGGGCAGAAGTCTCCTGTACCTGTAGCTACAGCCACATCCGCTTTTCGGTCGTCGACGGAGCGGCCGGCTCTTCTCGTGTCCACAACGCCACTAAAAGCAGCAAAACGGCCAAGTTCGAGCATCAACGCTGCAACGCTTGATGTGGATGTCGCCAATAAAAATAATGAAGCAGACCATGTTTTCGTAGATCCTACTGAGGCTGTGAGCCCTCTACCAACGAAATGTCGCAGAAAAATATCCGCTCCCCGGTACTTTCAGAGTCCACGACCATAGGCAATACTCGAGGTGATGATTCATTTTCCAATCTGTGATCATCCTCATTCCGCACGAATCTTATTTGGAAAATATTTCCCGTTTCATCTCACATAATGATTCCCCTTTCCACACGCGATGCAAGCAAGAAATATCTCCTAAATTTTCTTTCTTTGTTGTATTTATAATAGATACATACATGAAAATATTGAGTGGTCTAATATTGTTCATCATCGTCCATTCTTGTAGTTGATAAGGACTGAAAAGTTTTGTGTGTTGATGGTCAGGCTGTTGCTTCTACCCGTTTTACCGATCCACAAATGATTTACGCGACGATCCCCACCACGATCTCGTTCTTTTGTATGATAAAAAGATCCATTTCTATTCTTTCCAGTTCGTGCCGAATTCAACTCAAGGACAACAAGGTCAATGATGTTCAACATGCAGGATCGAGGAAAGATTTTTCCCATGACAGCACGGTAATGAAGCAATCAGATCTTGACCTTTCGTTTCCACTACAACAAGCAGATCCATTAGTATATTGAGATCTCTGGTGCTGTTGAAAAGTTTTCTCAGCACTGGCAGGACGACATCAACAACAATCAACGCTGCAACTAGTATGCCTACAAGTAATCCAAGAAGATTAAGAGGATGGCGGAGAAACTCTATCTTTACAAGATCTAAAATGACGATCGCTATCTGGTGTACTAGGAGATATATCAAAAATATAGCACCTTAATCGAGCATTCCGACAAGAGGTATCATAATCTGATTACGAACGCGTCATGATTTGTCACAGGTAGTTTTGATGAAATTGAAAATGCTGAGAAGTCGTTTTATGGTACTTCTACTTCTAGAGTTAAAGTTATTTCAGCATAAACGAGTACGATTTTCATCAGATATGGGTAGAAAGAAGTTGAGCACCACCGACGTTGCGTTTTTCAATATCCACAGACTGTGTGCAGCCAGATGTGAATGAAAACAGTGACTCTTGCATGATTTACGTCGAAGTATTCAATTGCAAGATGGTTAGCGACACCGACATCATGAGCAGCAGCATTGCTGCATGCGACGTCGAGAAACGTCTCGAAGCAGTATCACAATTGACTAGCGACAGTGAGCTCTCAAATTTGATTGAGGCAACGGCTCACAATCTCCGAGCCTGTAATGAACCCGACTCACAAATACGACTCCTGCATGATCAGAGCCCGTTTTTCTTGCGTGCATTGGCACAGCGCACGGCTAGAAAGAACGACTTGCCAATGTGCCTATGGCGATACTCCCAGCCATTTTTCGGAAAAACACAAAACAGTCAGCTCGAGCGATGTCTTGCTGATTTTGTCAAAACTCCTGAGGTTACTAAGAGTTCAGGGGTGAAGCAAGCTTCATCGTCGTCCTCTTCACGACCTACGAGCAACAAAAAGACCACTGACCTGTCGCTCCTTCCCACAGTTTACGACGCAGCTCACGATCTCAGAATAGGAGAATCTTCAGTCCTCGACTTGGCGATACAGGCTGTCCACTCATCGTGGCTTCCACGTTTTTTGAAACTCGGAGACAAGCATAGAGCAAGCTTCTGCCTAGAGACGCTCAGCATACTTTTGGGCGGGCTCAGTGCCGACGAGACCAAACAGCTTATGGAGTCAGTGATCGCGAAAATAGAAGAAGCAACGACGAAGCTTTCTCTGACATCCGAGGAAGTACTCGAGGCATTAGCGAAACATCGCAAAAGGGCTATGGCCGCTGAAGTATTGGGTAGCACGAGGACCGAGTCAACAAGCAGAAAAAGCTTCTGTGGTGATTACGCAGCGCGCTACTGGCGACGTGTGCATTGTGGTAATGCCGACGAGAGCTTGGGAAGCCACCTAAACTCATTCGGAGGAATCGAGAAGGCCTCCGCTGTGGACGCACGATGGGAGGCGTTTTTTGCATCAACGCATACAGAGCATCGTGAGGACTCGTCTCTTGCACCAAGAGCGGCAAGTGACAAAGCCTCGCTTGTTGCACTCTTAGGTTCTGACTTCGTTGCGACTGACCGGTCTGTAGCGCTGATTGAACGCATGCAGCAATGTATAGCCAGTAAAAAGCCTTTGCTACTGACAGGAGACTGTGGTGTGGGTAAATCTTTCTTCATCGACCAACTGTACCAACTTCAACATAGTGCCCACAGAGGTAATCGTCAAAACGACAACCAAGCTGGAGACGCAGAGGCAGTGCGTCCGCTTTCGCTGTTTTTCGACGAGCAGACGGACAGCAAGTCCTTGCTCGGCTTTTATACTAGTGGAAAAACAGCTGGCGAGTTTTTGTGGAAAGCCGGTGTGCTTACTACAGCATTACAGGAGGGCCGATGGGTCGTCCTCGAGGATATTGACACATGTCCCGAAGAAATTCTAAGTGCTATCTACACTCTAGCGCAGACGCGAGAAATGGTTTTGGCAGATCGACGTGTCACAATCAAGGCGCATCCAGATTTCCAACTCTTCGGCACGTTGCGGACGCCACCGGAAGTTGTTCCAACGAGCACTTCATTAGAAAATGCACCAGCAGAGCAGGCTGGAGAAGATGGTGAGAGCAGAACCTCCACTGATGCATCGGCAGCATCCTCACCCAGCAATGCGTTTTTGGCGGATTTTGCAACTGCAGTGCCACCACTTGTTCGAGGCTGGCACCGCGTGCACGTTCCTAGCGCATCCCGTGAAGAGCTATCGCAGATGTTGAAGGCGCGCTTCCCCACGTTAGAGCCGGTTGTAGAGCGCATGCTCGACACCTTTTTCTTTGCGAAAGACGAACTTTTTGGTTCAAGACGAGGAAGCGGACAAGCGACCGACTCATCCGTGCGGCGCATCGGTGTGCGAGAGCTCTTCGTGTGGGCACGGCGCATCCGCGGCCTCCCTTTCTTGCCACACATGACCGAACAGACGCGTTTGACGGTTGTGCGACATCTCAGCGCAGTGTTTTTCAGCAGTCTGAATCTGCCGACTCTGCGTCGACGATTCGTTGACACTTGTGCCGCAAAATTCTGGGAACTGTCAGGCCAGGATGTGGGACGAAGGCTCGTGGAGGTTGAGCGGCCTGATGTCGCACGCACCGCTACGGAGCTTGTCATCGGATCGGAAATCCTTAGCGAAGACTTGGTCCACGAGGTGCTATTGAGGGCGGACGAGGAAGAAGGCATCGCAGATGCGGATTTTGTCGCTCCCAAGAAGAAACGAGCAAAGAGAGGCACTAGTGCCCCTTCATCGGCAGTTGTTCCGTCTAATAGCGATGCTGCGAAGAGGAAAAAGGAAATGCGCGAGCTTGGTCGGCGCATTGAGTCTTCCAATTTCGCTGGAACTGCAGTTCATGCACGCGTTCTCTTCCAGTTGTGCGCAGCGACGCGACAAAACGAAGCCTGTCTCTTAGTCGGTGATACAGGAACGGGTAAAACCAGTGTGATCCAGCGCTTTGCTGAGCTTTGCGGTCAGGAGGTTGTGGTGTACAACTTTAACGACCAGAGTGAGGCGTCGGAGTTGCTCGGTGGCTTTCGTCCCGTAGACATTGTCGGAACGGAAGTACCTCTACTGTACAAGAGATTTTCAGAACTCTTCCAAGAAACTTTCTCCCTTGTGAAAAACAAGAAGGTGTTGGACAAGATTCAAAAAGCGTGGACGCAGCGGGACTGGAAACACTTTTTTAGATATCTCAGCACCGTTGCAACGCAGGCATTGACGGAAAAGTTCCCAGCTCCAAATAAAGCGACTGACCTTAGTGCTACCTGTACCTCTGCAGCTGAAGGGTCAAATTCGTCCTTTTTATTGACAAGTACCTCACTCAAAAAAAGAAAGCAAAAGCAAACTGATGCTGACGAGACAAGTGCGCAGGAGCGGGCCCAGAAAATGCGTGAAACGTGGCTTGCGATGCAGAAAGAAGCGGCGGATCTAGGAAACCAGTGTTCCGCTGGTGGTTTACGATTCGAGTTCAAGGAAGGACTCCTGGTGGAGGCCATGCGCAACGGTCAGTGGGTGATTTTAGACGAGTTGAATCTAGCTCCAAGTGACTTGTTGCAGCGCATTCAAGGTCTCGTAAGCGACGAAAGAAGAGAATTGACGCTTTCCGAGTGCGGCGATGTGAGAATTACACCCCATCCGAACTTTCGCATCTTTGCATGCATGAATCCGCCTAGTGTGCCGAGTTTGATCAAGACGAAGCAAGAACCTAAAACGAAGACCAGCTCTTCTGAGCCCCTGGCGTCTTCCGCAGAAGCAGAGTCTTCCCCGGAAGGCGAGCCTGCGGCTAAACGTGCTAAAACTGATGAAGAAAATGGCAACGTCTCTGATTCGCCCGAAGCCGAAACAGCAGGAACAGGAGACGACGATGACAACACGACAGCGCCTCAGCAAATGCTGACCTCTGCGGGTAAGAAGCAGCTGCCAGCGGGAATTCGATCTCGTTTCACGGAAATTTTTGTGGATGAAGTGACGAGCGGAGAGGATTTGGACCTTGTTATGCGAGGTTATCTAGGACAAGGCCTGTTGCCGAATCCGCCGATCCAGAAGTTGGTCGCGTTCTACCAGTTTTGCCGACAGCAGGCTTCGACCGGTTTAGTCGTCGACGGGGCAGGCAAGGTTGTGCACTTCTCACTGCGTAACCTAACACGCGGATTGCGATTCGCAGTCGCGTTGATGTCGAAGGAGCAAACGTTGCACCGTGTCGAGCCCACTGCGGCATTGATTGAAGGCATGTTGATGGCTTTCGCGACGCCACTTGACACCGCATCTGCTGCGGCGGTGTCCAAAAAACTGCACACAATCTTCAACAAACCGGATCCGTCTGCGCAGAGCGGCAAGCAGAAGAGCAAGGCGTATCATGAACCCATTGCGCGCATGCGCATCGCCGAAGACAGCAGTGACGTGGCAACGCGCACGCTGACATCTCGGAATGATTTGCAGGGTCTGGAGGAGCGTATCCGCGGAAACAAAAACGTGCGCTATTTCAAGATCGAGGAGCATTGGGTGGAACGCGGTGCCAATGCAGAAGTGAAC